GCTTGTGAAATTTTGAGTAGGATAGTTACTCAGAGGCATAGTTACTCAGAGTATATATATATATATATATATAAATATGTAAAATATTTTGATAAAACAGGACGTGGATTTTTTTCTTTAAGTGTTTCTTCAGTTTGTGAAAACATTATCAACATTAATAGGGTAAACATTGCATTGCATTTGACTAAGCCAGAGTTTGATTGGTTGGTGCTTGCAGTGATGAAACATTTTATTAGCTTTTTCAAACTTTGAATTGCAGCCAAACATCAGGAAATTTCTACAGATGTCAATAGATTACAGATCTGCTAAAACAATAGAAGTTAAAATCAGTCAGACTCTACAAAAAACATTTGTATCATCCAAAATATATCCAATCAGGGGGTCCAGGCATTTTCCATTCTTCTTGTTTTATTTGCTCATAACATACAAATGGTTTAAGCATTTTCTGTGATGAACCGTCAAATAATAAGGTTTTGATATTTTTTGGCTTTTTTTTTTCTAGATTTTTTTCTAGAGACTTCATAGATGAAGAAAGCCCTCCCTGGAAATTTAGAGGTTACTGTCAGATGATGCAAACTTTGTTTCATGCCCCTACCTTTCCATACTTTCACTCCACTTCCACCAATAGACACAGAAACACCAACCCAGACTTAAACCAGTGTAAGACAGTATTAACTTAATCAATTATGTGTGCACACAGACTTCTTGTCCAAGATTGTTTTTGTTTGTTTTGTTTTTGCTGCCAGATGTGGAAATAGTGGAAAATGATGATTTGACATAATATTTGTTGAAATAGCTCCACAAAATAATTGGCACATGGAGATCAGAGGGTTTGAGGAAGGGCGCGACTCAAATGATTGTCAAACCCAACAATTAAGTTCAACATCTGTCCCAAACATCCATGCATTTGTCCAATTTAATTCCTCTTACCCAAGGTCGCGTTGCCAAGGCAGCAGGTCAAGAAAGTAAACCAAATGCTCCTTTCCCCGTTGGCACTCTGGGGGACCCCAGGCATTCCCAGATGAGAAGGGATTTATAATTGTTCCAGGATGTTCTGGGTCTGCCCTTGGGGACCCCAAGAAAAATACCTTTAAATGAGACAACCGTTTCAATATGAGACAATCTCTTGATTGTCTTGATGTTTTAAATGGATTTTCTATCCGATGTCACTTTAAATTTCAGTCATTGTTTAAAATGTCACAGGATTCGATAAAAGGTTCAAATTGACAGGGATAAGGTTAGAGAAGCATGGTTTCTGTTAAAACAGACACAGTAATGGTGTATAGGTCCCCAATCACTAAAGGCAAAGGGAACACCTTGGACAAAAGCAGCACATTTTAATGGATGTAAGGATACAGATGGAGTTTTTCACTTTTGGTAACATGAAGGGATGTGAAAATGAGGCAGCAGGCGTGAAAAATCTCTGCAAAAGGTCAGCATGTTGTTGTTGCTACATGCTATCAGCATTGAGAGTATCCAATGCCTACAGGAGTGGGAATTACAGAGACATATAACAGACTTGTAGGACAAGATGATAAGTTTAAAAAAGAAACTATGTGTTCTTCACTCTGTTTCAGCCATCAACTGGAAACAGAATTCTGGACATAAACACACCAGAATAAGACACAATAAATAGTTAGTTATTTCCATTTAAACGGAAATAAAATTAATGATGATTTTTATATTTATTTTTCCTTTTGTGAGATGTTTAGATTTTTCACAAAAAAGCATTCTGAGCAATCTGTTGACCTCATTTCACTTTGAATAAAAACCTATTTTACTCGAATTTGAAAATCCGAGATAGTTCAGATACATATTATTCTCTGAAAAATATACAAATAGTATTTTCACAACATCACTGAAGTATTTTCTACTTGACTTTAGACAGTAGGCATTTTTCAGATTAACAGGAGCCAAAGAGAAACTATTTGTTTAAGCCAAGGAAAGTAAGGAACTGTGAGTGGGAGGGAAATGGAATGGAATGACGGCTATGGAAAAAGTTGTGCACCATGAGTCTAAGACAAGCTAGCTCTTCCGTGGAAGTCAATGGATCAGCACCTTCCACCATTCCCTCCTTCCTCCCTATAAGATTTTTGTGGTGAAATGAACAAGGTGAAATATGGAAAAAAGAGAAAAAAAGTCCTTTTTAAGTCTTTTTTGTTCAATTGAAATGTCCCATACAGTAGACAAACATACATTTCCCAGTTTTGCTGACATCTAGTCAATGGCTGCTCATTGGTTGTCAATAGTTTTTCAGTTTTGTGTCTTTTGGTTATTTTTCAGTTTTAATTTCTGTATCTTCATTTGGGTTTTTGGTGTTCTTAGGTTATTTCCTGATCTTTTGCTTGAGTTTCTTTAGTTTCTCCCTTTCTCTGTGATTTAGTTCCTGTATTTTATTGTTAAGTCTCCACTATATTATGTTTCCTGTCCCGTCCTTCCGCAGTTTCACATCTTTTAATCTACCTTTGTCTCCTCAGTACTTTTCAAACCTGGTTATCAGCTCCCTCACCTTTCACCTGTGCTCTGTTGCCCTCTTTCTGTAATCTCTTCCCCATGTGTAGAAACTCTCCTGGTTCGGTCACTCTTGGTCAGATCCTTGTCCGTTCATCAGTGAGTTTTATGTCACTCCTCTGGTTGTCGTTAATGTCTCCTGTGTTTCTCCTGGCCCCTTTTCCTCAACTCCCTTGGCATTTCTTATTTGTTTTTTTTCTTTGCTTTTGTGTTTTTGTGTGACTTGTCAGCATCTTCTGAATCTGCCACCACGCCCTCCCCGCTGTTAAAGACTTTGATATATGATTGTCAGTGCCTTTGCTTCATTGTACTGAAACATCCAAAAGATGTAAACACCAAATATTTGAATACATATAGCCTACCGTCCATATCGACTTTACATCGAAGTAAGGTCCATCTGTATTTCTTTACAGAATTCTTGCAGATTTCTTCTTGGTCCATTAGGTCTGTGAACAGATGTCTGATCACGACTACTGAAGTTGATATGAAGTCAGATATAGTGATTTATGACTTTTGCAAGGGTCTCTGACACTCATGCTTTTGATTATGATTCAGTGGTTAATTTTCATCCATTTACCCGTACCACATTGTGAACGGAGGGCTTAATATCTCTTCAGAAGCATTTGACCTCCTTTTAGAGGTTGCTGTAGAGTCTTCACGTACAGTGAAGGGAGGCTTAACATTTCATTGTTTTTTCCACTGATTGAGTTTTAATGAGGTCAGAGGAAACGTAAATACATATTTGATGGGAAAATAGCAGTTTAATTTATTGGTTCTGCTCATAAAGCATAAAGGTAACGGGTCAGTGAGACAGAATATTACTCGGGAGCAGGATTTGAATTGAAGTTTGCAGTTTTGACGCAATAACTCAACATTTCATAAACAACACTTATTCCTTGCTCCAAGATTGAACTGGAAAGATTGACACCACCTTCATTTATGTGCGCACTGAATAGGAGGCTGTAGCCATCGGCTGGCAAGCTCATTGTTATTAAAAAGAGAAGAACCAGAGTTAAACAGCTGGCCAAACTCAGTCCAAAAGAAACCAAATCCACTTGCCAGACTATACAAAGCCCTCTAATTAACACGTTGTTTGTTTAATCTATACAAGAAATGTTCAAGCATTCAAAAGGGTTTATTTGTTAATGTTCCTTTGCTTAGCTTCTCGGCCAATTCCTCTTTGTCACCTTATAATCTTACTGTTATCGAAAAACAAACCATTATTTGTGATCTCTTTGAAATTTCCTTCAGGTGAGCAGCAAAGCTCAGAACCTCATCACTTGCATCTTCTCTGTATTTTTTTTTCTAACATTCCTCATTGATTTACCTTGGAAATAGATTATTTCCCACCTGAATGTAAAAATGTAAATGAACCTTGGTTGCTTTGCAGTATTGCGTACGCAGCTGGCTCTACCGATGCCAAGACAAACAGCCGGGAAGCTACCGGGCCCAGGTGCAGACCCAGGAGTGTGGTTTCCCGACTCAAATTCCTCCGTCCTGCCTCCGTCCACGAGGTGCAGACAGAAACACCGTCTGGTTGTTACCGATACAATAACACAGGATGAATCATCGGGATTTTTATGTCTCTCAAAACCACAAATGCATAAGTGAAAATCCGAGGGGTAATTAATTTTCTCGCAGCTATATATTTTCAACACTCTTATCCCACTGCACATTGTGGCGCGGCCAAATCAAGCGAACTGGTAGTAGCGAGCAAGCCAGGGGAGCCTTGAATTTAACCAGATGCAGGTCTCATTGTGAATAGTAGAAGTTCATCTCAAGAAACTGTTCAAGTCTCACGAAAGCAGAAACTTTGTTCTTTTGAAATACACTCTCAAGTTTTAACTGAACAATACAAATAAAAACTCATAACCTCATGACTTGGTGTTGATATAAAAGGCCTTTTTCGTCATTGTATTAATGAAGATGAATGAAACTCTCAATATGCTAATTTGGATTGTATAGGCTGGCAGTTTACTTGTTCTTGGCCTTAAACTTGTCCAGGTTAATTTGCCTGTCAATCAGTTTGCTTATAAGTTTAATGCAGAGTTTTCTGGAGAGCTTGTTTGGCCAACCTCCATCTCTCTCAGCTCTGGAGTTCACAGAACTGTAAGTTACAATATATATTGTTACGTTATTATCATATATAACATGTCTCGATCTATAAGGATCCAGAAGCTGGCTGTCATTCATTTGACTGACATTAGGCTTGGCCAGCTATCCAACAAAAATATAGGTTGATTCAACTGTTCATAAAAGGATTACCAGGATCTGATAAGGAGTTTGTATTCAGCAAAACTTGGGAAACACTGGGAAACACTTTTTTTTTTTTTTAATCCAGCTGCATTCTGAATTGTGAATCTCTGATATTTACACATTATCATGAATCAGTAATCTGTCTCTTGAAAAATGAATGACACTTTGACCTCCTATATACAGTCACGTGAGCACTATGGGCCAGTGCTCTACAGAAAATAACAACACAGGTATGGGCTTTATTCATTTAATTTATTAAGATGCTACATAATCCAACCAGGTTGGGTTGTTTTTGTTTTTATACACCAGACTACTCGACTAGGAATAATAATTTTCTCAGATAGACTTATTTATTTATTTATATACATACAAAACAGCATTTGTTTTTTTTTTACTGCTTACATTAATCACGTTGGTGGTCAGAGACCCCAGGACAGGTTGGTGTAGTGCGTTTCCATCAGGCCTGGATCGACCAGTGTTTACACGTCGTTATTTTTGTTTGACCGGCTTTTCTCGGAGCGCGAAATTGGTGGAATTTACTGCATCAAAAGGCAGTGATAAGGTCACACACATGAGTCAAATGGATGCTTGATAATCTGGTGCTCGTGGGTCTTTTTCCTCTGTAAAATTTTGCAACACTCCAGCCAGGACATGCTAAACAAAAACAACTATGTGCAAGAGGTGTTTGATCCAGGTCTGATAACCCAAAACCGGACTGCAGCTCAGGTCTGCTCTGCCCTCCCTCTAAGCAGCAAGTCATCCTCAACCCAAAAAAAAAAAAAAAACTTTAGAGATACAGTAGAAACACACACACACTCTTGTTTATTCATTTTCTTGTCCACCAGTCACATACATTGTCTTCCTCTACACTCAATAGGAAAAGATGGAGAATTGCTGCCATTTTTTTTGTCATTTCTTAGAATTACTCCTTCATAACCAACCAATCGACTAATTTAATTTAGATTAATCAGGGCATAACTGTGACCACTTGCTTATTATTGTCAAGTAATGAAGAGCAATATATGGACCCCTCAATATGTTAATTTGAAGATGAATCCTTTTGAGAGAGTTTCTTGAAAGTGGCACTCATTTTGACTGGGATCTTGTGGTCCCTCAAAGCTAGAGCTAGACTGTGTTCATTTTCCACTATAGCTTTGGGAAAATGAAAAACCGACATTACTGCAGGAAGCTCAGACACACTTTTAAGCTAAGTGCATCAAAATTGTTTGCAAACCTGAACAGTGGTGATGATTGAGCATAAACAAACAAGTAGATGTTTAATTAACGGCAAAATAAAGCCAAGATTTGAAGTGGTGTGAAAAAGAAAAAAAACTTCCAAAAACAGAAAGCCAAAAACTCTCATCTGATCTCAGACATAGATTCGCCTGAAATAAAAACAGATGCCAATGAATATATGGCTCAATTTGAAAATATATATTTTTTAAAGAGATGGAAAAGACCAATGTTTACTGGTGAGAACACTGTAATAGGACCTCAATGTTGATCTTGTCAGGAAAAGAAAACCATTTATTATACATGCACCTCCTGTCTGTTTTACGTTAGTGTACCTCCATCTTGGCCTGAGAATAACTTGCCCTAGCAGGTCACAAGGCAAGTCGTCCGCATTTTCCAGAAGTGATCGAATCTTTCACTAATCTAGCTGCAGTGTTTTCAAATGCTTCAACCCTTATGAAAAAAAAAATCAAATAAAACCATGAAACGGAAAGAAAACACAAAAGAGAAAGAACAAAAATCATAAACAAAGTTGTGCAAACCTACAATCAAATGACAAAAATCACCGTTATAAAAGCAATTAAATTAGATTCAAATGACCAGATGCAACGCTGTGTCAATGCATGCAATCGAACATCTGCCTCTGACAGGCGAGAAGTGGTGAGAAGGATGTGATAGGTAATGAGAGTAAGGTGGGGGTGAAACTAAAAAAGGGCATAAAGAAAGAAAACACGGATGATAGTGTTTCATACATCAATCAGGGTGGTTCTACAATCAAAGACAGGGTTTTTACAAAGCCTCTGATTGGAGGAGAGGGTGTGATAGCCCTGTAACCCCGGCGGCGTGGATCATCTCTGTGGTCAATCCCTTCCTTAAAGGGGTTTCGCTGGAGGGACACTGGGATATACTGTACAGCGGGCCGTGACGTGTTCGTGTACGTCGTCGCTGGCCGGCGTCATTTAGAAAAAGAAACAACGATACGCTAAAATGACATTCGCACAGATGCAAACTCTGTCGCACCAACACGACCTTGCCGGTGTAAGAAAATCTCTTGGTCTGAACTACTAGAGTTAAATCAAATTTCCAAAGCCTCCCCTCCCCTCCCCTTCCCCCCATTCCCCAAACAAGTAATAGATGAACCTTTGGGAAGAAGGCCAAAATGATTATGTGATGATTACGTAGAGGCAAGGCCTGTTTTGTTCAGAAGAGGAGTCTTTTTTTTTTCTTTTCTTGCTGCTCTCTTACATTACTTTTTCAATGTTTTACATAAATGAGACAGAATCAAAACTAGTACCAACACCCCCCACCCCACCCAGCAGACATGGCATTTCCGATTCCACAATCCCAGATCCTGCGTTTGTTTCCATCCCACGAAGCATGCTGCGGCCAACCCGAATGCTGCGCTCTACAAGGCCAACTTGCCCACGATGACGCCCACCACGAAGAAGAGAACGAGCAGGGCCACTGTGCGGGCGCTCAAGCCTTCGTCTCTCTTTAGGGCGACTGAGGCATGCTGGGGTGAGATGACGTTAGTCTTCCTCATCCGGAGTCCGTCATCCTCCTGAAATGGGAAGGAGGTGAAAAAAAAAAAAAAAAAAACAGCAGTGAGGAAGGTGAAAAAAAATCAATGAGACAGGATGAAAGGAAGTGTGTGTGTGTGTGTGTGTGGGAAGAGGATGATGGGAGGCAAAATTAATAAATGAATGTGGAGACATGAGGAACAAAGATTTGGTGGAAACAAGGGGTTAAGAAATGGTCAGTTTGTCAATCAATGCGATAAGGCAGTGTTCGTTTATTAGCTCAAAGAAATCCGATCTGATTGAATCTTCATCTAACCAAATCCCCTGAGGAATACAGAAGGCGCCAGGCTTTAACACACTTCATTTCCCAGCAGCGGGTAGGGGGCTCTCTGTTAGTTTAATCTCTGCCGCAGGAGCAGCCAGCAGTCGTTCTGCCTCTGGCAACAGCTTAAAGGGGTGGAGGTGGTGGAGTCTGAGAAAAGGACAACTTTCTGGGCCGCAGTTGGAGCGAATGTGTGCGACTAGTGCCCAGCCAAACCTTTTCGAAACCCGTGTGAAACCTCAGCTCATCGATTGTTCTGATCGATAGCATACTTTTGGATCTCCCTTAAAAACTTTTAATACCGATGTCTGTCACAGTTTTACTTGTTTTAAAAGGGCGTTGGGGATGTCACTTCTACTAAATTCTGAGTTTAACTGCATGACTTTGAAATAAAAATGCAGTTCTCTGAACGGTAAGCTTGTCATTTTGGCACATCCTTCCTGATCTGCTCATCATCATCTATAGATATCTAGCAAACTGGGAGGGTGGGGGAAATGAACCGAAGTGGCCCTTCGAGTCATGATACTCACTCTGATTTGTTTGTTTTCTTCCCGTAGCCTCTGAGCCTCCATCTGAAGCCTCTTGCACTCCTCCATGATCTTTTTTACCTCCCCGTCATCCAGGGTGGAGCTCAGTGACTTTGCAGGCAGAACGGAAGACTCTGACTTCAGCAAGCTGGACGACATCATCTTGTTGGACTCCATGTCGTGCTATGCGTGGGTAACAGAGAGATGAACTTTCACACAACACAACAATGGCTGTTTGCATGCAGATTCAGAGTGACGACTTCCTGGCACGGAGGCACAAGTTTGTGTTTGCGTGGTGTATTCTCACACGCAGGAGTGAGGACACCTGAGCCCGTGTCAACTCAGAGGAACCTTCGAGTAGATCGGTCTGGTTTCTCTTAGCATTATCTCTGCAACGAACTCTGTGGCACACTGTGTCGACTCGCAACTTTGGGAATGTACGGCGCTGCTAGTAATGAATTGAAAACAACTACTGGGGGTCATTTTCTCTCCTGCTGCTCCAAAAATTGGTAGGCTTAGCCCATATCAGTGACAATATAATGTCTCTACAGCTGAGAGGACTCAGTGGTCTGAGAGAAATCAAAAGAATAATAAACTACGTGTCAAACTGAACAATGCAGCTCTCTGAAGGGGTGCTGATCCCTCCGAGTGGGGCAGCAGCAGGGAGTGGAGCAGGAAAGTAGGTCGAAATGTGGAAATAGATGAAGAGGGGAAAAAACTTTTTCAAAGGAGGCAGAGCAATAAAACAGAGGAACAAAAAAAAAGATAAACAATGTGCTAAACTGTAAAACTACAGCCTTTCTTTCTGAGAAGTACTAACAAGAAAAAGAAGACTTGCTGGGGAGGGGTTTACATTATTCTGGAGTCTTCGACGAAAAGAGGCACCTCAATAGAAAATGTATGAGAAACCCACAATTGAACGCACTCTCCAAGAACACTCCTTTGATGTTCAATCTGTAGACACTAAAAATAACTGCACAGTAAGGAAAAGCATGCATGCTCACCATTTTCTCGTTCTCCACTGGCAACTCAAAAACACACCTCAGCTTGGAGTCCATCAACTCGTCTGGCTTCGCCTCCTTCCACTGCACAGAGGGAAAAGCATACGGGTGAAAACAGATCATTCCAATTACAACAACGCGTAAAACATCTTAACCAACAGACGCATCTTTCGGGTGCTTCGGGTGTTGTAGCTCTGCGGGGAAATTTGGGTTTAATGTTTTATGAACACGGCATGTGCATTTTAAAGAGAATCAAGACACTCGCTTTTCTAATTGAAATTTTCATTGAGCAATTTTCTGCAAGATAACATCTCCTTTGCAAGTTTGACACTTCTCTTTAAAATAAGCGCAAAAAATTTAGGAAACATTAAGAATTTGCTCTCGGTGACCGTTGTGCTCTCTTGTACTAATTCCTTAACGGACACATATTGTGGCCATTGTTTCCTTACCTCATGCGCACATGCGATGTGAGATAATGGATAGAAATGAGAAATCAGTGGGGCTTGGCCCTCATCTTTTTTCATAAACACACATTAACCATCTGTTTTCAATGTGACATGCTAACAGTCACAAACTTCAGAAATGACTTACTGGAGCTCAGCCTCTGGCTCCACACATGCTCTCTTCCGTGTCTGTCGGCTATTTAACCTGGTGCAGTAAAGCTACAGTTGCAGCTCCATTATCCTTGTGTCAGTTTGCACACACATGAGCAAAATGGCATTTATAGACTGAAGCGTGTCTGACGGTGAGGACTTGTTGCTTCTGCGAGAGATCATGGTATAGATACAGCCAAATTCACTCAACAGGCATTGACTTCAAATCATACGAGTGGTGATTTTATCAGATTACACCATGGTTATAAAAACCAGGACTTTTATTAGAAAGGGGAACAGTCTGGAAACAATGATCCGGAGCTGACAGACAGTCCACAATTGACCGATACTCTTTTACGCAGTGTTCTTGGAAATTTGTCTGTAAAAATATACACCGTTTGTACCAAAAGATACGAGAAGATAAAACTCTGGATCACGTGCGGCTGAACGTGCACGTGCGGCTGAACATGCACATGCGGCGCCCAAATGTGATCTGCTAGGTGTGTGCCTTTGGTTCGGTAAATGAAAGACTTGGAATATGACTTCATCTGAACTCATGTGTTTACATACAATGCAGAAGTTCAGCTTCAGCTGGACTAGCCCAAAAATGTGTTTGTTGTGTGTTTTCTGCCGTGACATCATCACGCTAACTGAAAGCCGAGCTGCCTCTGTCCGTTTAATGAACGATATGAGCATCCACACACACAAAAAACCCCAACATAAAGTAAAGAGAGAGCTAGAGAGGAGTGACACTCACCACTCCCTCCATGTCGGTCATGTCATGAGGCGCTATCATGGACTGGACCATGAACTTGTGTTTACTCTTTTCATTGGGGTCGTAGTCAAAAGGCTGCAGCATTACTGAAAAAAAAAAGAATGAGACAGTCAGCAAAAGGCGGTAAACGTCCAACCTGCTCACCTGGGGTCAAGTTTGTAGGACGCCGTCACTCCTTCTCCCTTCGTTTCAAAACATTTAAACAGGGCTGCACCAGAACAATGATGCTCTATAGGATTCTTTTCCAGGGCGCTCCAACATAACATATGATACAACTTAGAGGAAAATTAACGGGACAAGAGAGAAGGAAAACACAGTTGCTGTCCAAACATTCCATCTATCCATCCCAGACCTCTCTCTCCCCAGCCACCCGCTCCAGCTCTTTCAGAGGAAGACAGTTTATGGTCTGCCAAGAATTTGAATTAAAATATTTATATTGAATCTTTTCTCCTATTTTGAGTAAGAGAGAAAGAGAAAAGCTCAGTCTTATAGGGCCTAACGGTGAAATACGACTACTGAGAGCTTTAAGCTGAAAGCCTACACTTGTGGCTTGAACGGCACTGAAATATTTCACTTTAAAAAACAGTTTGCCTTAATTATATATGGTTTTATTGCCTTCTTAATTCAGATTTTGTCTATTAAGAACTTTTTTCAGTACCATTTATATCAAATGTACACATAATGCAGAAATAGGAAGTTTCTTGATGCCTATTGGACAAGAGCACACTTCGAAAATAACAAATAATAGGGATTTGATATCAGAGGTTTCTTCAAGGGTCTGAACTTTGACACCATACTGAATTTAAGTTTCAAAATACAAACAGAGACCAGACATAAACTTCTCATTCTCTGCTGCCAAGTTAATTTCAAACTAATAAATTGGATGATGATTGTTTTGGTTATGTTACTGTAGAGTCAAGCAAATACACAAATAAAGGGAAACAAGAGCCTGAGTGCTTCAGAAAAAGATCACTGCACAGGCAGACGTATTGGCCCACGACTTGAGCAGCAGAAAAGAGAAGCTGTTTTTACAAAGGCTACTTGTAATATTGCACAGAAACAACAAATAACGGAGTCCAAAATTAAATGTTGAAGCCGAATGACAATGACGTTTTATTTTAGTTTTTTTTGTTTCTTTGCAGAATGGCGTCAGCGTAAAGTTAAGACAAATTTTTTACAACCTAACTATGTTGGGGGAAAAGAAGTTAGTGTCTCCTTAACACTCTTATCTGCAGAGACTGCAGCATTCAAGCAGGATTTGCATGCGAAGCGCTGCAACATCAAAACATCTGGTTCCCCCTATACGCCAGCAATTCGGCTCAGCCCTTCGTTTTCTTTACAAACATCTTAGCATTCTTTTCCCTTCCATAAGTTGTGTTTTCACTCCTCTGATTAAAGGGGAATGGTGAGAACAAAACGCCTATGTATCTGTCAGACTGCAAACTAGGGCCTTCCTGTATTCGTGCTGCTCAGAAAAAGTAGTAGGAATGATTTATTTCTGTGTTGGTGTTACCATGGCAATGGTACAATGACAGATCTACAAATACCCATGGGGGTCATTTTTTTAACAGCTTCTAAGCCTTATTCTTTCCCTCCATTATATATCACCCTAACAAAAAGCAGGTGTGGAGTTGGAATCGCACCTCAGCCTTTCGTCACACCAGTCTTCGCCGTCAGTTGTGTTACTTGATGTCATTCCAGTAACTGAAAAGGTATTTTAGAGCTGTAACAGTGATTTATAATGATCACTTTCTCATGTTGTCAAAAGGGTCTGGAATAGCTATGAAGATAGAAATAACTTTAAATGGCTAATGATTTCCCTCCCTTGACTACAAGTTTTAAATCAGCATGTAATTGAAAGATATTTTTTCAAGTAATTCCAAGCAATGTCTCCGATACCTGCATCATTCTTTGGCCATCACTTAAAACGAGGGAGGTGAATTGAGAGCTGGCCCGGCTATCGGCTCGGCTTTTATGTGCTGCACATGACAATTCTCCCGCGAGTTGTGCTGTGCACCATTTTAGCAATCAGTGTGTCTCAATGTTGCAAATCAAAAGCAGACGGTATGAACAGATTGAGAATGTCCTGTTTCAGTCAGTCCTAATTTGCACAGCCATCCAGCTCAGGTCCACAGGGACGGCATCAGTGGATGGAGGCAGGAAAGCATGTACGTTCTTTGAGAGACACAGAATAATGTCCGGGTCCGGGTCAAAGCTTGTAAGTGAAAAAAACAGGGCCCCCAAAGGGAAGGAAGTAATTGAAATCATCTTTCAAATACGGCCTTTGAAGACACCTTTAGAAAGCGCTACTTCTGCTAATGGAATGAGTCAGTACTCCTACTTCACAGTCATTAATAAAGCACAAAGAGTTCAAATATAGTAAACACAGGCAGGTTGTATAGTAATCACCAGCTTTCTTGTTTAAAATGAATGGAGCCATTAGAGGGGTGAGAGAAACAAGAAAACTTTCATTTCCTGTGGCTAATTGATTGTGTCCTGTGAAAAAAAAGTTCACAACAGAATTTCTCATTATTTCTCACAGCAATGCTTGCTGAGGCTGACCCTTGGCTCCTGTTAAATAAGTGATTATTACAAAGCCTGCTGAAGATTTTCTACAGAAGCATTTACCTTAATCTGATGAAAGCATACCAGTGATTTGGTCAATCAACTTTTAAAAAATAGTTACATATGCAAAGCTAAATTTCCATCATATTGTAGTGTGCTCTTGTTATTGTCATCTATAAAGTGTCATGTATAAAACTTGAATATATCTAAAATGGTTTCTCTGCATTTTATTGAAAGTTTTTAATGCAGTAAGTCAGGTTTTATGAAGATAAGTGGAAATATACAAGCTTAAAATATTACATTCAAATATTTATAATAACTTTATATGAAGTTTATCAAAGGTGGCCACCACCATCTGCAACATTTCACAAAAAATAAATAGAAATGAAGCAGCTCAGTGCTTAATGCTACATAGTCTGGAAGTGATCATATAACCCATGACACTTCTGAGTGGCAGTCTGACTAAAACCAGACTTTTAAATTCATGTAAACACATTATTTCACATGCAACTGGGGGAAATTGGCCTTCTTCAAAACAGAATTACCGCACCCTGATAATGCAGTTGGGGATTTAATCTGCCTGCATATCGGGGGTTCAGCTAAATTCAAATGGACCAAGGTGCTCTGTACATGTTCAATAGTTCCATCATTTGCATACTTTTGCAACACATCTTGGCTGGATGCAAGAATTTACACATGGAAAGGCCTTTTTAAAACATGAACCACAGAGACATGAGAATATGGAGAGTGTGCACTTTGCTGTGCGAGCATTTACTCCTGCACAGGACGATATCTGTCCACAGAGACAAGAGGCAGGACATAGTGCAAAGCATGTGCTGTTTAACACATTGAGAATAGCAAGTGAAGATTTTTGCAGTGATGGTAATTAAAGTGCAGGTCTTAATGCTTGGTTTGATTTACTGCTTGGATCAGATTTTTTTGGACCTGTTCATCTTATTTTGTTTTTAAATTCAGTCAAGATGAGTTTTCAGTGTGATCGTTTTGCCGTACTTAACATGAGTATTAACCAAAGTAGATACAATAGAATCATCCCCACAAATGCTTATTAAGTCTAACCTCTAGCTGGCCTTCTATTGTATGACATTTGTGGCCTTTTCCATCTTTTCTTTTTTTTTTTTAGAGAGAACAAAAGCAGACAAGTTGAAAGACCAGTTAACACTGAAAAGGACTTTTCAGTGTTAACTGAAAATAATTTGCCCGTACAGACTGAAGCTACTCTGCAAAAAACCTGATCTGTATCCGATTTATAACCACATTCTGAAAAATGTGCAATTTGAGAATGATAGAAAAAATAAATTGATTGTGACTTGTTCCCAGTGTTGTGAAAAAAATATAAAAATAATAAGTGAAATATTTTGAACAGAAAAAACAGAAACATTTGACATGCAGTCGAAGTGCAGTTTTCATATGAGCGATCCTCCGTGACAAATCAACAAGAAGTCCAGAGCTAATGGTGCAATTATTTCTATCCTCATGGGATGCACCCACAAAACATCTCTAAAAAAATAAAGGCATGTTTGAGAACATAAATGCCATCTTTTCACATACACTGATCAGACATAATATAATGACCACTGACAGATAACGGCATCCAATAAGGCTGGGAAAATATGCATCCAGCGACTCGCCTGGATTTCCACATTTCACACAGGTGGCACTCTGTCCTCTGTTAGCACAGTGGTATCTGCCTTATACTCAGCAATTCAAACAGACATTACACAGACCTTGTAGTCAGGACATTTCCTTTCCCACATACAGCTCCTTCTAAGTACGGCAATAAGCTCAGCGCTGAGGTGAATATGTGAGAACTGCTGAAGCTTCGACCTTATCTATAACAGTAACCTTGTAACAATGATTCAGAAAAAAAAACTCACAGGGAACAGGGTGTTTCCTATCCACCATGTTTAGCATTACTTAAACAAAAGCCCAGTAACAGATCTGCAAGCCTACCGAGAAAAGAACAATCTTGAGAGAGAGGGAGCTGTGCAGAAAGAGGCCAGAGAGAGAGAAAGAGAGAGAGAGAGAGAGTTCGCGGAGAACAATCAGAATACAGTCAAATTCAGACTTCTCACAATAGAACACATTAAATGGAATAAAATAATGATTTCTGCAGGAGAAATGAGCGGCAAGTCACTGGCACTTCGGTCAACATAAAAAACAAGCGGCTCCCACTTTATGGCATAGATGTTTAATGAAAATCAAACTTTTATAAAAGACCAAACGTGTTCTCTGACAAGGAGTCTCACGTCCAAACATAACATGACACGGGAATCAAGTATATAGACAAATCAATTAAGTTAATGATGCTATTCAAAGGATATAATGTGAGTAGTTTTTAAATGTGCTTTATAAATCAATTTTACGGATAAAGGCTATGGATCTATTAATAAAAGGTTTCTAAAACTTTCTAATTAAATAGTTTTCCACTTGGATGCTGCGAACACCAATGGAGCTCAAAAGAAATTCCTGTGGTCACGGCTGATTTCAACATATAGAGTTACAGAACAGCTGAGATACAAAAGCAGAGAGCGTAGCCTTTGCAAACCCAGCAAATGAAACCGTGTGGCTTTGCAGGGATTCTGCGGCAGACATTTATCTCTTACAGTGATGCCAGTGGATGACTGTGATCTTTTGTATTTCTTTGTCATAAACATAGAGACCAGAAATTCAAGACCAACTGGACAACCAACAGTCCCAATACAAGCCTCTGAAACCGAGGCTACAGATAAAAGATAAAACATACCAATACCTTTACCATTTCTATAAACAGCAACAGATCTCAATTTTTTGGAACTGGGTCAAGTCAACAGGTCTTGTTTTGGGCATTTTTTTGCATTCTGGAATGTTGTATTCCAATTAAAAACAGCAAAAAAACATTGCAACAGAGGTATAGATGCAAATCTTACAGGAGACCCTGAACATATTGGGTAGTTCTCTACATACATACCACTGACAAATGGTACATCTTTTATTAACTGAAAGAGGTAAGACCACCTAAGCAACTTGAACACGGGTATGTTAGACCTTGAATAAAACCATTTCTTTCAACAAAACAACACATGTTTAATCTCAAAAAGACAGAACTCCTGTAAAGCAAGAACCCCCACACCACTGTTAATCTGCCAATGGCATTGCTTTGACGATGCTAAGAAAGCTTGAGTGCTTACTGAAAGCAAAAATAAGCAACAGAGCACGCCTGTAAATTAGCCAACGTGACTACATTCTCAGGAAAGTGATCTTGTTTAGGGACTCAAACCCGTGACCCCTGTCGGCCTAATAAGGGTGAAAAATGACAGAAACTGATGGAGTGGACTCAGTTGGTTTGTCGCTGCTGGAACCAGTGACACAGTTTGCAGTTATTGACACCAGATAGGGGGAGTTGTAAAATGAGTCTGTGGCTGTAAATGGCAGACGTGGGACAGTGTGGAAACATTAGCCTGTGCCTCTTTCTTAAACTGCATGAGTGGAAATACGGTCCTCTGGGACTCACTTTACCCTGCGGATGGGAAATGCCTTAATGATTGTGTAGAAACACCTTTATGTATTTTTCCTTATAAATAAGCAAATAAAAATTCTGTCACAGATGTTATGATATCAAATATTTATAGTCACAGGTGTTAAACCTCTTCAAACCACAACAAATATTCCAACATGACTTCTTGGCTGATGGACCAATAGTCAGAAGAAGAAGTTAATTGTTAAAGTCTGCTTGTCTGTTGATAAGGGGACCCATTAGGGAAACATGCTGGCCCATTTTATTTCACTACTTCACTACTTTATCCTTACCTGAAACATTAATGGAGGTGCCTGCATCGATGATTCCGCTGTTTGGCCGCACGCAGTACCGGCGCGGCGCTGTCGTCTTTACCTTGAAACACACATTCCTGTCTGTAGGGTTGGAGAGCTTGAGATTTGTAGTGACCACGTCTGAGAACGGACCTGCAAAGAAAATAGACACAAGTGCCACTTAACACACATTTGCATGTTGAGTCAGAGAGAACTTGAAGAGTTCCCTCAGAATTATCCAAAGAGAGCCTTCTGACCTCTAACCTATATAATGCCTCAAAGTAGAAGTTGCAATCCCCCTGACCACACACACATTCAGATTTCAAAATGCCATTCCTCAGTCAGATAGTTTGAATGCCAAACGCTGAGAAAACAAGGTAAATCAAACAAGACTGATGGAGCACAAACCTGTCACTGACACACTAACTCATACAAGCTTGTAGTGCGCCTGAGCCGGAGTGTGAGAAAGTGAATTATTAATGAAAACAAATGAGTCAGCTGATCAAGATTCATCAAAATCTACATCCATCACAAGCTGGAGTAGTTTAAGAAAGCAGAAACATAAATGCTACAGGAAACACACAGCTCTTTATTTGAATTTAATGTCTTTTTCTACATTCTTTGAATCTTTTTATAACGCAGCCACAAGCTAACTGAACTGTTGTCAAACCAAAAGGGGATATTGAAGTGATTTGGTTGTCCTGTAAACGTGGGTAAAGTCTGTTGAACAGTGCTGTACTAAGTCTTGAGGCACCCCTCATATCTTTGCCTTGTGCTCAACTTTCTTTAAATCTTTTAATCTGGCCAATCAGTAGCTCTCCGTGCTCGCTCAGTTCTTTTGCAAAGCACTGTTATATGTGGCGTGTGAATGTGTGCCAACATGCCCAAATGTGATTTATGAGGGTCAGACTGGATGTTAGCTTAATTTAATAAATAACAAATATTACCAACAAACTGGATATTCTATAAGGTATCTTATTCCTCCTGATATTTGGTTAGTTTTAGTTCTACTACCTATTCAAATAAGGTGTCTGAATTTGGATTTTAGATTCCCATCCATTCATATTCTTCCACTTATTTGGGGTCAGGTCATGGAGGGAAATCCAGACATGACTGTCCCCAGTGACATTCTTTAGTTACTCCTCTGGGATCCTGAGATGTTCCCAGGCCATAAGAGACATAAAATGCCTCCTGCGAGTGCTGGAGTCTCCTCCCTGATGGATGTGGCTGAAAAAAAACATCCAAAAGGAGGCATCCTAATCACACGCCCAGACCACCAGCTCAGCCATTCTCTTATGGGGAGGAGAAGCCCTGCCACCCCTTATGGAGAACTAAATGTATGTATGTGTAAAAATATTATTTTGATCGCTATTCAGTTCCCATGACTATAGGTGAGAACTGGAATGTACACTGACCAGTAACTGGACAAACTTTGTCTTTCTTCTCATTTACCATTTTACCGCAATGGACCAGTAAAGTGTCCTAACTGGTGTTGATGAAGCCCAAATCAGGGAAAAACCCAGACCAAATGCAGAAAGAGCTCCTCACTGATTTCTGCAGAATTCTATCGGTGGGGAGGGTGAGAAATATGATGTAGAAAAACTATAACAAAGCCATCCGTTTCCCTAAGATTGATGATGTCTACGAATCTCAAACTTGGTCGACCAAAACAAAATGTACATGCTCCTTCTACTGCATTAGCAGGAACTGGGTTGTGAAAGGAGTTTGGCTTTAACTGATCACAGCTATCTTTTAAGATGCTGCCCACATCTCTCTGAGGCTCACACAAGACCAGCTGCATTAAGTTACACATATCTATCGATCACGCAGAAATCATTAGCTGCAAAAATACCCTAGGCCTGAGCTAAGTTTATTCATCCAGACTGCAGTTCTATCAAACACTGCTCTGATAGGATAGCGCTTGAATTTAGGCCAGTAGCTGCAGGTATTAGGAATAATTTCTGTAACTTCTGCAAATTCAGCACAACGTCATACAATCAGGACATTTCCGCCCGCATTTCCAGCAATATGATCACACCTAGAGTCTTCCTCTGCCGCTCTGTCCGAAGCTCGGAGGTTTTTACTCCACTGCAGCATCTCTTTTTAACACATACGCAGACAGCTTTGATAGATATAAATTTGAAAGGAGGGGTACTGGTTGTCCAAGGCTGCCGGCCTTTCGCACAAAGACCTTATTTTGGTCTCTATGAAGTAAATTCAATACATGTCTTACGGCGTCGACTTGCTGTATTCAAACTAGAGTTAAGCTGAGTACTTAAACAGGAAATACACATAAGGCATTGTATTGTCTGGGGTCCAGTAACCTGATATTTGCACAGGTAAAACCGAAAATGCTCAATCATTACTCAATGAGGGGACCCTTAAGAGAAAGTCCCCAAGGATTTCTCGTCTGTTTGTGGACTCAAATGAAATTTTCTTCCCTCTCCTCATCTTACCGCTCACACACTAATAAATAAAGTGTTGACAGAAACTTTGCAGAACATTTTAGCTCTTCTACATCTTGTTAAGCTTCAGCACATCTAACAATGGATTCATTTTTGGCCTTCAATAATCCAATTTAATAATTTCTTACTGTTACTTTGAGAAAGTCTTTTTTTTTCATGCTCATGAACTAATCTAGCCATTATTTAGGAATGTCTTGGATTTCCTTTTCAGCTCCGAGATAAAAGCTCATCCTGATCACCAAAGAGATCTGGAGGAGTTTCTTTCCTCAACCTAAGAACCAGACTATCCAAACAGCAGCTTACAATTCAATCAGTAAAAACGCAACAGAGTTGGATTACTGCCCTCAAATTCACCACAATAGGTGAGCAGGGCATTGTAAACATCCTACAATGAAATGAAATTATAGAAGAAAACCTGCCTGATATGATGTGGGCTGATTATGACAAATAAAATTCAGAATGGGTTTGACATGAGAGTTCTTTTTACCATGAAGGGTCAAACCACATCTCTAAACTGACTATTGCATTGACAAAAAAAAGAATTCAGTAAAAACTACCTCTAAGAGGGTCCCATTTTGTCCAGTGTGCGTGCTTCCCAACAAGCGTACAACAGGACACTGTTGACACTGTGTAGGAACAGCATGTTGGAAAGAGTTTGCCACTCCTGATTTCCTTCCAAAAAGCGTGCCCACCACACGCATCTAATATCACAAATTATATCATATGGTTATAGTTTTTAGAAATCTGATGATGTTTGTTCCAAGTTTGTCTGGTGGTGAAAATATTCTGGAGAAAAGAGAAACAGCACTGAGTAACTTTTGAAACCACCATTATTGTTCAAATAATCCTTGTTTTCGTATCAGGCAGGTTAAAACTTCTTATCATGGACATCTCTTTAAGAAAGCCAAAACTTAGCCCTACACGGTAGGCGCCATGGCGGGGAGTCGGTTTGCTGTTGAGGACAGCACGGCCTCACTGCTGGGAAACATGGAGCGACATCAGAATTAGCACGTAGACTAGAATCAAGATAAAGTTTCGGCTCAGCAAATATTCAAAGCAACCGACACTTCCTGTCCCTGTTGAGCAAACACAGTGAGGAAATTCAGCCCTTCACAGGCTTGGCTTGTCATCTGAAGGATTTTAATGAAAGGGACTTGAGCCTCACCGACCACCGTACACCTGATCCACCGTTTCCTGAGAGTTTCTCAGGACAGCGTCCAACTCAAGAAAACCACAAATGATACGCAAAAACTATTATGAGAAGCTGATATTTAAAGCAGCTCTCGAACAAAGTTTGATTTTATGAACGACAGACACTGAGGCCATTTTTGGTGAAGTTCTCTTAACATTAATTCCTTCAATAAATACAAAGTCTGACGGTCAAATTAAAAAGCTCAGTGCCAAACATTTTAGAGTATTTCGTCTACAGATGGTCTGCACAAAAGCCAAGTTGAAACTAACAGACTCACTGAGGTTTCACACCGCGTGCCTACACATTACTTTGGGCTTGAGTATACGCATGTGATTTGTGGTATTGTCTAGTGACATAAATCCATTGGTCTGGTTAACAACCAAGCTTTAACACATGTTATAATACAGTTTATATAAAATACTTTTCAAAGATTTAAGGATCTAAGATTAAATCCTTATTCAAAGTCATAAATAGCCATAACAGAAATACAAGGAGGCCAAGGAGCCCTGCTGGAGATGTTCGAACCTTCACAGCCAAGTCTTAACATCACCAAAGTGAGTCTGGGAATACATAAAGAAAACCAAGACACTTAAACCCCAAGACAAACAGAAGCAAGATCTCCAAGATGGCCAACATCCCCCCAAAATACCTTAACAGCTAATCAACAATGGAGCTATGACAAGAACAATTTAAAAGGAAAAGGTTGAGTTTTCTTGGCTCTGATAAACAAAAGCAAATATTCCTGTGTAGTCAGAGTCTGATACGGATACTCAAACTGTGTCAGAGTGGCCCAAAAATGCTAGAATAGGCCTCCTCATCTGTCCTTCAGACATTTTTATGCTAAAATAAGAACACAAATGAACAGCTGAGTATGAATCTCTGGCTGACAGGATCTTGTCTTTGTTAGAAAGTAAAGTATAAATAAACCCATAAATTTAAAAGCTACTTTTTAAATATTTGCATTCTTAGGAAAAAATAATAGCCATGAGGCAGAGAGGTGTGACATACTAAAACACTAAAATATTTTACTCATTTTAACAGTCTTGTCTTTTAATTCTTATTGATTACCCCACCTTAGGTTTAAAGTTACTACAGACTTTAAAATTCAAGAATTTGAACACAGCTTTTCGTATAAGAGGTCGTTGTTATTTCATCATTCTACAGTCTCAAAGATTCGAAATAAGAAAGTACATTAAAAGACAGTGGTGAGACCCTTATTAGCCGATTAAATATGAAAAATAAAGCAATAAAGAAAAACAATGCTATCTGCAATAAACAAACGGCAAAGTATAAAAGAAGCTTGAAGTGACACTCAGAGTGGAAAAAACAGGTAAATTAAGTCTAGGCTTTGTTGGGAATATGAGTATTGGGTTATTGATATTGATATCACAAACAAACAATGGCATCACCTGAAGGCTTTCCTCTTTTTCTTGCAAGGAAGCCCAATCAACATATTGTTTTCAGTCATAATTTAGCCAGTTTTACATTACAACTCAAATTTCCCCAGTCCAGAGCTTTTAGCCGTTTCATAAATCCCCCAAAACTTTAACAAGCTGCAAAAATATTAGTTGGTCTAAAAGCAACATGATAAAAAAGTCAGGAAAAACAACCGACTAATAAATTCAGAAAGTATCTTCTTTGATTTTTTCTGTAATCATGCAGTTCTTGTTATGCCAGTGTTTTGATGAGAGCTTGTGTTTAAAGCTGATGACTGCAGTAAAACCCACCCTGCATTTGCGTTCAGCTGCCATTCTGCCAAGCACCTACTTCATCTCTTGCTGCTGCTGGACCCTTTAAAGTATAATAATAATTATCTGAGCTTTATAAACTCAACTTAATCAGTTGTATTAATTTTGGAAATCTTCTGGGAATCTAAAAACACACTCTTCCTAAGGGGATACATTTGATCCAATGAAACAACTGTTATCCATCAGAATCTGATTCCCAATATCAAAATTTGGCATTTCAGATGTTTGTAGAGCTGTTTAATCTATTGGAACCATAATACCAGAAGTATTTATGTAACATAATTCAGGCCTAGAAAACTTGGCATTTCCAACCAAATGCCAATGCCTAACTTTGTGATAATAAATTCATAAAGATAAGGGTTCCAGACCTGCTAATGGTATTACATATCAGCGGTTGCCCAGTAATTCCGTCCTGTGAGCTGTCAAGTTATTAGATGACAGCTGCCTGCCCAGCAGAGCGAAACAGCCAATCAGAGAGCGGGCTAATAGCAGCTAGCTTGCACTGCTAGGGATGTAATGGCCTCTGTGCTCTGAAATCTTGTGATTTTTTGGTAGAAAATGATATTTTCGCATATTCAAATGAAATGTTATTTTCAAGCCGGAATACGCTTAATGTCATCCAGGTGTAATCTACTTTATAGGCAGCTACTGCAGGAGAAACGTGAGTGACAGGGCCTGGCTAACTTAGCAGTTTAAGCTAATCCAGTTAGCTAGCTGCCAAGCTGTCAGTTGACCCGTCGTCCTCTCAGAGCCGCCGTCGTCTGGCCACAGTGCAGCAACTCTGTCAAAACGTGCACTTCGGCTTCTGTCTGGTTGATGATTCAAACAGTGGACTACCCCCCCCCCCCCCCCCCCCCCCTGCCCCTTCCCAACCGGACTAGCACAGACAGCTCCCCCCCACCCCTGCCCCATCCCGTCCACAGCCAGGCCCTCCCCTCTTACCTCTGAATTTCAGTTCGTGTTGAGGCTCCAAGAGCAGAACCTGTTCCGGCCTGGCCATATCCCAACAGCTGGAGTGGGGCAATCTCGCTGCAACCAGTTCCTATCGGTTACCCCCGTCTTGCGGTGTTGTAGAATGCTGCAACGTCAGCGGGGTGGTTTTTTATCAATGAATTAGCGGTGGATATCCCGGTCCCCCGGTCACAAGAGCTACTCGAGCTGCTAAAGGCTGCTGTGATGCAGCAGGAAGGGAGTCAGCCTGGTGACGTCACTGCCTCTGCATAGTCACCGGTGGGGAGGGGTGAGGAGGGGTGAGGAGGTGATGCTGGGGTGCACCAAGAGGCTGGTGGACCACCACCATTTATTTTTAATGAACCTGGACCCAGTTCCGGGACGTTGGGTAATAGGTGTCGGCTGTCATTTTAGATCCACGAACTGGGATTAGCGTTAGGCCTCAGATTACTCTCAGGAGACACCCCCAAGAGCATATGGAGAGCTCAGAGTTTGGTTTAGTGTGTAATGTAAAAAGTAAATAAAAGGGATAAATACATCATCATAGTGAGAAATTATTTAGTGTATGGTAACAGCTGCTAGGATCAAATAATCAGAAGTGCAGGACGTGAACTAAATGTCTCCAGTGACTGACCTGCTCAAATTATTAGTCAAGCAACAGGGCAGAAGCAACAGTCAACTGGCTGATAAAGCTGTTCATTTTATTTTCTGTGGGATTAAATGCACGTGGCTATTTTATAACTTTAGAGCAAAGAAAGAAATGCAAAAAAAAGTTTGAATTATTCATTGTACTTTTTATTGTGATTGTGATGTAATCCGGTAAGATTACATCACAATAAATTGTTATCCTCCATAACATAATTTTCTTGTCCCTACAGGAAAAGATCAGATCCAATGACCACCACTCAAACAACATTACACTTATCTTTTGTGCAGGTTGCACGTCCTTAGGATCGTGCTCCAGTGTAAATCATTAAGGTTCCAGACGATCCCTCAGGTTATTCCCTGACCACCACATGCTTGGCAAACAGCCCCTCTTCTAGGACTGGCTCCATGATGGGGAAACTAACAAGCCCTTTTATTGAGGTGGATGAAAAAGCTTATCCTAATATTGACAGACTACCCAAAATTTGATGGTTACGAGAGCATGTACATACTGCATGAAGTGTTAGAAGTCACCTGTTTAATTTATATAGCTATGAAGTTGATGTGTCTCAATGAAAAATGTTTTTGAAAATCCTTTAGAAAAGCCGTTTTCAAATTCAGAGGGTAGAAACTAGTTATAACACACAGTTCCCAAGCATGTGTCCCACAGCTAAAGGCCCATACATGCATGTATGTGCTGCCCCACACCCGTTTCACCTCATCAGGATTTTGTGGCTGATTAAAGGAAATATAATAGAATAAATATTTGTGCTGATGTAGAAACGCTCCTTTAAGACGTATTCCCCTTCCGATATTTTTTGAGAAAGGACATCAACAATTTATGACAGCGTTATAGGCGTCATGAAGGTTTAAGGTTGCAAACACATGCCCCATTGAAAGGACTGGTTGCCATGGCATATTTGGGTTCTCAGATTTACTCCTAAAAGCAGAGTCGCACACCTTTTAGAGACAGGTCCTTTCCTAGGGGAGAGACTTTTTATTCTGCACACCTGTGAAAAAAACAAAAACAACATAGGAATCAAACTATTTAAGAAGATGAAAGATTGTGGAGTAGTAGCATGCATTATCACAAACGGAAACACAGCTATTAGCATGTCCCTACCATGTTTGTTGGTGTGTGCACTGTTACTTTTTTGCCCCCTTCTTCAATGTTAACTATTTTCTGGAAAAAGCCTAATCATCACAACATCAACAACATGATTTTGTACCACAAATGACACTCTCAGTATGTTAAACTCTTCTTTGGCATAAAAAGCACATCCATGCCATAGTTGGGGAACACATACAAGTTTTGCAGAGGTTAAGACAGGCCACATTTAGTCTTATTGTCTGGTAGTTAGTGTTATTTTAGTAGATATTTGCACAAAAATGCCACCCCAATATAAAAGATAATGCTGTCCTACAGAAAATATGTTTTGTGTCTGGTTTTATACAATGTTAACAAGAATCATCATTTGAGAATTTTACCAAAATCTCCTTCTTGATTGGTATAACATTTTCCTCTTTAACAGTAAGCCAGTGAAGTTAGCCCAGGTGGACTTTATCTGCAGCCATTTTGAAGAACATCATGTAACTTTAGATGTAATTTTTTTTTTAAATGTCGGCTGTTTTTTGTTTGAAAGCTAAACATGAATTGCTCCTCCGCATAATGTTGAGATCCAGAAATGAACTGAGATTCTTCTCAGCATGAACAAAAACAGGGCCATGATCAATCAACTCCTCCTCCATGTACTGTGAACTGTGAGAAGAATGGCTCTGGCTGACTTGAACATCCAGCTGGATTTCTCTTATGTACTACTTAATTACCTAAGTATTTATGAAGGGGGAAAAAAACAGCATAAAAAGCAACACCATGGTGTAAAACATGTACCAAACACACGTGTGTGTTCTTGAACTGGAACTTTTGTTATTCCATAGATCAAATTAATTTCAACCTCAGATTACAGCCTTCATTCTTTTGGCCCATCTTGCCAAGATTTTACTCTTACCCAGCCAAATTCTGTCTAACATTTTTACCAGGAAGACAAATATCTTCTAAGCTGTTACAGGTCCAATATATTTCAAATTTGACAACCACCCGCCGCAGCTTTTGTAATAAAAGTGGCCTGCTCTCTACAGGGGTCTGAGCAGGAGAGTTAGAAGGCTGTCAAATAGATGTTCTACTCTTCAAAAAGGCTTCTGCCAGTCAAAGTCACATCTCAAGTGTCATATTTGTATATTTAGCCAAGCAGCTGGCTGCCGAATGAACAACACTGTCACTGATATCCCAGAGGAGCAGAAACACCACTGAGAACGTACACACTCATTCATCCATTCTGCCTCTCACCCCCAAGAGGAAAAGGCATTTTTGTCCATTTTATTAGCAAACAAGTGACAATTCCCTTTTTACACATTTGGAATTACACTGCAAACAAGTGTTTCAGGCATTTCAACCCAACCAGTATGAAACATAAGAAAAAGCTAAATATGGTGCTACGCTGATAAGTTTTACTGTAAATGCTGAGCAGATATATTGTCTTCAATAAGAGTATAGTCATTAGTTTGTGTGCAATCTCATGGCATATATCTACACTGCAAATGATACATAATCAAGATCACTGATCACATTCCCAGGGCCAGCCTAAGATTTTTGATATTTTATTTTAATGTAAAACTCGTAGCACATTGTAACCGACATGCCTCCTGTTTCCAAATGTGGGAAAACAAGTTTGTTACAATCATCAAACTTCCATTTGACGAGCACTTCATGTAATAAAACACAAGTAATGAAAAAGGTTTATTATCTGTGGTTTTTAAAAACAGCTTTGGCACCACAAACTTCAAAAAGCATTAAGTGATAAGAAGGAAAAAACGGATGCGAAATCAAGGGATGACATTATCTGATGGAAATATTCCAGAGACAACAACAGACCACAGAAAAACAAAACAAAACACAAGAGTTGGTAACACGGGCCAATCAATACCACACAAAGTATGCTTTTGAGGTCCATCCCTTTTTATGATCCCTTTTTGAAAGTTTTCTGACTTGCCGGAGCCGGCGTTCTGATGTTACTTTTCAAGTTTTGGGCAGACACAAGCAGCTCCTCAGCACTGATTTTCTGATCAATGATATTTGAGCCAAACAGTCATAAAATCAGCATGAAATGAGGCTGATCTAAGTTGTAAATACCATTAAATGATTTGGATTAAGTCACATTTTGAATAAAAAGTATTGCACTCCACAAGAAATCCTGAAAACTAGGCAGCATTGATTTTAATATAACTTATCAGTAACAGCTACACTGATGATGCTCATAGGAAATTAGATGTTTATGCGGACAGAAAAGCATGCGATGCATATTTATATAAATGTACTACTTGTTAAGCCAACAGCTGTTTTTCTATTTGTTTGTTTTGTAATTGACAAAATTGAGATTTTTGGATTAAAAGAGATAAAGAAAGGCATTCATGACAAGGAATAATAGTATCAGCATTAAGTTAGTTTTGGCTCACATTTTGACTCGTGCGATGGGGCCGAGAGAGCTGGATGAGAGAAATCGCAATGATGGGTAGAAGGTTTTAAATCCTGTAGGCGACTGTGAAGGGCTCCAGGAAAGCCCCGGTCTGCTTTACTACAATTAAAGGAGGGCATGGAGAACCTGCATGTTCAGAGGAATGAGGCACCAAATGTGAACAGAAATAAGACAATAAAAATCCAAAAGCTAAATCTGGACCAAAGCAGCTTCATTAACTCAGAGCAGAATTGGGACATAGGTTCAACGAGGGGTCAGCATGTCGACCCAGCGCCACGCCTGATTCTCCACCTATAAATTTCTGCGAACGTGAGATTTGAGCTCTAAAATACGAGCCTTTCGCCGAATGAGGCCTCGGCTCAGATCTCTCTGTTTTCATTGCAGGCCAAGTAGTAAAACAACACTACTGTAGACGTGAGAGCTGGTGCTGATTATGAGAAAAAAAAAGGAAGGATGAAAAATGTTTAGGAGAAAATTAGGAATTTGGCTAGACCTCACAAAAAACAGCCTCCCCTTGTTTTACTGATGTGAAGTAGCAGCAACAAACTGGCGAGATGGTAACACTGGGAGGACCCTCCCAACCACGGTACCACGTGCAGCAGAGGGCACATTATGCACTGGAGTTCCTCAATGATTGTGAGAGGAAATGTGGAACAGATGGAAGGGGCTGGAAGTGTTATCACACAATAATTAAGTTGGAAAATGTTGACTGTGAGGTCCTTCTGATCACAGAGGATTAACTTGATGATAATTGCTTATCATTCTCAAGAATAAGTGGCAATCAAAATATCCACTTTAAGACAACGAGAGAAGAATAACAAAGGTCCTAATTAAAGGAAATTTGAGAAATGTGCTGTAAGTATCTGGCACAGTCAGATGAGAGGAGCGAGTTGGCTTAAGAATCTTAGCCCGACGCTGTCCTCGCAGAAACTGAAGTGACTGTCTCCTGGCTCCAGCTTCATACAAATACAGCAGTGGAATGAAATTCCCAAAAATGCTTAACCGTTCCCTCAGAGTAGTGGAAGTAAGCTCCCACACAGCTTTAAATTCTGTTTCCTTCACTGTGAGATCCAAAAAGCTCTGTGGTGTCAGGCTTTGAAAAGAAAAAGACTTAACGTTAGTATTCACAACCCTTCTTGCATCACTGATAACATTTTTCTCTTGTCAAAGCATTTTTTTTTATAAATTAGTAAGTACGCCCATACACTAAAGATGGTCTCTTCATGAAATTGAAAATGTTTTGGGAGATATTTCCCAATAACTTATGACCTACTAAAAGATGTGACTAAATCACTTCATTGCTTTCCCTTTTTTTTTTTTTTTAGGACAACGGGTTGTACAAATGTAAAATATAAATGACTGGCAATGACATGCAGAAAAAAGGGAGTCTTTTACTGATACTCGAATGTATCAGTGCAAACGCGTAATTCTCCTGCCAGCCATTCAAAGACGATGACTTGCTGTTGGAGAGCATCGTGAAAACGTGTTAGTTGCCGCTGTCAGAGCGGCGCTGCTTCACCGTGGCGTCGGCGACCAACGTGGTGGGGTGTTTGAAGTGCAGAGGGTCGGCAGGTAAGGAAAAGGCCAGGTCACAGGTCGCGCCGGGGACAGCCGCCGTCATCAGCAGCACGTCCTGCGAGACTCAGAGGCCTGTCGTCCCAATTTGAAACCTTTTCCTGAGGAGGCACCTGTGGCTTCAACAACAGGGATGCGCTTACCTGCCCGGACACACACACACACACGTACATTTTAATAACCAAGCATTCAACTTCTTAGTTACATTTCATGTTGTCCTTTCTTTGCCTTTGGGGAAAATAAATACTTTTCTTTTTTTTTTTTCGGGGGAGAATTTTTCACTGTGGAGCTGTACGACCGTGAAATTGTTTTAATTTCAGGTGACATCCAAAGTCTAAACCCATTTGTAGTAGTTAAGATGGTTTACTCTGCAAAAGTGAATGCTTCTCATCACCATAGAAGTTATCAGATACAACACATTTTGACCTATGGTTGGTTATCACGGTGAAAAATGTTCCTCTAAATGGTGTTGCTATTTTCTTTAACTGATCAGGTTTAAAAGGTTTAAAAAAGGATTCATTCAGAAATAATAAAAAAAGAGCACTTTACAGCTTAATTAATTTTGGACGTTAAGTCAAAGTTTCATATACTCAACAAAATGCACTCACTTATCTCTATAAACACCTCGTTGATGTTTATGGCATTCTTGGCGCTTGTTTCCACAAAGATGGCATGAATGGAGTCAGCATAGTCCTTGGCATCCTTTTCTGGAACCTCCCTGGACATATGAAGAAATATGAGAGCATATTCTCCCGATAGGCATCAAATATTTGTCTACTGACATGCAAAACATTTAATCATTTCTTGGATGAATCTTAAAGACTATTTTCAGTCCTACGGACAGAAATCAACAGCATTTATAGAATTTCTTGCCCTGACTTAAATCACAGTTCTCGGGCTTTCAAAGGTCATATCTACAGCATTGCTTCTTGACAACCCATCATCACTTACAGCATGCTGAGGAGTAATTACTGTGCTGTATACAAGCAGTGTCCACACAATGTTCTTATTATTCATAAGCTACGGTTCACCTGGCATCTGTCAGGTCACATTTGTTCCCAGCGATAGCAACCACTATATTAGGGGGTCCGTGCTGACGAAGCTCTTTCACCCAGTTTTTCAATGTTTGGAAGGAGTCCTGGTGGTACAAATGAGAAAATGTTACACTGAGTAAAAAAAATTACCCCAGCAGGCAGGAAAAGTCTTTTTAGTTTAGTTTAGGAGCAGAAGAACAAATGTTCCCCACTGGCATGTAAAACACTTAAATCACTGGAAAATCAAAAATAATCCTTTTTTTGGGTATCTAAATGTTTTACACTGATCTTTAAAAATGTTTTCTGCACCCTGTTTCATGCTGTTTCTCTACATGCAGGTAAAGACTTTCTGGACTTAGTTTTAATGTTTAACACACGGCTATGTTTTTTTACTTAAACTTGCTGCTTTTACATTTCGTTGTAATTTTCCAAATTGGATTCAGATTTTCTTTAAATACACATTTTAATTCAACACACAGCAGCAACGATAAAAACACATCACACCAGTTGTACGTAATTGTGATTGAGAGGAAAATGTTGAAATTACCTCTTTTGTGATGTCATAAACGATAATGGCCGCAGCTGAGCCTCTGTAGTACATCGGGGCCAGAGCACGAAACTATGGGAAGATTGAGAGAAGATGTTAGGGGATGAGAAGTGAAGAGTGGCTCTTCAAAGGAGATCCACATCTGCTGTTGTGATGAAGACGGTGCGTCTACAGCTGCTCAGAGCACTTTCTCTCTGCCGTAGCCAGACTGTTTGGATGCTCTGCCATCATCAGGTCTGACTGTGGCTCTGAAACCCTGTGAGAGCAGCATCAGTGACGAACATCAATATAAATAATCATATTTGAACACAATCAACGCCGACTCGTCTTTGAAGGCCTTGATTTCGTTCCAATTCTTCATTTTAGGACATGAAAAGAATACTAAAAATAGAACTGAAGTAGGTTTTCACCTCCCACAGATCATTAAACGGCGTGGTGGTTTTTCATGGAATGTGGCTAATCCGTTAGGCAGAGACACTTTTAGAAAAATGACATCGCAGCGAGTTACATTAAACTCATATCCAGTCAGCTGTGACAAACTGAAAACAGAACAATAACTAAGACATCAAGAAACCACGGCCCCCCAGTCCTGCAGCTGTAAGCCAAGAGGCCGCTTTAAAAATGGAAGTTCTTCTTTCCATCTCACACATGTGAAAGCTATCAAGAGAAAGATGAGCAGAAAGTGTCAAAAGCCGTCAGTGTCTGGAAGTTTATGGAGGACTGGTGATTTAATCTGAGCCCAAAGCGTCACACGGAGCTGCTCAATCAAACCAACACGTGCAGCGTTTCTGGTTCTATACCAGCCTGTGAGGCTGGGGTTCGCCAACTTTGGGTTTTTGCTAATGAAAATCTTTCCACCGTACAGTTAGACCTGGCTTCATTAACACACTGCATGAAAACTGTTTTTCCCCCTGAGAATATGAAGGGAATGATGGATTTGAATCCAACCGTAACAGCAGGATAAAGTTAACATCCAGAGCTAAATTCAACAACCTCAGCACCAGACAAACGCCAGCGAAGTAGGATGTCACCCATTTGTTTTTGGAAAAGGGGCATAAGAAAAGAAACAGCTCCCAGACATCAGAATAAATGGATATAAATGGATGGTTTTGTAACGATTTTGAATCAAATTGTTTCAGAATTGCACGTAACAAATATGATTAATCATTTTAAATTCCAAACTAAAGCATTTCTATTCAGAGGAATAGCAGCAAAAGATCTCAAATACCTGGTCCAAATAAGTCTACATCCACAAAAAGATATCTAAAACATGTAAAACTGAAAGAGCACATAACCTACAGTAACTACAAGTCCAGAAATATCTTTGAATTAGAACAAAGCCCAGAATAATAATCATATCGTAAGAATAAATTCCTAATTTATTCCTTGATAATCTTTATTCTTCAGAAAAGGGAGATTTATTTATGTGACCAGAAGTAAATCAAATCTTTTAAACATTTACCTTTGATACAACAGCCCATTTCAAAAAGGCATCTGGCACAATGTTGAATTGTTTATTTCCTTTGTTTAATTGCTTTGTCTACTTAAAACAATTACAAACTATGAACATTTAGATTTAATGTGAATAAAATTGCAGCAGTTAAGTATTTTTAAGAAATTTATTTTGGTTTTGAGGGGAAAAAGAGACTTCTGAGATCTGAAAACAGAGACGTTTCATGCCTTCCTGCGCTATGCTCTGGACTGGAGCTTTCAACAGGCCATTAAAGCCATGTGTCATACATTAACTAATGATATTTATTTGAAAAATGAAGATGTCGATCTGAAAAAAAAAAAGCCTTCACTTGCAATGACCCAGCCTTTCCGCGAATTCTATTTTCCTTTACAATAGGATGGAATAAACTATCCATCTCGGAGTGACAGTGTTACCTCAGAAAGCACACATTCCACATAATTATAGTTGTTACTGGCCCCACGACTACCAATGGGATTTCAGCTTGGGATATTTGGCAGAGGCACTGAGGAGAGCGCTGTCTGTTTCATTGGCGGGTGTTGGAGCTGCACCACGGCCAGTCCTGTGTGGTCTATCTGTGCTTCAACCCAAACAGCAATCAAAGTGAGGCCAGACGTCTGGCCACACAGAAACACAGAGAGCAACTCCTGCGATGCCCTGAGAGAGCCAATTAATCGCTGAAACCAAGAGCTGGGTGTGTCATGAAAGAGGCTCTCCCATTCCAGTAGAATGCAGGGTTCCCTTTTCTTGTTTTCAGACAGAACATGAAAAAAAAATAGCAGCCAGAGGTGGAGGCCTAGATAGGCTGCTGACAACTGGACCCAGATGGAGATTCAAGAGCATTTGGTCTTGAGGAATGAATGGTGTAAATCACACACTCTTCCTCTGTGCCCTGGGCACCAATGGTTTGGAGAGCTTCGTATTTCTCTGAATAAATTTAGTCCGATTTTGATCGACCAAAGCTATGCACAAGTTAGAAAACAAGCCATGATCAGCCCCAGAAAACTACAGGAGCTTCGCATTTGGTTTTTGCCACTTCTTCACTCACTGATGTGAACGTTTCCGGTGATTTATTACCGTGTGTGTGTGTGAAATGATTGCTGTGGTAATCAAAATGTAAACAACATTTTTTTTAAAGAGCACAGGGAGAAATCGTTTGCTGCACAGAAGAAAACAAAAAAAGGGGAAAACAGAAAGGGAGATCTGCTGACATGGAGTGACAGTGAGTCTAAGATAAGACACGACAGCAGCACACGTCAGAGGTCAGAGACAGTTTGACTCTATCCTCGCATTTTATCTTAAACGGGTCTGCGCGGACATCCCGTAAAGGCCGCGAGGAAGCACAATCCTCAAGGGGGAAGGAGGATGAAAGACAAGCCGCACCTTATCTCATCTCTGTGGAGTGCAGCGGCAGGAAAACAAGAACACAATGGTCGAAGACTGAGCACCAGAAAAAGGGAAGGCACAGACCAAAGGGAAGTGATGTGGGTGCGTGAGGTAGAGAAAAGTGGGATGTAGATTGTGAGTCAAAGGAGAAAGCTCTTCCTTAGAGTATATCTGTTTGGACGCTGTTGTCAATTTCACAGGAAGAAAAGCTGACGTGGTGCTCAGACACAAAAATGTATCCTCTTTCCTTTTGTGTATCACATGACGTGTGCAAGTGTCTGGGTGACTGGACGTTTGGAAAAAATGCAATCACGCCAAATGAGTTAAGAGGAGAAATCTCTGTGTTTTGAACATTCAAATATAGGATTGGGCAGAAGAAGGTGAAAGGGATAAAATTATACACAGGATTGAGGGTGAAAATAAGCACTGATGATGACAGATTTATGTTTTATTTTAGACTTATCTAAGAACACGTATCAAACTGAAATAACACATGTGATTTGAAACTGCTAAAAATGGACTAAAAGTGGAATCCTAATAGACGTGCCAGTCACGGTTAGACAGCTGAACTCCACTGAAAGAAAGGAGAATGTTGCCCCCTATCAGAAACACTGACTAACTGCAGTGTCGGCATGCCTAAAAACTGGATGAGGGAGCGGCATACACATGCCAACACCTCTTTCACTTCTGCTCACATCATATGGGGGTGGAGGCTTACTTCTGAAAATTCCAACATGACAGCAAAACCAAAACTCTGCAACATAGAAAAACTCAGAAGACATCACTAACCCGCTCCTGTCCCGCCGTGTCCCAGATCAGGAACTTGTGCAACTCGTTTTGGTATTGGACCGTCTTGGTCATGAAGGATGCCCTGGTGGAGACAAATGCCTTTAAAAGAAACTCGATGAATTCAAACAGAATCATTCAGCTTTACAGGTTTTGTTCCTTTGCTTCTAAAAAAGATATTTAAGTGTAAAGCACATTATCAGGGCTTGGAAAGTAATTCATATTTGGTGTTGATTGAAAAATTATGATAAGAAAAAACGGCAGGAACCTCTGAAAAGCTAAAGTTAGCAGAAAAACTAAGATATCTCTGTTTGAATGGTGAATTCCATTTTCTTGGAATCCAAACCAACTTTATTCATAATAACAGACTTGACTCAAAGTGCTCAAATAAACATTTTTCATAAACAAGTCACAAATAAAAACATACAAATCAAACACAGAAAAAGTAAAACAAGAAGAAACAAATGCTTAACCACTCACAACGTAGTAACAGCTAAAGAAAACCAATAGGACTTTCAGGGAGAATTAAAAATGTGTAGAGGTAAAAAGAGATCCGGTAACCATCTTTCATTGAATATGAAACTAAATCAATCCAGGTTAATTTTCTATTGATTTATTGCCTCTTTATTTTAGTTCCACTCGGAATCAGTGAATCAACTTAAATTGTCAAAACAAACGATAACGAATGGGGTGGAAAATAAACAAACTTTCAGAAATAGGAGACAGCAGGAACTTACCCAATTGTTGGGTTGATGTTTGGGTCAAAACTGTCCTCCACAAACCTCCAAACAATACTGGACTTTCCAACTCCAGTATCCTGCAGAGACAAAATAAGAACAAAGCTTGGTAAACAGTCACACACAATTACTACTACTGTCTATTTGTGGCATTTTCTGTCATCCTGCTCCACTGGTAAACTTTAGCTAACACCTATTAAATTCCTCTTAGTGGGGAAAAAAAAGTTTTATTATGGAGAAAAGAGACCAGTTGTGATGTTTATTATAGCCTTATGTTTGAATAGAAGACATTTATCTGATGGTCTTTTTCTGTTCATTAGGATGTTTTAAATAATTTTCCCTCTGGGATTATTAAAGTATTTCTGATGCTTATTTCACCCCTCACCCAAAAAGTTTATTCTGAACTGAAATATCAGTTACAAGAGGTGACACAAAAACTCAGATAAAAAAGGCCAGTTTGATTTTATTTAAGTACCGTACTTAGGAATACAATAACCCAACTGACTTCACAAGATCATTTTACTGTAGAATTATATCAGAATCAGAATCAGAATCAGAAATACGTTTTTTTTTTTTTTTAATTATTTTTGTTACAGGCTCCATAAGCAAAATAAAACAAAGGCATATACATATGTACATGTCTATACATATATACATATATATATACAAAATTCCTCATAAATATAGCTAGATATATACAAAATGAGAGGTGGATAGTGTCAATGATTAAGATTAAGATTAACTCTCAGAGGGAAGCGTTGTACAGATTGATGACCACCGGCAAGAAGGATTTCCGGTGGCGCTCTGTGGTGCATTTGGGTGAGAGGAGTCTTCTGCATGAAGTGAACCGTAACAATACGTTTTCATTCATAATGGGATCATTTATTCTATGCCATGTCAAAGAAGAGTGAAAATCCTCAAAACCAGTTTGTCTGAGCCCAGTGTGACAGGTTCAAAAGCATTTAGTCCACTCAACTGAACACACAGGATTAGGCTTTTTGTTTGCTAGTGATCATTACCATTTTAGTTATGTTAGTTAAGTGCCTTGTTTTGTCCACAAAGATTTAAACCAATTGCATTCAAATTGAACATTTTAGGGTAGGAATTTATCAGAAATGTCCAACCAGACTTTGTATTTGATAAAACTGCCCAGCTCTGACAGCATTCATTCAACTGAGCAGATGAGGGAGAGGACTTCCTCTTAAGATGCTGATAAACTGAATACTTCCTGCTACTGTCTACATTCTAAACACACATTGGAGATGTATTTTGTTGTATTATTATTTGTTTTAGTTCTGGTGCATTCAGCATAGATTGATGTTGATGTCTGGCTACTGACGTTATTTAACTATATGCCCATCTGTATTGGCTCAGCCTGACATACGAGCTGCATAATTGTTTTTGCTGCACGGGTATAGATGGAACTGAAAACCGATACGTGAATTTAAAAATCAATGCTAACTTACCCCCAGGAGACAGACTTTTAGCTCTCTCAACGACATATCGATGTCTCAACCGAAGTTTGAGATGTAGATCATTGACAATTTTCTCCTGTGCTTGCCACTTAACTTGAATTTTCTTCAGCTGGCCTGTCTTTACAAAGAGCTTAGCTTCATCGTGATCAAAACTTGTAAAATGAACGTCTCCTTTTATGTAATGACTCTCACATTTAACTCTAAAAGTCCCTGCTGTCCCTCAAATTTGCCATATTGTCAACATTGTAAACAGTTAGCTAGCTAACAGCGAAGCAACCACATCGTACGGTCTCCATCTTGAACGACTGCACGCGGTCACGTGACTGTATATGCTGTTTTTTTTTTTTTCTTTTTTTTTTTTTTTAGAGGGGGGGGATACACAAAGAAGCCCCCTGATTGTGTTTACGCTCAGTAATGTCGAGTTTGTGCCAGAGCTGTGAAACTGTTGTGGCAGTGATCGTTTAAGGGGTTATCAGCCGGTTCGCAGCAGCATCAGGAAGTACTTTCAGGAAGTTGTTTGCTACCGTGTTTGAGTGACAGCTGTGCGGTAGTGACAGCCCACACGGGACGGACGGCAGCCCGCAGAGCCGAGCCGATACTCAAGATGGCAGGTAATGGTACTTCTTAAACCTTATTTTTATTCGTGCTGTGGAGGTTTTTTGGTCTTGTAAAGCCACACAATGATGGTCAGTATGCTAACAGTTATTTAGTGGCCGTTACTTTACTTCTTGTAAAATATTTCAATGCGAGGAGTGAGCCGAGTCAAGCGACATGGCTGGACAAGCCGTGTTAGCTTACTTAGCACCACTAGCCAGCTATCAAAGGAAAGCTACTCAGGAGTGTCGAAATGGGTCACCTCGGAAACGCATTCTCACTGTTAACTTTGCCTTATTTAAAGAACATATTCAAATCAACACAGACCTTTGTAATGAACGTAGATTTTTCCATTCTAACTGGTTTATTTTCGATCTGTTGTCATAGCAAAGGCTAGCGAGTTGACCTAGCTAACGTTAGCCCGGTAGCTAGAGTCAGTTACAGCCATAAGCTGATCAAATCCCCTTATACCATAACAAAGCAGATACGCTTTCTGTGCCATCTTGTTTTTGGGTACTTTGAAATATTTTGTTTCTTTACTCCATTGATTTATAAACGACATAACACTCTTCGTTTTTAGATAAGAATTATTTTTATATTTGAAGTACATTCCGTTGCTGCCCAGCTGTAAACACATGCTTCTCCTACCGGGAGGTGTTTCTGGACTCTTCCTTCAACAAAACTACAGTCCTGCTGTTTTGCTTAAATGACTGAGTGTGACTTATTTATTGATTCATTAACTTATTTAACGCTTAGTTAGACAGGAAAATAGCCCTTTCTCTAAAGTTCCGACTCTGTCTGCAATAGTAAAATAAGCAAATATTCATGTATATGTATATGTAGCACAAAGAAAACAAGGCATAAACATTGGAAGTATGATATTATGACTGCACAAAGAAATACAAATCAGGATGTATCATCTTCATAGCCATCATAACGGGACGTTGATAACATTTGTTGTCTAAAATGTCAATTTTCTGGCTAAAAAAGTTTTGTTTTTCCTGTTATCTACCCATGGAAATGTTCTGCTCCCTCTATCAAAAAGGGCCTCTCAGAAAAATGTTAGATTCAGAAAAAGGTTAGATAACAAATAACAACTGCATGGTGTGTTTGGACAAAAGTGTGTGGGGGGGGGGTGGAATCAAGCAAGGTGGCAAGAGGAGGAATTATTTGTCAGCTGAGTGCACTGGTCAGTGACCTCAGTCACTTTATTACCTTCTGTCTACCTCAGGGATATCAAACCTCCGTCTTCAAGGGCTGCTGTCCTGCAGGTTTTAGAGGTTTCCCTGCTATAATACACCTGATTCAAATCAAAGCCCCATTTTCAGACTTATGAAGAATTAACAATCTTCTGAAGAGATCCATTAATTCTGAATCAGGTATTTGAAGCAGGGAAACATCTCAAATTTGCTGAATAGCTTCACTTGAGAAATGAAGTTTGGAATCCCTGATCTATTTCCGATCTTGTGTTTGTGCAATTAAACTTCACAGCTTATAAACAGCAGGTGCAGAATGTATCAGTAGAGGGCATGATATTGAAGCGTTTCACATTATGAATTATTCAGTCAATTCATTAGGGATCCATCTCAGTGTTTACTGACCTGTCTTGACTTGATTCTCTGAAGTTGCTGGTAACATCGATTGTGTGATTTGGATGCATGAGGCTCTGCTTTTACAGAGTGATTAATCAGCAGCACCACAGTGATTTATTGTCACGTTTACTGGAAAAAGACTTTGTCCCTTCTTTAGACATTGCCAAACTATAAATCTGCCATCCAACATCTCCTTTGAATTTGTGGGGTGTATTGTTAAGATTGATATATGTTAATAATAGGTTTGCTACTTCTCAGTGAGTGTCTTGTTCTCCTTGCAGGTCTATCTTTATACTTTGAAGATAGTCATGATGATCTGGATGATTGTGAGTATTCCAGTACAACCACTATTAAAAAATCAGATGTCAGACTGAATCCTGCATGTGTAGATATTTAGAAGACCCAATTTCAAGAAACAAATCTGGGTTTATTCTCTTATAAACATTCTGCAGAGCCCAAATTTGTTTTAGCTGTAATAATTGAAGAGGGCTAAACTGCTGCTGCACAGTCCGAAAAAACTAACTAGAACAGCGACTGACCTCACAGTCCTGCCTAATTTGCACATATTAAGTTCCTCTTTCCTGACATTTGGCCTCAGTGTCTTCAGCACAATGCCACAGTGAAAAGCCTGTCTTTTGCTTTGGAGAATAATCCAGTATATGATTCTAAAAAGGTTTCCCTCTCACCCCCCCCCCCCTCCCCCAACCCCCACAGTTGGATTTGATGACTATGTTTCAGAGTGTGACGGCATCCGTATCACAGCCTTCCTCGATGCAGGACAAGACAATCTAACTCCTCTTGGAAGGCTGGAGAAGTATGCCTTCAGTGAGAATGTCTTTAACAGGTAAGTGGAGCCTCGTGGATGGACTGATTTTTCTAACACCTCAGGGAAAAGGGAAAGAAACTCAAACAAAAAAAAGTAAACCCAGAATGCTGTGGCAGAGTCTGGTCCACAGCCTTTTTAGCGTAGGAACCTTTGTAACTGAGTGAAATGAACTGGAAGTATCTGCATAGTAACCAAGAGCTGTTTAAATTCTCTGAATACTAAGCAAAGCAGCTATGTGGGTGGAAAATAAATAACTTTTCCTCATGGCAGAAACTTTTTTTGACAGCTCAGGTCAGATTAGCCAGGGCTAACAGAATGTTTCTTCTCTTTAACCGACAAAGTTTGCTGACAAAGTAATATTCTCAATTTTGACTTAATGTCTACACCACAATGTGATATGAAACAAAGTAGTAGTAGACAAAGCATATTGAGGGAAAGTGGGATTGAATTCTCTTTGCAGGGAAATGCAACATGTTTTTCGTAACCCAATGGTTTGTCATAAGGTCGTTGGAAAAAAGAAAAAAAGACACATTTTTAGTTTTTACCATTTGGCCAGAAGGCATGTCTTGTTCTGTGGGGCTACTACAGCTGTTGCTTTTAGAGATGCATTGATTAAAACTTTCATATTGAAAGTATGAATATTGAAAGTAAAGCTTCTTCACATACAGAATAATGTGTTACCATGAATGGTAATAGGGCAAAATACTGCTCATAATCCATCTTTTTTTTTCCTTCTGTTTTTCTGCATTTGGACAATCTTTTTCTAGTATATTTGCAGTGGTTTACAAATGCTTTCATGTAGATGATTTGACAGCATTGTGCAAAGCAACGGATTCTTGTATAGAAATGCACCCTTTTATCGTGAGGTTAGGATATATAACAATTTGTGTTGTGTGCTTTTTTTATTCTGGGGTTTCAATTGTGTTACGTCTGTCTGCTTAACATGTAAAGCTTTCCAAATAACTTCATCATATTTAAAGTGTTGACTTAGTGTTTTGACGGGACCAAATGCAGCTGCTGCATCCTCACAAACACTCCGAGTTACCGCCTGAAGGCTTTTCATGCTCGGCTTTCCAGGGTTCAAGCCCTCCTGCCGTTGTAAAGTAGAAGTGTGTGTAATGAGCTTGACATTTCTGTCAGTGCTTTTTGTTGGGCTGTGTGCTCTTGACACTCGTAGGTATTGGCAGGCCTTCCACTAACTTAAAGCTGTTGCTCTCTAGGCAGATCGTGGCTCGTGGCCTGCTTGATGTGCTTCGAGAATTCAGTGACAATGAAAATGACTTTATGAGTGTCATGGAAACAGTTGCCAGAATGTCAGAGGATGGAGGTAGATGTCTTTTCTTGTCATTTTCTTTATCCCTCTTTTTTGTTACTAAGCAAAAGTGGCTCGCCTTATTTGGCTTTTCTGAGAGAAACCGCTGATCTGTGTTTCCAGAGCCAACAGTGCGAGCAGAACTGATGGAGCAGATTCCCAACATCGCCATGTTTTTGCACGAGAGTCGGCCCAACTTCCCAGCAGCTTTCTCGAGATACTTGGTACCGATTGTGGTCAGGTATCTCACTGATCCAAATAACCAGGTAGGCTACAGATTCACCCGTTTTAAAAGATTAACTTACAAATGATTGAATTTAAATATCTGAATTGGAATAGACAGCGATGCAGTATCTATGCCCGTGCATTTGGGTGTTCTGATTTTCTCACCTTTTCTTTTTCCAGGTGCGGAAGACGAGTCAGGCAGCGCTGCTTGTTCTGTTGGAGCAAGGCCTTATCTCTAAAGCTGACATGGAGACCAAAGTTTGTCCAGTTCTGCTTGACCTGACAGAACCCAGCAGTGACGACGATTACAAAATCGAGGCAGTAGCTGTAAGACAACCAACCTTTTTTCTTTTCTTGGGATGATTGGCACTGAAACTGATGATCCCTTGTTGAATTAAGCATTTAAAAAGAAGGGGAATCTTCATTTTGTTGTACACGCTTGCTTTTTAAATAGCTTGTTAATGAAATGGTCATGTATTGTGTATGTTAATGTTAATTTCAGCTGCTCTTAGTAATATTTCCCTAATTTTAGTCTGGTTTTCTAGTTCAGCTTCCAGCTTCACACAGATCCCCTCAAACGCATATGGACTCTTTTTTTGCCTTTTTGTTTTCAAGGCAGTAATACTACTTTGTTTTTCTGTAATGGTCTCAGCCTTATTCTCACGTTCTACTTCTTCTTTTTTTAAGTAATGTTTTGATGGTATTGAACCCTCTTCTTGGTTGTTCCCTATGACAGATCATGTGTAAAGTTGTCACCATGTTGAGCAAAGACACGGTGGAGCATCTGCTGCTGCCGCGTTTCTGTGACCTGTGCAGCGATGCCAGACTCTTCCAAGTGCGCAAGGTAACTGTAGATGGCCTTTAAGGTTAGGCTCTCTGCTGCAGGCTCAGCTGAGTCGGCAGGTATTTGAGGTCAGGTTTAATTGTGTTTCCGCAGTTCCATCAGTGTAAATTCAATCATTCTGTTAGTCAGCCTCAGTTCTGTTTTCTGCACCAACTTAGCCGACACTACGCTGTTGTTCTCCCTGTGGAATGTTAATTCTCTGGAGAAACTGGTGCCAGTCAGAGAAGAGTGTGTCAGAGCTGCCATTGTAGTTAAGAACTGTAAACATTTTAGGTCCTCATGATAATAATAATAACTTTCTTGATTTTTATTATTTTTTACTTAGTTCTTTATTAATAGGGTGAAGAAGGGGTAGAAGAGTCATTTCAAAACATTTGTTTTTTGCCTCCTTTTGAGAAATGATCCTTTCCTGTTGCTTAAGTTCAGCACCCAAAGTAACGACACTGTCAGTAAAACATGACTGTCATGAAAAAGGTATTATCTTCCAGTTAATTATTTTATCCTATCACTCATGTTGACCTCACTGTGTATGTTTCTCAGGTGTGTGCAGCAAATTTTGGCGAGTTTTGCTCTATTGTCGGTCAAGAGGCCACTGAAAAACTACTGGTGAGACATTTAATATTAATTTAGTTTTTTATCATAGAAAATCAAAGTATCTTGGCGGTTTCTTGTCTTTTTAAGCTCATTACCATCTATGTTACCAGCTATGTTAAATCATTGTTCGGTCAGGATGATACATTCCATGAAAAAGGAAGCAGTTTTTGCTTCCATGCTGTTGACAGATGTCTCTACAGATGGCACGCTCAGGCTTGTGGTTTTGTATTTATTATAGATGCCCAAGTTCTTCGATTTATGCTCGGACAGCCTTTGGGGCATCAGGAAAGCTTGTGCTGAGTGCTTCATGATGGTCTCCAATTCCACCTCTCCGGAGGTGCGTCGCTCAAAACTGTCCCCCCTCTTCATCAACCTGATCAGTGACCAGTCCCGTTGGGTAAGACGCACAGAAAATGGGTTAGATTCAAACTGTGAAGCATTTTTAGCCAACGTTTGTCCCCTTGAAGTGCTTTTGTTCATCGATAAAACAAGACTCTGCAGTTGGACTCCATCAGACCCTTTTTCTCCTCCTCCAGGTGCGACAGGCTGCCTTTCAGTCGCTGGGACGATTCATCTCTACTTTTGCCAACCCCTCCAGTACAGGCCTTCACTTCAGAGAAGATGGTGCCCTCCCAGAGGTCCCCAGGTGTGCCTCAGACAGGTAAGGTCACCTGGTCAGCACTAACCCATCTACAGGAGGTATCTTTCAGATCTGAAATCTGTTTACCTCCACCATTGTTTCCTGATGTCTTTAACATGATAACTTTAATTTTTAAGTAACCAAAGACATATTGATTAATATAGAGAGGGGATAGTTGGATCTTATTTTTTTTTATCCTCATGCTTAAGTTTAAATATATATATGTTTGCAGATTAATACACATAGGCATGTTTAAATTAATAATTCCGTAAGAATTAAAGAAAACCTTATTTGAGGAAGTTTTCAGAGTTAATGGCTTAATCAGACTCCGTTTGGGCAAATGGTAAGTGAATGTCTCTTTTTCAAGTCAAGATGCACGTATCCTTTTTTTTTTTAAGTGGCTTTCTTGGTTCACATTTGTCAAACTGATTAGTGAACCTTATGGAAACACAGGAGTTTCGTGTTTTATCTTGGCTTGCGGAGAATTAAGTCTTACATCATCAGTTAAATGAATTATGGTTTTAACTCGCCGGGCATGATCCGGATGGGCCAGTTTTTCTTCTTTTTCTATTCGCCTGTAAAAATGAAGAAAGAAAAAGCTGTTTCACTCTGGGTATCCGTCACCCTGAAAATCTTGTTAAGTTGTAAAGCTCCCCTTAAATCTTTTAATGAGGTCTGACCAATTTCAACTGACTATTTGATTTTTTCTTTTTAGAGAAAAAAATTATGTCTGCTCAGATGTAATGGAACTATTTAACCAGTGCTTAAATTTTCCAGATGACTAAATGCTTTGGTTTATGTACACTTTTTTCCCTTATTATTTTAGCAACTGCTCTTTGAACTCCCTGAACTGTGGCGACATCAGCAGCTGCCACACAGAAAGGACCATCACCCACACACCTCCTAACCAGGATGGCCGCGCCACGCCATCACCAGAGCATGTTTCTACAGCCGACTGCGAAGACGTCCACAGCTTTGATGACAACCATGCCTCTGTTCCCGAAGAGACACGCGGCACCCTCAAAACCAGCATCGATGGCCCCACGGCTACCAACAACGCCAGAAACACAAAAGAAGCCGAGCAGACAGATGAGAACTTTAATTCTTTCCACTATTGGAGATCTCCTCTACCAGACATCAGTGGGGAGCTGGAAATGCTGAATTGTCCGACAGCCGAGGAAGCGACAGAGGATCAGGAAACGAAAATGGCAGAGGAAGAGCAGTGTCAAGAGAATTGTTCAGATACCAAGTCCAGCCATGGCAAAGCTACCAGCGACCAGATCCAGAAAGTTTTAGACTGTTTGCAGCCGCACATTGCTGATCCGGACGTACAAGGTGAATATTCAGAGCCGTAACATGTAACGTGAGGCCTTTGGCAAAGCACAGATATGTAGATTTACTTGTATATATTTTACACCCAGCTCAAGTCCAAGTGTTGTCCGCCGCTCTGAAGGCAGCACAGCTCGACAGCCCAACAGACGACAGCCCAACTGAGCCACAGCCAGAGGGGCTGCCCGAAAGCAGCTGTGACAGCCCACCAGAGGAAAGTGATTGCGAGGACGTTCAGCCCGAAAGTGAGGAGACGTGCACAGAGGAGGAGCAAACAGTGGAATCTCCTCAGGACACAGAGACATGCCCCGTTCAGGAGCAAGGAGATGAGGAGACGCAGACAGAACCGGTGGAGGAGCAGGAAGAGTCTCCACCCGACTCCCCTGTTCTGGTATGAGACTCTTCAGATCACTGTAGTATTAGTCCAAACCATGGTCAGTCTTCAGCAGTTTTCCTACTGTGTTTTCTCATATTTATCTGTGTGGGTGTTGGTCACATTTTGTCTGGAGGACCTCCACATTTTGATAGACCCTGGTTTAAACTTTGATCTTTTTATTAGCGGGATCCACCCATTTATAGCCGATCATAATAACTGCATATGAGTTGAGTTATTATGGAGAAATCTGCTTAAATACGAAACTACCTGATTTTGAAATGGTAATGATTTAAAAAAATCTCAAACCTCAAGAGTGTTTAATGTTCTTTACAAATCTGAAACATTTAGATGACACATGCTGATGTATGAGCCACGTGGGACATCTGTTGTGCTCCTACCTGCCGTTACATTTTGTTTCCCAGCTACACCATAATAAGCTACCATAAACTTTGCTTTACTGTGAGGAGATTTGTTTGTTCTGTAACGCTGGTGATGTGGCTTTCCTCAGGAGTCTGAACTCATCGAGAGTGTGGAGGAGGAGGGAAAAGAGGACTCTCCTCACAGCCCTGTCTCTGAGGATAAGCCCAAGATCCAGGTCAGTCAGCACTGCTGTCGGACATCCTGCCGACATCGACCAGCCCCTTACAGTTGATATTGATTAACAAACGCAGTTCCTGTCGCTGTGCATATCTGTTAGCCTGTGATCCTCAACCCGTTGACTCCGTGTCTGCAGAATGTCATTCCCCAGCAGCTGCTGGATCAGTACCTCTCCATGACGGACCCAGCCCGGGCCCAGACGGTGGACACAGAGATAGCCAAACACTGTGCCTTCAGCCTGCCAGGTGTGGCGCTCACTCTGGGCCGACAGAACTGGCACTGCCTCAAGGACACGTATGAAACCCTCGCTACTGATGTGCAGGTAGGGGTGGGGGGGGCAATATAAGATTAGACTAACACTGATGAATAAAAGTTGACTGCTAGTTAGGATGTTCCAACAAACTATGGACAAGCTTCAATGCCTTATGTGAATATAGCAGGAAGTATGCATTTATTGGTCTCACAGAGCTTTAAAAAATGTCACGCTGTGTGAAATATGTTGGTGGCACACCTTATCTGATGGAACGGCATCTACTTTGACACATACCAGGTGCACGGTGGGGGAAAAAAAAGAGCAAACAGAAATATCTCAGGGACCTTGTGTTATATTTAGAGCAGTTCACAGGCTTTTTGTCAAAACCAGACGTTCGCCTTAAGCAACCAGTTTGTCCTTCATGTTGTGCTCTGACCGGCTGGTTTGTACACAGTAGCCCCCCCCCCCCCCACCCCCCTCTGTTTTTCCCTGTAGCCCGGAGCCACTTTTTGAACACTGGCTATTACGCAGCACTTGTGCAAGTTTGTTGCTTGAGGATCTGAACACAGAGGTGGTGTTGTGCTTTGTGACAGTGATGACATTCACACTGAACACTAATGGCATCCTCTCTAATGGCATCTTCTCTGCAACGACTGCCATTGCAGCCTGTCATTGCACCTCCGTAAAAGTGCAAAAGCGGCTCCTTCATAAAGCCGTGGGAGGAGCAGCCTTTAGGACAAATGGTTCTTCGAGCTGTTACCACATCTCCAGCGTTACTGTTATGGCTTACATCCTGTCTCTTCTTTCTCTCTGAGTGATTCTTCTGCACATAAATATTACAAAACCCTAGCCTTTTACACATTCTGGCAGCAAACAGCCTTCTAAAGAGTGAAGTTGTGTTTGTCTTAAATTTTTAAAGAGAAAAAAGTGTCTTAAACATCAGCCTCCAAACAGATGTGAGAGGCAGAAGCACACTATTGTTGCATTGAGTTTGGATTGGATGTGCAAAGCGTGTTGAAGCTGTGAACAATAATCCCACCCTCCTTTCACACGTTCATCAAGTCTGATGCTGTGATCACATTTGAAAGGCTCCCTAAAGCGATTTTCACAGGCCTTTTCTGGTCGGTGCTGTAATGGGTTCCTCCCTCCTCAGTGGAAGGTGCGGCGCACGCTGGCGTTCTCCATTCACGAGCTGGCCGTTATTCTGGGGGACCAGCTCACCGCAGCTGATCTGGTTCCGATCTTCAACGGCTTCCTCAAAGACTTGGACGAGGTGCGCATCGGCGTGCTCAAGCACCTGTACGACTTCCTGAAGGTAAAGTTCCGACTCATCTGCTCAGATAGAGCCCGTTTGGAAATATATATTTTTTCCCCCTCCATTAAATAATGAAAACTTTCATACGATTGCTCTGTGGAACTGAGCTGATGTGTTTGCATCTTACAGCTGCTGCACGCAGACAAGAGGAGAGAGTATCTGTACCAGCTGCAGGAGTTCATGGTGACCGACAACAGCCGCAACTGGAGGTTCAGATACGAGCTGGCAGAGTACGTCTTCCTCTCCTGCAGTTAGGGTAGAAAGTGGAAAAGGGAAGGGACGGTGTCATCACTGCTTAGATTCTGCTTTACAGTTCCGAGTAACATCCTTATTGTTCCGTATTATTTTTCCTGTTCGGCCGGTGCCGTCGGTTGATCGGATTTCTCTGTCTGGTCCCTCCTCAGGCAGCTGATCTTAATCATCGAGTTGTACAGCCACTACGACGTGTATGACTACCTCAGACAAATAGCGCTCACCCTCTGCTCTGACAAAGTGTCAGAGGTCAGGTGGATCTCCTACAAACTGGTGAGTCCGGGCGTTGCTGCCTTACTGGGGGGAGGGAGCATATGTTGAGGGAGATCGTTTGGAGCTCGAGTCGGCAGAAAGACCAAAACCCCCAACAGATGAACCATGACTGGACTTTTTTTCTTTTTTTTTAAAGAGAGGCCTCATGGTTGTGTGTTTACATTTGTGGAGCAAAACAAAAAAATCCAAGTGAATTAATAGCTTTTTAGAATGGAAATTCACACAGAAATAAAGAGTTTTTTTTTATTTTTTTTTATGTAATCACCTCTTGTGTCCCGCAGGTGGTGGAGATCCTCCAGAAACTGTACGCAAGCGGGGCGGATGATCTGGGCCTGAACTTCATCAACGAGCTCACCGTCAGGTTCTGCCATTGTCCCAAATGGGTGGGGAGGCAAGCCTTTGCTTTCATCTGTCAGGTCTGTAACCCGAACTGTTGTCTGTACTCCATAGATCACTTTATCTGTTTGATTGTCAGAGCTACTGCATCAAAGATAAAGGAACAATCTTCCTCACTGATTCTGACATTTCTAAGGGTGTTGGTAAATTATTTCTAAGTAACGTACGACATCACAGCTGCATCTCTGCCATCATGGAAGCCTTCTCTCTGACTCCGTCTGTTTGTCCCGGTGCTCCCTCAGGCCGTCGTGGAGGAGGACTGTATGCCCATGGAGCAGTTCAGCCAGCATCTCCTGCCCAGCCTGCTGAGCCTCTCCTCTGACCCGGTGGCTAACGTCCGAGTGCTGGTGGCCAAAGCTCTGCGGCAGAGCGTGATGGAGAAAGGTAATCCATGTGTGGGCTTCAATCCCTAATGTTCTGGAAAACACTCGGGCCCGGTTACACAGAGTTCTTTAGGTTTGGCTGTGTGACACGTCAGGATTTTAATTTGAGTTGTTATTATTAGAGCTTTTATAGAGAGAAAGTTTTCATGGGAATTATTTTTAAAAAGTGGCAAAAAAGAAGTTGGTTTGTGTCTTTGTGATCACTAACTAAGCTTTGATTAACAACTGACGCTTGTGAATGTTTTCATCTTGTACGGTTACATATTTTTTATGAAGTCGTTTGGAACTGGTCTGGTTTTAAAGGAAACCCAGAGGGCTATACTTTATATTTGCCATCACTGAGTCCTAAACGCCACTACAGGGAGTCTTAGGATTATTAAGGTTCTGGATCTTAAAGTAAAACGTGGTCTGTGGATCTCAGCTTCTAGAACTGATCTGTTTATTTTTATTCGTGAGTATAAAATGAGGGGCTGTTCTCTCTGCTCACTAAGCTTTGTGTTCAGCGTACTTCAAGGAGCCGGGCTGCGCCTTCTCCGACGAGCTGGAGGAGACGGTGATGACCCTGCAGTCCGACAAGGACCGGGACGTCCGCTTCTTTGCCAGCCTGGACCCCAACAAAAGCTTGATGGACACGGCTCCTCTGATCTAGCCACAGCCCCCTCCTCCCCCACCCCCCCGTCCCCTTCAACAGCCCATCTGCCTGTCTTACCTACCTGTCTGCCTGCCTGATGCACAGTCGGCATAACCTGCGACACCAGCACCCCACCGGATCCCCGACCACTGCCCCCCCCGCCCCCCGGGCTGACTCCACCACTCAGAGAATCACATCGGATGTTTGGATGAGGCCGCGGTGCGAGCATGCTCAAACAACACAAGCCCATCTCTGGCCGGGCACTACGGAGCGCACGTGATATTAAGAAGGACGCATTCGAATTCTCCAGAGTTTCACAGCAAATGAGCTGGACTCGGGTGGCAGCCGTGCTGGCTGCCATGGCAACGGCTGAAGCGATCCCGACCCGCCTCCACACTAACACTGACCCCTCCTTGGACGAGAGTTAACGCTGTGACAGGCCCGCGCTCCCCAAAACTAATTCTAAGCTCGATCTCGAATTCAACCCACCCTTTTCGTCAGCTCTTCTTTTTCTTTTTTTTTGTGGATTTCTTAAAGAGCAAGCGGGCGAAGCCTGCCTGGCTCCGATGTTGTGCACTAACTCAGGGGGACTCGTGAACCTACACAGCATTATTAAGCTCACATTGTAAGCAGCGGCTGTTGGATCCCTGCTGAAAACCTCCAGCTGTCTGAGCAACAGATCAGTACCACCGCCTCGCCCCCCCCCAAACCCCCGACGTCTCAGATGTCCTTCAGGTTTCTCTCCCTTCCACCTTTTTCACATCACTCTCTCTTATCGGAATCCATAGAAACCACTACTACTGCACAGAACCCTGACTCTGCCACTTAATGTGACCATGTCCTTTCTTTTTTTTTTTCTTAATGAAAGCCCCCCCTCCCCTCCCTCTCTGTGTCTGTTCTCCAAAAAATGTGACACAAGTTTCTCAAGTGGCAGGAGACTAATGAAATACCTCTGTTTGGACATTTGGACACGACATGTGGCACACGCGTTCAAACAGGTCGAATGTCCTCAGACGGTGTTTTTCTTTTGTTTTGGGTTTTTTTTTTCTCCTTTTTTTTCCTGAGCGATTCTGTGGTGCTGACGACAGCTCGGCAACAAAGGGCTCATGACGAAGTGACACAGGGTGACGCAGAACTCAGAAGAGGAAGAAAGCAACAAGCACACTGTTGGATAATGCATGTTTCCCCTCCTCTGCCCCCCGCCCCTTCCTATGTAAAGTCTTTTCCGCTTACTTAAGGTTGACTTCCTGATATCAGACTGCGACCACGGTTGCTCTCAGTGGATCTGACTGACCAGGTGTACAGTAGAATATAGTTATGGCTGTGTGAGGAGACTGAAAGACACCGGATCATATTTCCCGGTCCTGGTGGAATGATTTAATTTTTTTTTTCTTCTCTTTTCTTTGTTGTACAGCTTGAACCTGTGGAAAAAGGTGTGTTTTAACGGAACCAAGGCCAGTTTTTTTGTTTTTTTTGAATATTGGGGGCATTTACCAATTTTTTTTTTTTTTTTTTTTTGCAGTCTGTTGAGTTGATTTTTTTTTTCTCAGTTGTAAATGATAACCCCCCCACCTTCCCTCCCCCGCCCTTTTGTTCTTTTTCAATGAGCATCATTTGAGAACTTGAGTTGATTGTGATGTGTGCTGTGCATCTCAAGTCTTTTCTTCCTTCAAAAGGAGAGCTCACTGCAGTAATGGCGGTGTCGACTCATCTCGTCTGTCTGCAAGTTGTCCATCTCATTTTTTTATGTAGTAGAACAGTTAATATATACATTTTATGAAAATTATTTTTCTTTTTCAATTATGCATCGCAGTTCAAAGATTTTATATCCTAACTTTACAAAATTTACAACCTTTGTAATATTCAATGGTTCCTTTTAAAAAGACATTTTATGTAATGTTATTTTTAGTATTCTGTAATTAAAATGATGAAAAATACACCGTCTTATTGATGCCGCTGTATTTTCTTGGATTGTAATCTGTGTAAATGCTCTGGTAAAACACAGATGATGTCTTTCTATTTTTAAGCCAAGTTGGACAATTTATTCACTAAATTCCTGTGAAAACTTCCAGACTTGTCTGTGACTAAGTCTAATTTTGTTGTGGCTTTATCTTCTTTCCTGTTTTTGACTTGTGTCCATTCGTTGTCTTTCAAAACATCTTAAACACAGAAGTTGAAGATGCTCGGGTCACAGAGCCTTAAACGAGGCAGAAAAACTCAAATGAGCAGATTTAAAGGCACGTGATTTCAGTGGAATCTGTTAAAGGATGCAACAGATTTTCAAATGGTTTAAAAACACGTTTTACTGTGTGAATGTTGAAATGATCTGTTGCATTCAGATGAAAGTGGTTTTCGGTTTCTGGCCCTTCAGGTCTGCAGTATATATTTTTTTTAATCTGTGGATTAAAGTGGATCGACTGATAGATCCCACTGCTGCTTTTGTCGTGCTAAAGTCAGGAAGTGGAAACATTGCCCCCGAGAATCTCATATCCGCCTGAAGAGCAGCAGCTGACGGTCCCACGAGGTGCTGCCGTAGCTCTGGATCAGCTCCATGCCGCAGTCTTCCTCCAGGTGCCGCCGGGCGTGACCCGCCAAGTCTCCCCGGATCTTCAGGGCCTTGAAGTGGTCAAAGTCCGAGCGGCCCAGCTTCCTGAGGCGGCGGGCGGCCGAGCGGTAGCACTTCCAGGGCTGGGCCTCCAGCAGGAGGTGCTGGCTGAGGGAGGCCAGGCGGGAGAGCAGCCGCAGCAGGCCCGAGTCCCCGTGGTTCAGGTGGACCCACATGGTGACGGCCAGACACACACACAGGTGGAAGCGGGGGCAGCCGCGCCGGGTCAGGAATTCCTGCAGCCGCCCGACGTCCCCCGTGATGTCCAGGGGGATGAAGGTGATGCTGTCGGGGTGAGGGTTGGTCTGCTGGGCGCGCTCAATGAGGCGCTCGTCCAGGTCAAAGCCCAGGAGGTGAACTGTCCTCCGGTGGGACTCTTCTTCAGGCACCACGTGCTTGTAAAAGGCTACACTGAGTTCCTGATGTCCAGAGAGATACACAAGAGCAGACAAATGTTCGATTACACTTGATCAGATAATAATCAGATACAGATTATTCCTATGATGTACATTACCCATAGGGGGAGCTTTATTACTTTATATTCATGATCTAAAGCCTTTACGTTGCATTCTTGGAAAACGTCCGGTTTAAGACCAACAAACCTCCTACTTTTTCAACATTTTTGGCTTTTAGCTAGTCTTGTAACTTAATCCTGCATGCATACAGCCATACATACACACAAAATACTTTGATTTTCATTTCAAATCACATTCTCATTCACAAAAAGAGTTCAGATAGATGTACTTTACACTCACTCCGGAGTTACAGCCCACGTCCAGAATCAGCGTGTCTTTATCGCGACTGTAACCAAGATCCTGCACCAGTGTGGCGGGGATCAGACTCAGACGATTCTCCGGAGGGTTAAACGTGTAGTAGTTGATGAAGTTTCCATAAGGAGCAGCGCCCGGGTCGTTTATTTCGTCTCCAGCTTCGCTACATATTGTTGCCATTGCGATGTGTGCGTCTACGAAATCATTCCGGACAGAAACATGAAACTGTTGTGTTTTACTGTCTGTAGTTTAATCAGTTTTGTCATATTAAACTTTTACACGATTTTGTTGATTTAAAAAAAGTCGTCAAATAATAATAATGTGTATGATAATTTTAATGCTTAATTGGGTGTAAAGGAATAAAAAAAGGTGTAGCCTTAAAGTCTTTGAAGGCATGGTTTACCTTTGGGATGCACGTGGCACCTTCTTGTAAAACATTACATAATTTGTCATTTATATTTGTACAGAAATCTAAATTGAAGAATGTGTTTTTACTCCTACAAGTAACTGTAATATTTTCGCCATTTCTAATTCTTTATATATTGATGTTGATATCATTTTATTTAGCGACAGTATATGTAAGCAAAATATAAATGTCAGCCGTAAATAGATGCCAGTAATCATAGACATATATACGTAGATGCCGCGTTGAGCCTGTTGGTCCGTCAAAAAAACACATGTGAACTCCAGGCCAACAGGAGGCGCACTACATCTCATCGTGTGATATGGTCAAATCAGGGCGAAGTCCCTTTTGAGCTTCCGTACATTACGAAAGCTAAGGTTAGTTAGCAGACTGCTAACTTTGCATGTACGTGTGCTGACATTGAGAGAACCATAGACATTCTACGCCTGTGTCTGCGTTGAACGATTACAGGTAGGGAAAACAACCATTAAGGAGAGATTTCCAACGTCTGCCCTCGTTCAGGGCTGAGAGACCGTTTTCCGCGTGCTGTTAAAAGAGTAAATGGTTCATTTTGAGAGGGTGACGGGCTGCCATCGTCATGAAACCAGATACATTTTCCTGATGACTTTAGTGGTAAAACAGCAGCGAAGTGTACAATGATCAACGTAGATAATACATGGTTAAAAGCTGTCAGTCTTTTATTTTTAAGTTTTGTTTTGTTTAGGTGTGTAGTTTATTATTTAATGACTGCAGCATGACCAAATACTGACACTACTGGTTAGTGGTTTAAGGCTGCCTTTTATCAGTTTTCCATAATATATGTATTGGCCAATCGTTTTTCTACTCCATTTAAGCCCTTTTAAAAAGAAATAAATAAGCTATATGATTTAAAGGGAAATTAGTGGTTATTTCTGCTGGCTTTGGATTTCTAATAAATATGTAGAACGCCATCAAATGAGTTAAAAACATTCAACGGACGTACATTTAAGATAAACTCAATTGAGATTTTGATCAGGTTGAAATTCTCTAAGTTAGATTTATGCCATAGTAGCAGTAGTTATGACTCGAACAATGTAATGTGTTTTTATAGTTATCTTCTTGAGATAAATACTTCTACACATTTTGGAACTGAAAATCATAAGTTTAATGTTTGTGCTGAGATGTAACATGTATGGAGAGTCATGCAGACTTCTAGCTGAAGTCTATATCTCAAATATGCTCCTCTGGAAAAGGACCTGTGGTTTATTTGAGAGTTTTAATAGCATCTTTGTTTTGAGCCATACTTAATTAAATGCTGGTTTTGCCCTGCCCTTTGTGCTCTCCCCCAGGGTCCTCATCATGGTGTCCGGAAAGCGTGTGGCTGATATGGGCTATCGGGTTTTTTCCGCCTCCATGATGCTGCTGACGGTGTACGGAGGCTACCTGTGTGCCATGCGGGGGTACCGTTACGTGGAGAAACAAAAACAGCTGAAACTGGCTGCAGAGAACCAGGATCCCGAGATCATCAAAGACTGACATTCAGGCAGCCGCACGCCTCTTTTTGTGAAGACGTGGACATTTTCCATTCCTCATGCGTCTGTCCGTCTGTCCTGCTCAGGTTGACACCTCGACGGATGCTTGTGGGATTTCAGACGTTACCTCACACGGACGAGTTTTTTGCCAGGCAAATCGATTGAGAAAAACGTTTGCGTCAGTGGCCTCTGTCATGCTCCCTTTTAGTGGCACTGTTTCAGGAATGAAGATGGCTATAATTGTTTGTATTATGTTATATTAAAATGCCTTCAACCACATTAGTTTGATCGTATTTCTTAACAGGATTTCTTTTGTTAAAAGAGAGGCAACCTTCAACAACAGAATATATTTGAAATTACATTTGTACAAGGCACTCACGTGAGAACATGACAGACTTTTGTCAGGGTCCTCATACTGGGATTCCTGTACAGGCAGTGACAAACAATTGGTTTCAGAAGTAAAAACAGTAAAACAAGTGACAAAGTAGCCATAATAAAAGTAGTGAAGGGAATATCCACAATAAAACTACAATGGGCTCCAAACCTCTTTCTACTCAAAGGAACTGGTCAAACCACGGCTGAAACCACACTTCATTATTTTTCCTGTTTTGCGTGAAGTCTGCTGTGGAACGTCAGCTTTGTGCCGTCCAGAGTCAACGAGCCCATCGACAAAATAACGATCCAAGTTCAACTGACCAATAAAACTGGGAGAGAACATTGAAACTGGTACTCTGCATGAGATAAATCCCAACATTTTGTAAAATGAGGCTTTTTAAAAATCACATTTCGAATAGATTCCCGTTGCTTCGGCTGGTCCGAGTCGCCTCTGGAGTTCCGCGCGTCCTTGGTCAGTTCAGAAACAGGACAGTGTGCGCGGCAGCTGTCGGCGTGATGTGTGCGTGTGCTCGGCTGGGGCCGGGCGTCACCAGCCGCTGTGGTTCTGCGTCCGGGCCCTGACCGTGGCGTGACCGTTCACGCCGTTTTCTCCTTTGGGGGTGTGAGGGCAGGTCCGCAGGCCGTCTCTGGCCGAGTCGGGCTCTTCCTCCGAGCTGCTCTCGATGTCGCTGCGTACATCGTTGCACACCTGCAGGATGAAAAAAAGAGGGGGAAAAAGTACCTCATAAATACCAGATTTCTTTCCTCCACACTCAGTTTTGGGCACAGCTGGTAATCACGGATAATCTTTACATTTGACAATGTTTTTAGCCTTGAAGTGAGACGAGAGGGACCGTTTTGGCTCCCCTGCTCCCACTGAGGCGGCCTGTGGCTCTCCAGCAGATTCTGCTCCATATGAACAGTTAAAGGAACCATATGTTGGTGCACCTGATGAGCCACAGGGTGGAGGTGTGGGTCTGCCTCAACACGCTCTCGCCTAATGGGAAACAGTTGGGCATGCCTGACATTCATGGCACTATTACCACATTACTCATCACCCCCGCTTACTCTGCTTAGTTTTTTTTGAGTGAGGCTATATCTAAGTGCAGGCCGCAAAAGGTGTTTGAGCAAAAAAAAAAAAAAAAACTACAGTCTGGATGGAAACACAGCAAAGGGTGGTGGGGGGAATAAGGTTTGAGGAAAAACAGGTAAGAGTGGAGCGAGTGATTGAAAACTTACAGGCAGACACAGAGAAGGTAAAGCTGTCAGGAAGACAGAGCAGATGCAGAGAAGCAAGAAAGTAGCTAGGGAGGGCTCACTGGACAAAGATAAGACACAGAGGATCCCCCCTCTCTCATTCTGGGGAGGAGGAAATAAACGGCGTCTGCAGAAAGAATTAGACAGTCAAGAGTTTGACAGAGGCTAGGTTCCCATAGCGATAACTGCTAAGTCCCAATAACCATTGTGCCATTGGGATCTAATTCTTAGAAGGTCAACAAAAACAAAGCGAGTCCAAAAAAAACCCCTGAGGTGCGGAGGGAACAGTCAAAAGATGTAAACACTCTGTAGCAATTTTTCCCTGAATTCTGTTAAGGGCTTAAAGGGCATACAAATGTGACATGAATTAAAGTGTTCAAATGAAATGTTTGAAAAAAGAAAGATGTATAAATTACAGGCTGACGTTTTTTTCTCTTTTAACCTAATCTCATTAAACGACTTCACATTTCTAATCGGAACATCAGCTCAGTTTGAGCTGCTTATACTGAAGTTAAACTAATGGAAATGTGTTTAAACTGATTATTGACTTATTTAGATTTTTTTATTTATTGAAAGATAAAATATTTGCACCTTTGGCTGTGAGGGCTTGTTTGGGATCTCCACGGCCAATCGGATTAGATCATTTATACCAATCTGAGACGTCCATCTGAGTCCAGGGCCAGAGTGGACTGTGGCCCGGACACTGAAGGACCCCCCCCATGCTCCCCACCATGCGGCCTGTGAGGTTTTTGGCTCACAGGCCGCAGGAAAGTGTTGCATTCAGAAAACTTTGACTCCAGTCTGACCGTCCCACCACAAAGGGGCATTTGGAGGACTGCTGCATCGCCATCTAAACTATTGAGCTGCTGTCAGGCTCTTTTCCACTGCCAGTGGGCCCAGACTTTAGGAACAGGGGGACACTGTAGACTCCAACGGTTCTCTGTGACTCACCTTGCCTCGCAGCACGGCTTTAAGGGCTATACGGGCTATGAGGTACGACCAGAAGATGTGCAGCACTTGAAGGACCAGCAGCAAGACGTTGAAAAGCCACCAGGACGGAAACGGCCCCACTATGGCCCAGCTTTCAAACATGGTGGAGTTCAGCACCCTGGTTAAAGCAAAGAGAGACAGAGGAGAGGACACGTCAGCATCACACCCAGAGATTCGATTCTCTGTTTACTGTGTAAACCGCTGGGTGACACCAACACGCATGTGTGTGTGTGTTTGTGTGTGTGTGGAGTTATTTGGTTTAGCTGCCGCTTTGCACTCATAACCACCACCAGCCTGCGTCCTGTTGGCACAGGTGGTTCTTTGACTTCCTGCTTTCATTCAGTTGAGCCTTTAGTGTTCCAGCATTAATCATTCCTTTCCTTTTAGTCTGTCATCTAGGGTTTCATTGCATGTGCTCAAATGATAATGAAGCTTCCATCCATCCATCACATACATTAGATAAAAGATTAGATAAAATAAAGAGACCATCCATCCCCTCCTTTCATATTGTTACCTGGGACTCTTTTAATGAGGTCCACCTTTACTACAATGTTACGACTGTGGCCTAAACAGCTGTCAAACAGATTTACTTCAACAACAGGTGGGCTGCTGGTGAGCTCACGTCTTCCTTCAAGCTGAGCGACACGGGGTTGTCAGCAGACCCATTTCCCCCCCTGGGCCGGTTTAGATTACAGTCCATGTCTCTGCGCTAGCAACACTAGCTTTATCAATCAACCACACCAAGACACTGAATCTAGCTGCTCAGGTTACTGTAGCCAGCGATAGGGTCCCCATTGTCTCTGTCTGTGTGCAGCCTGAGCTGCAACATCCAGGTTTCTGTCGCGGCACAGTCTCCGTCTGAGTGGAACTCTATGGCTACAAGTTAAGCGTAAGATGGAAGGGACTCGTCTGGCTTCCACACAGCAGCGTGATGTTGTGTTAGGCAGTGTGTAGTAGTTTTCCTTTTAGAGTCCAAAAAATAAAAAATAAAATCCAGTTACAGGCTGCAGAATGCGGACTGTGAATGGATTTTACAGGCCGCACAGTGTCATGGATATGAAAGCAAATGTATATTATCAGGGTCCGGTGCATTTTATTCGACATCAGTTGTGTACCAGGACAAAGCTCGAACAGAGCTTATAAACACAAAGGAAATAGCTGCGCTCAAAGAGCACAGACGCGTGCATTAATAAACTAAAAGGTACAAGCAGAGCAGCCCAAAGGTGTGTCTGGCTGTGGCAGGTGTCCGACGGCACTCACCAGATTGGAAATATAACGAGTCTTGTGATGAAGAAAACCACACTAAACGAAATGAAAAGGAAGTCACACAGGCGCTGGGACTTGGCATAGTTGGCCAGCTTGGCAGCCTGTTGAGAAACAAAACATTGAAGAAAATTTGCACTCAACTGTATCGAAGTTGTGCATTTAATCCGTCTGGATTTCAGCCAAGACAAAAAATAACAGCAGCTATCAATATCTATTGTTCAAGAAATTAGCCGGCGACTTCCTAAAAGGCTGCCGCATCTGAAGGGGAACTGTTGAAAGCCACATCCCTGGATTAACAGACACGTTTCCTATCTGGTTTTTCTTTACAGCATATCACTGAGAGCTTTTGCCCAGAGTTGTAGAAAAATGTTCGGAATCCCACTCAAAAGTTAGGCCTAAACTTAATCTAATGTAACATCGTAGCTGAAAAAATAACAAGGATGGGAAATTCTTAAATCGGGTCCATGACTAAACGTGAAATTAAGTTGTCATGCAAAACCCATTATGTATCATTTCAATGCAGATCTGGGACATTAATCCTGCATTGTCCGCTGCCTCTGAAACAGATGGCCGTTATTGCTGACCTCTAGCAGGAAATCAGAGGCATCGTGGACGCACAGCACGAGGCTCCCCACTCGCGCCATGTTGTTGACGTAAGAGAAGCTGATCAGGCCCACTGTTGCCAAGTGATGAATGAACATGATCAGGAAGTCCTGGGAATAATTAAAAAAAAAGAAAAGAGGAGAGCAATGGTTAGAAAGGAGTACGTGCACAGTGAAAGCTCCCTCCTGCATTCGTCCCTAGAGAATTAGCTGTCCACATGCTCCAAACAGAGAAGTGCCATGATTTAATACAAACAAACATCTAAACTCAATGTATCGGAAAAACAATTAAAAATACACTATTATTGAATGTAGAATATTCTCATCTATGACCTGGTGTTTACTTTGTTGTCATGCCTTCGCACAAAGACTTTATGATGAGTATAAGGCATTGTGGATTCCTGTCTGATAAAGAAACTAATATTATATCACCAGGTCAAAGTTTACCGTTAGAAATCTTTAGCAAAGAATGTCGGCATAAGGCTTAGAGTGTAGCCAAAACAAAAGACATATCCATTCGGGAGTCAAGCCGACTGTGGAGAATTAAAGGTGAAGACAGGGAGTGGATTTATGAAGAAAAAGAAGGAAAGTTAATAGAACTCCAAACATATTTTGGTGTTTTGACTGTCTGTAAAACTACCAATACATAAAAGGCAATTTATGTCGAATTCTATCTCTGACTGTTGAGTAAATATTAAAGCTCCAGCTTCAGAGGACAGATAAAGCATCCAGAGAAAAACCTTTTATCTGCTTATCTTGGATCTGTCCGACGGGCTCCGAGAGCAGCCAATTTTCCTGTGCCGAGTTATTCCATTTTAAATTATTTACTCCCTTGCTCTTGTGTTGAAATCAATTTTCCTTATCCATACAAATCTATACAACATATTCATAACTAGGGCCAAAAAAGGGGTAAATGTGATAATTCCCCCGAGGAATAACTGACTTAAAAAAATGTAATTTAATTTCATTTTGAAAAAAGGAAATTCTGCTGAGGAAATAGGTTCAGTGGGGGCATTGTCTGCCTCATCTGATCAGCATATTACCGTACTAAAAGATTAAATTAACTGTATGTGAAAACACACCAGGGACTACTGAAAACTGCTTTACGTTGGTGAGCTCTGCAGTGGTATGAACTGTCCGAAGTAAAGTCTAACTCTGGGGTTGGGTGGTATTTCTGCAGTCCTAACAGACTTAGGCCTGCGCCATCCTGCTGCTATCACATGATAGCCGGTGCCCTCGTGCTCAAAACACAGAGCATTCAGAGCTGCTCCCGCCCGCTTAAAAAAGAAAAAAAGGAAACACACACTCACACACACGACATCCATCCAAAATCTCAACAGAAAGAGGTTATTGTATAGAAAACACCAAAGGCTGATTGGCTTTTGATGTTCTCCAATTTACATAAAACTCAGAAGCCTTGTATCACATGCACTCTCATTTACACTTTCTCTGGCCCCTGCTAAATGTGGAACAATAGAAGTATTGACTAATGTGTAAGAGGGAGTGGCCACTGTCCAACAGACACTGGTTCAGTGTTGAGATTACCTTCCTCTTTATATCGGTGAACTGGGAGAACATGAGCGACCAGTAGAAGGCCAGTTCTGTCACATAGTAGTGATAAAGACCCCGAGTCATGATCTGATGAGATGGAGAGAGATCAAATAGGTCTTAATTAATACGTTTAGAGCAGACCAAAACAACCCAAAAAGAGAATATCAACGGGCACGTGACCATGGCGCAAAGCAGAGAATCCCAATCAAACACAGTTAAATAAATACAATGAAGTTGATTTATCTGGATTTTATGACATCTCCTTAAAATAAAATATATAAAAAAGACACATAACAAATGATGGACATTAAGCAGAATACTGAGGTGTTTGTGAAGATATAACACACACTCTGTGAGTGAATGAGCTGATCATCACACGAACCCACTGCTGTCACAGGAGTGGGAGGGAGAAAAAACTCCACACTGTTTGACTCATTTCCTATCGTCTTATGGTTTGTTTTATTCATTTTTAGAACAAGGATAAAAGCTTTTCTTTAAACAACTTAACTTTCCTTTTTGCTTTTTTTAGTCAGCTTATTACACCTGAAGATACAGGCTTTTCTGTCCAATGACCCCAAAGCCCATAAAAGTAGTTCTAGCCGGGCATATGTGAGTCAACAGGAAGACATTTGAACACAGACGACTTTTTATGACATATTATTACATATATATTGGACCAGGCATTGGAGTCAGCTTATAGAGTGACAAAGTTTCTGCTTTTGCACACACACATACACACACACACACATAAGAGTCAACACTAAGTGCCGAGGCCACACATGTGCCGTCTAATACAGCCCCTTGGTTATTTACAGTGTAAACTGTAAATAACCAATGCTCATATTACACCATTGTGGATTTTTCTGCCAACTCTTAAAGCATATCAATATAAGTCACACCCAGCCATTATGGGTTGTGATTGGGAAATAGTCTTGAGCAGGTAATCAATAATCGAACCATAAAAAAAGAAACGGGAGCCGAATCATACCTGATAAGGGTAACCGTACCAACAATGCCTTGTGTCCCACATCCAAGGAGACTGAAGAGAAATAAGGTAAAAACTCATGAAAAAAAAACAAAAAGCAAGTAGATTAACAGCATTGCCATCTGAATATATATTAAGATAAGGCTCTGGCAACAGCTGACGACCTCACCTGCCACAGAAACTGGAACCCATAAGTAAATATACCCAAATAAAATGTAAATCTCCACCTAGAAGTAAAACAGAAGGAATTGGTAATGATCCCGCAGAATCAAAATGCTTCACTTAAAGAATCAAACAAAGGGTTAGAAATCCAGAAATGATGAGGACCATTGTTTAAGCATTTATACCGACCAAAAGAACACAATAACAAATAACTCTTGGCCCTTTTTCCTTGCGGTTTGTAGTGTGTTTCCTGATGGGAACGCAAGATTCAAATGTTCAAACTGTTGAGGTTGCGATGGGGGCTATAAGCGCAGGCTTGACTGAAATTCTATAAACACCTCACAAGGAGGCTCTAAAACTGGTGGCAACAGGTGATGGATGAAAAGAGACCGGAGCGATTGTGAGTTTTACATTGGGACGGTGGTGGTAACTCAGGAAACTGTGCGTGTTTTCAAGCCTGCGACGCCTGGCCGGTGAAAGTGTGCCTACGCCTGCGGAGAGCTTCCAGGTGACGGCAGCGGGAATGAACCTACATGCTCTCGCAGAACTTTGTGTGCGTGCTGGGTTTATCTTGATTCCTGCGGTGTCTGAACCAGCGCTGGACCTTCCGCACCTCCCAGTCCAGCTGCTTCGAGAGGCCATCCAGATGGCGCGAGTCAGGGCTCTGTCACAAAAGTAGGGGAGAGAAGGAAAGAGGCTTTCAAACCTTCGTATGTAGTCGGTGAGAGAAGATTATGGCAAAATAGAGATGATACAGTGTATACTTTATCCTAAACTTGTGTAAATCTTTTTATCACGTCCCTTTTGGACATCAATTCGGCCCTGAAACAGGAAAAAAAAAAGAGGCCCAAACCTTTGTAATGGATGTAAACACTTTCTCCAGCACGGCGTTGGGCTGAGCCCGTCGGCCAACGCCCGGATGGATGCGGAGGCTTCGGGCACAGGCAGTGGCGATAAATCTGTGGAGAGAAGGAGGGTCACTCGGAGCTCTTAAACACAGAAAAACACAACCAAAAAAAAAAGTCTTCTCTTCCTTTATTCAGCAGAGCCGACAATCCATTTTCATTTTGTATCTCGTGGAGCACCGGTGGTTTCTTTTAATGGGCCGCCTGTATAAGCACTAGCCATGGACAAAACCCAATTCAGACTTGCTGTGAACGTACCAGATTTGGTCCTGACAGACTTATTCTGGATCTGCTTTGACAGACTGGGTTAATTGTCAATTTATATCAGGAACAGATATTGTCTTCTTGTTCAACCTGTGAACTTGGGGGCGGTGGCTGAGTACAGTCCAATGATCAGACTTTGGTCTCAAAGTACAGAAATAGAAGCTGGATGGTCAGAGGGAATAGACGGGATATGGGCGAGTTGACCCGTCTTTAAAACCTCACTATTGCCAAACGGAATGAAGGAATTCATTAAACATTAACACGGTTGTGAAAGTTATGCTGCTAAAAATTACACCGGCACTCCTGAAGAAAAACATTCCCGACGTCTGTGACGGATGTCGTTCGCCAGCATTGAGGAAAGGAGAAACACAGATAATGCCGGAGAGAGTTTGTTTATAGAGCAGCTCTGCAGAACCCATCTCTGTCCATGCTGTCACTAACGGAAGTCTTTGCATAGGTAATAATACTCCAACTCAGCCTCGGGGGCTGATGAAAGTTTACATGGAAATCAGGGGATTTTTTTAGGAACATGACATTTAGGAACAAAGCCTGACTTTCCAGTTTAAAGGACTAGCTCACGACAACGCTGTCAGCTGCGTTTCATTTGCTTTTAAGAGCTCGCAATCCAAACATTTGTGAGTTAAAAACTCAGGTTTGTAAGAAATGTACTTATTCCCGTCCTGATCGAATTTTCCAGAGCGTTACAGTCAGCGCGATCTCATGACGCTACAGAGTTTAATACAATTTCCTAAAGGTCTGTATTTTGTGCCAGTTTTCCACTCATTATCCCAAACTTCCCAATAATAAATTCCAGGATATCCTTAAGAAGCCTTTGTTATATCTGTAGTCACATAGCAAACATGAATTGCTATATTTGGGATGCCGTTCTTACAGATTGGAGGGATTTTATTAAAATTTTCTAGAACTGATTATCATCTTCAACCTCCAATAAAACTGGGCCATTAAGAAGCAACCGCAGGTTTGGCTGGGACAAAAAACACTCAACAGAAAAAGTTTGATCTAAATCTGAGGACAAAACCAGTCTCCTTTGTTTGTCTTGTAAAATTATTTTATTAAGTGATTCTAAGCATTTTTTTTTTTAAATGTGTGACCTCGGGTCCTCGGGGGGCAACAAGTTTATGCAGAATCAGCACTTGCCATGTTGTCCTTTGAATCATTCGACAAATGATCCTGAGAATCCTGTTCTCCAGACTAAAAATCCAAAAATTCTCCGATTCTTGTGCTACAGTCAGTCTCCCTGGTGGAGGGAAGAATCTGCAGTTCAACATGAACCAGCAAAAAAAAAAAAAAAAAAGAGGAAAGGATAACAATCAATTGCCCTTTGTGTGACTATTAACCACTTACACTTCTTGTTCTCCCTGTTTTTATATTGCATCCTTCTCCGCAGGAACCAGATTGGTGCTTATCAGAAGTCTGTCCTGAACTAATGTTTAGTTCACAGTTATGATAAGTATGCAGATCAAACCAGCCGGTTTACAAGACTGCTAAATAGACTCTACCTATAACTGTTCTGCTTTAGTCATTACGTTTACAGTGACTTTCAAGAGGATTTATGTTTGAAACCATACAGAGAGATGACTCTAAATTGAGCTCTGTGTTCCCTTTGAAGGGCAGCTTCAGGTCAAACTTAATGAATTTCTCGCCGCAAAAAGTCACTGCACCCACATTGTAACGGACCGATAACTCCACGGCACTGAGGTGCAAACTAGCAAAAACAAAGACCATCCTGTGGAGAAGTTAAACAGGACGGATGAGTTTCCTGCGTCGTGATGTTGTTCAACATTACTGGGGGCAATCCACATTTCAACGCGCTACGAGAAGTTGTTTTTTTTTTGTGCCAGGGTGGCACGGTGTCATTAACCCCGATCTGGTCCCAGGGTTTTCCTTTCCAACAAAATCACCACTGATTAAGCAGACTAACCGATTGCATGCCTGCACCTCTCTTGTAGGCACAAGTTCTTCAAATGTGTGATGATAAGGAGGTGAATACACCAGTTGTCCAATAAATGAATTCAAAATAAATGAAACACAGGGGGAGAATAAATTAGCTCCATTGAGCTAATGGCCGGACGGCAGTGACAGGAGAAAGGAAAGAAAGCGAGAAAAGCAACGTAATCTATTTATGTCACCCGCCAAAACATCCCTGTTCCTTTTCAGAAGCTCCCCCCCTCCTACATACACAAGGCCTGTAACCAAGAGACGGGCTTGGTGTGGTCTGCGTACACGGACACCAGTGGCCCTCGTGGCTGAGATCAGGAGAGAACCAGGCCACAGACAACTTTGGCATGGAAAACTTTCCAGTCCTGGGCCGGAGACAGAGGCCTGGCTCTATTCATAGCACAGAAATGAATGTAATTGTGGCCTTCGTCTGACTTTACAGCGTGTGTTTTGAAAGAAATTAGACTTTTAGGAGTGATAATGTCAGGCTTTTAGGTGCAAACACCCAAATACTGAACAATGACTGCGTCGAACGCTTTCAATAACCACACTCACTTCCGTAATAAGATACCTAGCTTACGAGGAAACAGTCGAAATGGGCGAAAAGAGATCATGAGGTCAAGGATGATTAGAATCTCGTGCACGTCTTACTTCATTGTCTTTTCAACTCATGACATGGCTGTCAGAGCATGCACAAACAAAGCATTCTGGCTGCTCACACCTACAGTCAATGCCAACAGCAAAGCAGTGATTAGGATCTAACAGGAATGAACTAGTTGAGAAGACGGGGGCCCGAGTGGGCCGAGAACAGTCCTCCACATCTGCAAAAAACAGCAACCTGCAGGTAGTCAAGAATCCAGCAGACAAATCTGTAAATGACACCATTTAAAAACAGACTTAGTTGCTTCTTGACAAAAAGAATGTAGATGGTACATTGGCGCAATCTAATCTAGTGCAGCATTTACTAACATATAACAACTGCACACTGCATGGACTCCTTTCCTCACATTGCGTTATTATGCTGAAAAAAGAAGCCCTCTGGCCTTTATACAGCACCATTCCAAAGGGTGCTGGCAAAGCAGAATCGGTGTGCCCGCGTCTTCTCCTCACACACACAGACGCGCGCGCATACACACAATGCAGAGATTAACACGAGTGCTGCTCAGAGGTGCAACCACTCCAACACAACCCCTCACTCCCATTCCCATCCAACTCCACCCTGAGAACAGAGCAGCGGGCTGCGAGAGAGCGGGCAGTGCAGAGCAGGGCTTATGTTACTCATATGACTCAAATTGTTCTGACACCAGAGTTCTGAATGAACTATTGAGAGCTACGCTCGCACAGCTCTTTCGGCAGTGACAACCTGGGGGTTAGGAATAGGACTGCAAGCATGAGACGGTTTTAAAGAAGAACGAGGTCAGTTTTAGATGAAAGGTTCCAGTCTGCCCCGGAGGCCAAACGTGAGCATTTTGAAGGTTATTTGATTACGATCCACAAGGGAGATAAAGCTCCGAATTACAATGCATGCTTCCAGGCATCAGGTGATTTGAACCTAAGATTGGCCTTGTTCCCATAGTAACAGCAATCATAGCGCATAACGTCTTCCAAAAAAAAAAAAGTTGATATGTGACGTGTATGATGCAAATCTGCTGTTCTTATAACACCCAGAGAGGTCAGATTTCTACATTAGCCACTGCAACATTGATTAATCAAAAGAACAACCATTGACCTGGTTCTGCATCGTTAGAACTCTGAATAGGGGAAATGAAAAAAAAAAAAACCCTGTAACTCAAAACCAGTTTGTTGGAGGGCAGGTGTACGAGAATTCTCCTATCTAAGGCGGTGCCCTTATCGCCGCAAAGCTCCACCTTTACTTCTCATGGGCTGCTTGTGTGATGACAGGTACACTGTGTCAAATCCCAAGAGCAGGTGGTGTTTTCTTTTTTTTTTCACAGAGAGTGAGAGAGTGGGAACCCAAGCTCTGATAAATAAATCAATGAGCCATTGATGGGTCGTCTGGAGTGTTGGGTAGTGACAGAGGATAAACGCTCTCGGTTGCATCGGGCCACCTTCTCCTCGGGAATTGCTTCACATTTGGAGCCAGGTCTGGCCGCTTTGGCACCTGAGACATCTGGGCGACGGCCAAGAGCATCTTATCGAACACCTCAGCAACTCCCCTTCAACGCCTCTCGTATCTGATTGCTCGAACATTCCCTAAAGCGCACGGCGCTGTTTGCAGACGTCCTTTAGAATCCGTCTCGGAACCCTCCCCAAAAAAAATGGCACAGTGAATGTTAATCTGTTAATCTGCTCCACCGGAAGCCTCCCGTGTTTCATGTTCGTTTCTCTGTATAATGTTTAACCACAGCGATAATCTCCCCGACGTGGGCAGCACATCTCCATGTGTCCTCACACAGTTAGAATCTGCATTTCAAATGTAGTTATTTATGCAGGAAGCAGAGACATTCAAGTTTTAAAGCCAAGAAACCAAAATCTAAATTCTATTTTGGGAAATGCTCATTTCTCACATATATTGCTAAAGGGTGGTGGAAACGTTTTCAATATTTTCAAGGTCTTTGGCTAGAAAATATCGAATAGTGTAAACCAACTCTTGAAGACCAGGCCGTACCATTTCTGTACACCGTGCACACAATCTAAAATAAGAGTTGATGATACACGTGCAATACCCAGACGCATACCCAGCATAATCAGAATGACCTGCCTAAAAATCGAGATTGTCCTGCCTGTTTCGACAGAGCAGCTTTTAGCTTTGGGGCACGGACACGGGAGCTCTGACTGTCCCGAAATGTCTGCCAGCAGATTCTCTGGACTGCTTGGGGATGTGGGGTTGGGCCTCTGTTGATTGGACGTGTTCTGACACATCTAATGATTGCGAGTAGTATTTCAATTTCCCAACCAGGATCCATGCCTTGAGCTCTTTGTCATGTTCCTCAAAATGCTCCAGTGCAGGTTTTGTGCAGTGACAGGAAAGGCTGCAGCTGGGAATGTGGGGGGAGGTGTTTAAATCCCATCCACAAGAATGAAGGGGCAAATTGGACAATGACAACTTTATTTCATTTGTAGTTGAAAAGGAGACATAGTTACGGTGTGAACAATCAGATATGAAATAGGCTCCAGGATCAACGTTCTGACCCTAAACTGGTTAAACAGGAAGGGGAAAAAAAAGTTTTAAAAACCCTCATTCATTTAGTTCTTCTCTAGCTATGACAGAACAAAACCATTAAATAATGGAAATGGAAAAGTTAACCCCAGGCGCTCTGGTTGACCTAAAAAGTGAAACTAATAGTATGGTAATGCTCTATGTGTCAAATACATTCCTCTCACTGTTTGTATTGAGTGCTGTGACACAGGAGGCTGTCTCAGCTCATTCCCAGTCAGTCGGTAACTCAGTCTGTGGTTTTCCTGCTGCCACTCTGAGCTACAGGGGGCATAGCTAAAGGTCTGTCAACGAGAAAAATCCGGCCAAAATCGGATCTGAAAAGAAAACTCTGAGAAGCATCCCCATTTTTAATACATCTGCACAACTGTGCGACATTCAGCGGGCCCATCTGTCCCAGCCGATACCTGCAACGCAGAGCACCACTGCTTTATCAGTATCATAGTGCTCAACATGAGCCTGCGTTATCTTTATTTGAGGAAAAGGCCCATGCCAGCAACAAAAGCAACTTCTCAACATCTCAGCTATGAAGCAATGGCACACACACATGAAAGATGGCTGTGGGTTGAAAAAAAAATAAAAAGCCCTCCAGGTTATCACTACTCAGTGTTTCACAAAGCCTCCAGCTGGCCAGCAGTCAAGAAGTGTAAAGTGTAAAAAAGTCTGGGTGTATGTAGTAAACAAGAGCTGAGCTTAACCTGTGCACAGGACGTCATGAGTATGCCTGCGGCCATCTCACAAGATGTAAAGATTAACAAGAACTGTAAAGCGGCGGCACATAAACGGCACTTCCCATAACTAGTGAACGCATCTTCAGAACTCACCTTTGGCTTAATCAAATGTCTAATCATACTCGAGACGCCAACATAAGTTTGGAAAACTGAGAAAATTCACCATCACCACTTAGTGCTCACCCTAGAGATTGTAATACCGGTTTTGAGCTCATGTTTGCCGTTATAAACCAACAGAAAACAAGGATGCTGTTAAACAACAGTTTCAGCCATTCCGAATAATGAAAAAACATTCATTTTCTACACAACTGAACCCGAGCCTCTTTTTGAACACAATGAAATAGGCTGGTCCTCCCACTGTTAGCTAACCTATCATCCGCTGGTGGAAACAAGAAAAAGAAGCCCCTGGGAACTCATTTTCAGAAGTTGCCCCGTCTTCTTTAAAGAAAACATCCAACGAGAGCTGCAAATACGAACCTTTCGAAGACTATCCTGACGGCAAATATGCCCAAAGCGAGCGGCAAAGCAGCCAACAAGTGTCCGGCTTTGGGATACTCCACCCCGGGAGCGGGATCCGCCAGATCCGCCCAGGTTACGTTGTGTGGCAGCCAGAACCTCTCGTTCCAAAACCAGGCTGAAAGAGCAGCCATGCTTCAGTGCGTTGCTGTTCCCCGGGCTGTTCGGGAGGAGAAGCCTCGCGTAGTAAGGAGGTGATGCGTTGGGCTTGTTGGAGAGTGGTCCCTTGTGTGTTACTTGTTTGGTTCCTTGCAAGCGCTCAACTTCACCACATGTCAGCGCCGCGCGCCGGTGGGGCAGCTGCACTTCCGGTGGACGTTTTCAAATTTGAACCGTTAGCGTTCGACATTAAAGTCACTTACAGCGTTAAAATGCACGGTGATTTTTTTTTTTTTTTTTTTAGAAATTAACGGTTGTTTGTGTAGTCGTTGTGTTGCTTTTACGACAGGTCGTGTGTAGTTAAAGAAGTTTTGGCATCACTCAAAACACACGGAGAGAGGAAACAGCTGGCAAATCTGTGTCTCCATTAGCTGTATCTGTGCCTCTTTTTGTCATCCTGTTTTTATGAATCTGTGAAGTTTGATTGATTTATGAGAATGTTTAATCGAACAGAGGAAAGTTCAGTGACTTTTTCTGTCTGGAAACCTCATAAACCTTCTCGACCTCAGATTTAATCCCCTCTGACACTTTGAGTACCTAAATGATGTCATCATCCTCAATTCAACTATTTTCATGCTGCACTCCTTCAGACATAAATTCTCATAACTGTGTATTATTCTTTCGCTTTTCCAGCTCTTATTTGACCGGTACTTGACACGTGTTGCGGCTAACTTGACAACTCTTGGCTGCCGCCCTGAGATGGGGACTGGAATTGAGGAAGTGAGGCGGGGAGCCTATGGGTACCACCTCCACGCGGAGGGATGGTTGCGATGCGAGCACGAGAGTCCTCTTTTTTACTCAGTTTTAAGTTGGGAACTATGCAACTTATATTCGAATTGCTGTTAGATGTTACATATTATGCGCAAATATTATGCGAAATTTCTGAGACAGTTTCCTCACAGTTCTCACGACTCATTTCAGAGGCAGACAAAGCGGTCGGGTGGGTGTGACTGATGGGAGTGCACCCCTAAGTGTTCAGTGAGGGTATTACAGCCAGAATCTTTTTAGAAAAAGTATCATGTAGAGCTGAATAGCGCCTTAAAAAAAATAAAACACATTTTCATACCATTCAAATAATAAATATATGTCTATTTTCAATCCATTAAAGGCCTTACTTCACATTGCTCATTGCCTCATTTGTTCTATGGTGAGAATAATGTGAGACGTGGTGCATGTTTTATTTAGCAGGAAAGATGATCTCAGATAGAGCTTATAACTAGTTATATAACAGCCTTAACTTAGTCAAAAAATTAAATAAAGAAAACTTCAAAATAAATGTTTTCATACCAAATCTGGACGAGTTTATGTTTCTCAAACTTCTACGCGGGTGTAAATATGCTGAAATAGTTTGCAACTTAAAGACTTTCAAAGAGTCGTTTAAAGCCCCCAAATTATATTTCAGGAAACATAGCTATAACAACAGAGAAACATCCATAGAACACCTTTCAGGGAGTAACTTAACTTCAGCGGGGCAACATATATTCCCAGTCCGCCTTGTATAAGTATAAAGCAAAAGTAAAAAAGGAAACTTTAGTCAGTCAGAGAGGATGGATAAGTGTCAGTCAGAAAACAAAATGTCATGAGAACAGAAACTACGCAATAAAAGAAATAACAATAATATGGACGGTAGCAGCAATCACCGTTTGTGAACAAACTGTAAAAGATGAGTAGTAAATGGGATATACGTTGAGGAAATATCAAATAGATTTCAATTAATGTTCAAACTGAAGAAAACAAGGTTTGAGAGGGCTAAAGAGAGGCATCCATGGACTGTGGGATGATTGGATGAAAGTCATTTATTTAGTGATGACTCACCAGCCATTGATTGATAATACTGGAACCTACTTTTCCTTTCTTTAGTGCAGTTTTAGTGAGATGGAGAGAGAACTGACAAAAACAGACACAGTCCTTCGGTTATTGATGGGACTGTGTGGGTAAATGACATGGGGAGAACAGTCATCATCTAAAATTAATGTGCAGGTGCACTCTGACATTTTGACCATTTTTCTTGTTTCATCAATTGAAAGTCTGGCCTGCGAAATATATATATATATATAAAGGTTAACAGAAAGACTGGTATGGTCAATGAAGCTGGAGAATATTATTCATTAACAGTCTATACCTTGAAGTGTGCTTTCACTACTAGTGCTATAACCAATTAATACTCATAATAGAAGATGTTTTACGATTTATTATTTTTAGAATATGTTTAAAAGTTTGGATAGTAAATAGTTTGTGTTTTTCTTTCTAAAAATAACCAAGGTGCATCGTGATTTTCAATGAGTGGTGATTTCCTACAATCTATGCTGTAATATATTTATTTTCCCATGGGTAGTATGAAAAAAAGAAAAGAAAAAAAAGGCATTCCCTCATTTGTCTTGTAAAGCAAGGATGAGGCAGCTGCAGCGCTGTTTGCCATCTAATTATAGATAGACATTTGCCCCTGTGGTGCATGTTATTATTAGATATCCCACAGGACAGTTGACTCAATAACTATGCAAAGATCTTAGGGCGTGAATCCGATTTTAAAAAGTGGGAAATTTCGAACCATCTCATTCAGTGCAATGAATGAGAAACAATTTTAAAATATTATAGTTGAATTAAATGAACTGCACAATTTATTAACACCAGTACAAAATATGCACTGCATTTATAAAGTACAGGATTTGCATAGTTTCTGTACCAGGAAATGGTGATGTGCACACACTGAGAAGTGATAGCGGAACACACTGGCTCATGAGAATATTAGCTTTTGATAAAATTCGCATGGAATAGATGTAACTTACAGAGAAATAACACATATATTTAGCCACGACTAAAGGCTGCAGAACATCACCTGTGAGGACTGCGGCTCAGGCAGGATGTGCAATGACGGGGTGATCCCTCTACGCTCCAGAAAATGGTAAAGGTGAAGAGTTTAGAGTGGCAGGCAGGCTGAGCTCAGGTCGGGTTACAGTAAGGCTGCATTCCCTGTGTGTCTGAATGTTTCCCAGGGGCAGACACCAGCGACATATAAACACTGACACACACACACACACACACAGCGTGATAAGACTTCAATGATTTACTCTCAAATACATAATGCAAAGAAAATGGTAACGTTTTATGGCGTCGTGGTGAAAAACATAGAGGGAGAGTGTTTTGTTGTTTTTGTTCCGTGCCGTTTTTCTTCAGATGGCATACGCATGAGCGAAAAGGCATGTTTATTCAAGAGACATTTCATAACCCCACAGTCATTGTTAGAGTATCAGCCTATGCAAAGGCAGGATAGTTCAAATTCTTAAAATGTTTAAGACTTGGAAGATTTATGAAACAGTGAAAAACACAGAGGCAGGAGGAAGGGCAAGCCCACTCCGTTCTCTATTTCTTAAGTGTGTATCAAATTGGACTTAAAAAAAAGAGAGAGAAGTCACTTTCAGGGCCAACTTCACCTAAACCTCCCCTCCACCCCCCCACAGTGGTTACTCAGTAGCTCTGGTTTAAAAGTCCCAACTTCCAACCATTAACCAGTCTCCGTGTCGGTCTTTTACAAGTGCTCTGGATGGTTTTGCAAACAGCTGATGAACTCTGTGACTGGATGGCCGTTGAAACAGATCTCATAAACGGCGGTGAACAGAGGGAACCTGCAGGGAGACGACACAAAGAAAAAAATGTGCAGCATTTAGGGAAGCAGAAGGTCTAAAACAAATGTTTATGTCCACATAGTAAGTAAAAGGCTCGATAGCAGGCTGTTATCTTAGTTTAGTTTAAAGAGCATAAGCAGTTAAGCTTTAACTTGAGCTAAATTAAGAGGCTCTGTTCATTTGCCTATATTGAATAATAAAGAACTGAATGACACTGGTTGCTTATTTAACTATAAGATAAGTTTTAAGCAGGATGCAAACATGATCAAAATGTTTTCTGCAGTACAATTAAAACTTTAATGGATTCAGAAATCCATGACCGGACACAACCCTTCCTCTTAAAAGGATGTCAGACACTTACTTTTCCACCATGCTTTTCTGTTTTAAGACTTGGTGGACTTCAGATGCTGTTGCTGGACCTTGGAGCTTCTGCCCATTCAGGAGCTCGTTCTCTAGCTGCTCGATGCTCTGAACAGAAAGACGTGCTGCGTTATAGCAGGGTGGCGATCATCACAGAGAGAGACGGAGACACAAGCTGCCCCGTACTTTGCCCGTTTTGGCGAAAGCCTCCCCAATCTTGCGGTTGCGGCCTCCGTAGCAGGTCGTGATGAGGTCGGCGATGCCGCAGCTTTCCAGAAAGGTGGCGGGAGAGACGAGACAGTTTGTGCAGAAGAATTTGGCAAAGGCGATCATCTCCATGAGGCCGAGGCGGATCACCGCCGCCTTGGTGTTGTCGCCGAATCCCAGGCCGTCACAGAAACCTGCCCCCACCGCCACAATGTTCTGCAGCGACCAGAGGGGACAAAGCCGCATCATCTGGGCTGTTTTCCCATCAAATAAAGACCCGTGTACGACAAAAAACATTTCTAATTCACAAAATGTTCCACTTTTCATGGAAAGATCTAACAAAGCGTGCTTTTTTTCCCAAATATTTGATAGATTCTGATACATATCTCTCGCCATGCAGTTATTCGTGTCATCAAGTATTTTGAGAAATTATTATTTAAAGGCGACGAGATTAGTTGGACTGTGGTGAGAAACCTTGAGCGCTCCGCAGATCTCCACCACATCTGACTCCTCCACCACAGTCACACGGAAGTTGGTGGTCTGCATCAGCTCCTTCAGCAGCGGGCCGTATGTTTTGTCTTTGCACCCTGAAAAAACGTACCACCATCAGCATTCTTCCTCTATGTTTTAGCAGCACCTGTACTCTTTAAATATCTCGTTTTTAAAAGCTCACTCTGTTTCTACCCTTTCGGGAAAAAAATTGTTGACTTAGTAGTCTTGTAGGGTTTACAGTTCATAGAGTGTATTTCATTCATATTTCAAGAGCAGGGCCCTCTGTGGGAGAGAAAAGCTCCCACATATGTGAAGCATTTTAATTTCAACATGCACCAAAATACACATTATAAATTAAACACGAGCGCCAAATTAAATCTTCATACCAATGGTTGTTTCACAGAACTTCTCGTCAGCGACCTCATTGGCGATGTTGGCGCCCATAAGGACGGTCACAGTGATACCCAATTTCCCTCGAATGACTTCTGAGATTAGTTTCAGACCCTCTGGTCCAGCATCCACACCCTGATGGAAATACATGAATGAAACTCAGATCATTCACACATGATTACAAAATATTTCTGATTTTAAAGATCTGATACAGAGAGGGGTAGCTGAGCTCATCTCCGGGGTGCTCTGTGCAGATTCAGAGGAGGCTTACTTATTGGAATTAAATATTTCAGGAGGATTCCCCAGTTGTAAAAAGGAAATGATGTTCAAAAACCCAAATGAGTGTGCTTTGGAAAATTTGACCAAATTGTCAGTTCTCACAGTCACAAACTAATGAGTAGGTCTTCAAAAACAGAAGCGAAAGTGGGCTGTAGAATGGCGAGGGGGCTGTAATTCCTGCTTCTAAATATTGTTTTGGATTAAGAGGATATTACCTTGATGAGAGACATTCCAACAGCATCCTTCTTTATGTGGTCTTTGATGGTGTCGCACACTCTCACAATGAACTGGTGAGGGACCACAAAGATCAGGATGTCGGCTCCTTTCACGGACTCGGCCAAGTCAGGAACAGCCAACTTGTGAGAAGAAGGAGAACTTTACCGTACGGCAACCGCCCCAATAAAAAAAAGTAACAACAAAAACAAGATGTTGGAGATACACCAAAAGTGCTTCGGGGCTCACCACGTTGGGGGGCAGCTTGTGACCGGGTAGATATTTCACGTTTTCATGATCTGTGTTGATGATCTCTGTGAGTTTACGGCCGTTCACCGTCTCTTCAAACACCCACATGTTTACGGTGGTGTCAAACTTGTCATACTTGGCTGCGTTGGCACCCACAATCTTGGCAATGGCAGAGCCCCTGTGAACATGAGGACAAATGATGATCATTCTGCTGGGTGCTATCTGGTTTACTGCTTCTCAAAAAAGGAAAGGCGTCCTCTGATTGCCTTTGTGGTGCCTCAGGTTTGACTTTTATATCTGACAAACAAATTGATCCTGCCCCATATCAGCGCTTACATAAGGGAAGTGAGTAACGGTCCCTCTAAAAGGCATATAACAGCATTACTAAGGTTGAAACTGTTCTAAAATGCACTTAGTTATTAAAAAGATAGGAGAGGTCAGTAACATATTTCACAGTATTGCACATTCACATATACAAAACTTATTTTTCAGGCTTTAATTACTTCAAAAAATCTGAATATATTGTACATAGAAAAAAAACTAACTCAAATAATTTTAATTTCCCACTTTTGGAATAAATTCTTATCCTTATAAATAAAAAGCACAAAAAACTAATTAGAAGTTGGTTTGTTTGCTTAACTGACTTGAATGAGAAACACCATTATCAATAAACATGAGTTGAATTACTTTTATTGTCTACATGAAGAGTTTTGCAGGATCTGAAGGTTAAAAACAAACAACAGGGCACAGACCTAAAAAGGTCATTCAGCAATTTCCTCCTTTTTCCTTATTGTGTGAATAGATTGCAATGATATGTATAATTAGCTGTAGTAGCTGTAGCATAACAAGATCAGAGCAGTCAAACACAATGCTGGCTTGAAATAAGCTTTACAATAATTAAAAAAAATAATAATCAAATGCCCAACTTGTCAAGAAATCCAGTTTGATCAGCACATATAACCCTATCAAACCAAGTTACTTTTTTCAAATCACCGCCCAAAACATGTAAAAGGAGCTATTCTAGTCTTCACTTAAAAGTACATAAACTTGACAACTACAGGCACGTGACCGAGGCATTGGCACCCAAAATGGATTCAGTCAGACGTGTATTTCCCTGCATGTGCACATTTCAGACCAGTGTTACTCAAATGCATTCGTAATAATGCAAAAAAGTTATTTTTCTTACATAATCTGTAGTTTAAAAACAGTTGTCATGTGGTAATGAGTTGCATTGCGCAGTGTAACCAGCACTAAATGTCACCCGGTTAATGGACATCAACACCACTTGGAGGCTGATTCAGCTGCTCCGTTCAAATCACAGACACAACCTCCCTTCTGCAGCTCTGCAAAAAAGCAGGCGGTTCTATAGATTTAATGAGTCATCTGTGTTAAAGCTGCAGAGTGGGTTCCAAAGTATGACAATTTAGAGCGAATTCGCTCCAGTTCTTCAGCGCCTGTTGAATATGACGCACGATCCAAATTACGCACCAGCAGCCCCCCGGGTTAAAAGACTGTTTGATGAAGTTCACTAAAGGCAAATCATAAGCCATTCCTCACCAGTTACCAGAGCCGATCACACAGATTTTCTTTGGCGCTGCCATGACGTGTTTGGGTTTCCAGACGAAATAGGTGCGAAGACGGGCTGAGGAGCGGGTCACGGTGTATTTATACCGGAGCCCCGGCTCTGGCACACCCTCTCCTGATGGTTGGTCCACTCTATCGCCTCTCACGGGCAAGCAGAGCAACAGGTCAGCCCAAAATCCACGTGGACAGCCCCCTTTTCCTCCCGTTTGAACATTACCAAAATGTACCGATCACAACTCACGCTTGATTACATCACGCTGATTGACTTAAGAGCAATCAGACACTCATCAGTTCTCCCCACAAACACACAAAGCTCAACAGATAAGTTAGTTAAGAGTCAATGCTTTATTTCCCCACCCCCTGAAAATTGTAAGAAAAAAAATCGATCTGCATTGTAATAGTAATAAATCTCAGGAGTCAAACATTTTCCATATCCTTTATTATAACATAGGAACATACAGAAAAATAGGTTTGGTCCATGAAAAAGTCTGCAGATTCACGTCATTCTAAAGTGTTGTTTTACATCCTAAAGGTTCGCAAACACACGTCACAGCTCCTGTACCTGCCCAAACCCCTTAAAATTAGTGTATTCTTGGATTTAGTTTTATTTAACAAAATTCACACCCAGCCGTTTTTTTTTCTCATGACTTTGGAGACCCAAAGTGAGTGTACGATGAAGCCCCGACTCCTCTGCTCCGCCGTGTTTGTTTAAAGCCTTTTCTGCAAATCCTTAAAATAAAACCGTTGACATTTGAACTCTTCCCAGCTTGACGGTGACATGAAGCTGCCGTACAGAGAGGTGGTTTTACTGAGTGTGACGGCTAACTTGGTGCCGTTAAAAAACAAAGCACTGCACTCTGGGACCAGGGGGCTTATTCATATAAATACTGGTTTAACTATCTGCAGTGTGTATACAAAGACTTAGGAAAAAGATCAGTCAGTTTCAGTGATAAAGCCCAACTTCACTTCCATCAGATTTTTTTTTTTTGCTTAATATTTACAAAACTATATAGACTAGAAGTACTCATACTAGCTACTTTCATGATAATCTGTACTAGCTAACAAGACAAGTACTGATATAATACATTTTTCAAAACAGAGATCACTGATAGTAACAAAAGGAAAGGAAAAGACAACAAAATAACTTCATACCAAACGGCATCGTTAACAAAAGATAACTCCTTTGCCAGAGCAGTGAGAGTTCTGCTGTGTTTTCACACACCGCGAGGCTCTCGGAACACGCCAATGACGACTAAAATCAAAGTGACACGTGAACAGCCAATATGCAGCAAACACGCCCAACTGATCACAAACACAATCACGATAAGTAATAACTGAACGGGGGAAGCATGTGTGGGCTGGTGAGGAGCGCACACTCTGCAAAGAAAGAGAACAAAGAGCCGCAGCCTTTACTTCCAGAAAAACATTTCAGTCAATGTTTTTCAGGCGCAATCTGCTCTCCATTTTTCAGATGGGCACAATCTTTTGTAAACACAGTCTATCGAAAAGAAAAGGAATGTATCCAGGCTAAGATATGCTACAGAGCAATAAAGATAATTAAAAAAAAATGTGCTGAAGAGGATGCTGCTTAAAGGGGGGGGGTGACCCTGACAAAGAAAGAAAGAAGAAACCGAAGCAGAAACCAAACCGAGAGCTGCTAAGCCGCGGGGGGAAAAGAACAGCCGACATCCTATTTAACAGTGAAGTCATCTAAAATCTATGTCCAAGTCTGTCCGAAAACTGAGTATTTCGGTCTGGACAACCCCCTACGCACACACACACAATCACGCACACGTGCACACTCGTGTCCAAGAGCACGACTCGTGTTTTGTCTTGTTGGATGAGGTCAAACTTCTTCAGGTGTTCCTGATGCCCAGCGCCTGCTCCAGCTCTTGTCTTCTCTGCTGGACCTGGAAGACGTTTAGGAGAACATTGAGTCATCAAAAGATAATCTCATGGGGGGGAAAAAAAAGAAAAAAAAAGGCAAGATCGAGGCAGGCTGCATTTCACGTTTTGTTTCCCCAAACTTTACCCTCAGATAAGGGGATGGACTGTAAAGTACAGGATCCATCAGACGAGCATCCACGCTCCTGACAGCATTTGTCAACCACCCAGGTTTTCCTGTGCAGCACTCAGCCTGCAAAGCCCCATGACGCCTGGATTTGATGTAGCTGTCATGTGTCATTTGTGAATGACACAAAAGACACTTTCAGATCCCATCTGTGTGACTAGACTGCCTGAGCTGAGTTGACTCTTTATGATGACTAGAATGACTTGTGTCTAAAAACAAGTAGCACAACATCTAGGGGGTGAGAAAAATGCCAAACCTACCTTGGAATAGAAATAGCGACAGACCGCCTCCTGAGCCCAGGGCTGGTAGTAAAACTCGGCTCTTCGCTCCTCTTCTGGGTTTCCTACCGCATCCGTCATGGTCTGTAAAGATTAAAACGTTAGTGGAACGTACTCCATCTGCACCGGTGCCATAGCTAACGGAGGCAAAGTCGTCCCATCAGGGTCGAGCTGAGCGTCTCAGAAGCTGTTTAGCTGAACACACACTGGAGGTGGCTGGCAGCTGCTCACTGGGGTTTGTCTGGATAGAAATGTTTGTGCATTTTTCACATTCCTCCCTGACTTTGGATTCATGCGTTTCTCCTGCAGGAGCCTCGTGTTTGAGGGAAAGCTCGTCTCCATGACATCTAGCTCTAGATTGGAGCGAGAAAGTCACAGAGACTGAATGAGCTTGACTGAAACTCATGCGGGTTTCTCTTCACCTCCCCCTCTGTAGCGGTGAAAGATTCTGGGGAGTTCAACCAACAACGATGAAGCTCAGCACAGGTCGATCCGGTGCTGCTGACAAGCCTTCAGAGCTCAGGCTGTGATACATAAACAGCTCTCACTGACATTTCTGGAGCCATAAATAAAAAATAAAAATAGCAACCAGCCCATTATTTCAATGTGACAAAGACTGACTCACCAAGTAAAATCTAATCAAAGCTGAGACTCATTCATTTTTCATACAAATGAAGGGAGATTAATTAGTGCTGATAATTACCTCTCACACCCACCTGGGAGCATTTACTTTCCGCTAATTGTCTTACTGATTGATACCTCTTTCTAAATCAATCAACAAAAACTGAAAAGTTGAGCACATCACTACTTCACCATCTCATAATTATCAGGATGTCAGATTAGAAATCATTGTGGTTATTTAGTACAATTATTCTTTTTTTAAAAGACCACCCTCAAGTAACCTTAAAAAGGGATTTGGCCTCTGATCTCATAGTGAGAACTCTGTACTTTGAACCACTAGAATTGACGTGTCAGCATAGTGCTGGTTTGGCTGCACTGTTTTGAGAGTATCAACAACTCTTAATTTACAACTTATTAAATATTTGCCCTGCAAAAAAACAAAAACAAATAAGAATGGATCCGGTTCAACACAAAAAGGTGGAATGAATATCTGAAAAAGAGATGAACGGTGAAAGTGCTCTTTGGAGCCAAATTCCGTCCGTCTACTTGAAGTGACGCTGAGAACTGTGGAGAGAAATGTCACTGCAAAGGCCGGAACTGCAGCTCCGTCTCTCTGATTCATTAGGGAATCCATCGTGAAAGGCCCGATCGGGCTGAAAGAATTACTCAGCCCTGACTCATCCCAATGACTGACAATGCCGCTTAGGCATAAGGAGGCTTCAAAGAATTTTTTTCCTGAATTCAAACATGTACAATAGCTGTGAACTGTCACAATGATTGAGTCAAAAAAGAAAAAAAGCTGGGAAAAATATTACATTTTCTGCTGTGACACTGGAGCACAGATAATGGATGTTGGCGAAGGTTGTGACACAATAAACTCACCTTGAGGTCTCTGCACTGGGACTGGAGCCAGTCGTTGATAAAGCCCTGAGGATCTCTGGCAAAACTCAACATGAACTCCCTCTGGGTCTTCAGCTGGTTGATGGTCTCAATCGTTTCATGTATCTGAAAAGAATCGAGATTGAGTTTTTAAATCACCCTGCTCATTTCTCATCACTGTCATTGGCATTATCTCTGGTCTGTCTGTAAAAAGGAGCCCTGAGCTGTTTTAGGAGTGATCTTGCTAGTATTGGTCACTTATGACACCTTTTCCTGCTAAAGTGCTTCAAATGGTTCCTGTGAACTACAAGTCATGATGTGCCAAAAAACACAGCAAAACTGAATGAAAGTAAGCACTGATGTAGACAATGTAAGCCTCTAACTTATTGAAGCATCTCCAGAACAATGCGCAAAGGGGCTAAGCTAAAAGCTGCCGCTGGAACCCTGCCGGAACAGGGTGTAAACCTGCAATCCTGACCAAACCCAAAATAAAGTAGCTGAATGAATGGCGCCTTTTAAGTGTAAACAACTTCAGTGTATTTGCACTGATGGGTTGTCTCAGAACAAAGCCTACACAGAGGGACGTCCTTCGGCAGGATGGCTTTGAGCCTTATCAATGTGATTACAGCCAAGGTACAGATTGCTGGCAAGGGGTCAAGAAGACCCAGCTGACCTCAAAACTGAGCACAAAGAGGGAAGCAATGCACAGGTAGCAATTTGAACAAGAAAATGAAAAAGTGAAATTGCTCTGAGCCAGCTCCCACTTCTGGAGAGCATCAGCACAAGGAGCTTTACTGAAGAAGAGCAGCAAAAAAACAAAACAGACTGAATCCAAATTGGCTTTAAGCAGTTACAGAGACAATTAAAATCATGGTAAAATAAAAATATCTACATTTTACAGACTGTTGATGACAATCTCAAATACCTCATGGGTAATATATTACATTTGACTCCCACTCAAAGGGTTTAAATCAAGTGGTTGACTATTGGGAAAAGGTGTGTACCTTGTTATCCAACCCAGCTATTTCCTGCTGACTGGCTGTAGAGAGAAGGAAGGAGTTCATCTGGGTCTTCAGGGTGTCGTCCACCTCCACGTCAATGTCATAGCAAGCAGTCTTCTTTTGGTCATTGGGGTCCACACTGGTGAAAAGCAGTGTGTGATCAGTTTTTTTTTAAGGCTAAGGAACAAAAATAAAATGTTTCTGTCCAAACGTAACCAATTTGTATTGGTTTTGTTGAGGATATGTTTTTAAACAATAGTTTGACAAAGCTTATAACCCATTCGGTTATCATTTGAGATGATACATTTTAGTCTAATGTAAATTGGATATCTGGAAGGAGGCAGGAAAGCAGCACTACTCTGAAGGGAGCCTTGTGTGTGGTTAAGATGACCTCACTCATCATTCTAATGATATTACCTGATCACATGGTTGATGATGATGGGCTCTGGTGGCATCAGCAGGGCATGCAGGCGCTGGGGTATTTCAGAAAACTTCATTCGTTGGGTCTCAAATATCTACCCGAATAAGGATAAAAACTTTGTTATTAGTGTGTTCATTCAGAACTAATGCTAAATTTGAATCCTTTAAAACTGAATAAACACTGGACTGATGAATTTAAAAGCTGATCAGACTAAGCTTACTTTTTTTTTTTTTTTTACAAAACTCAGCTAATCTTTAACGAATGATTTGAAGCGCTTCTGTTAATGAACCAGTATCTTACCACCATGCACAATCATAATCAATTACAAAAAAAATCAACCGCGTGAATTTAATAAATAGTCAAATCTGCAGGAGTTAACATGAAACTCAAACTGTCCCCATTTAATATTGCCAAAGTGAGGGGAGAGCACGGAGACACAAGACAGTGACTCACAAACGGACACAGGCGCCTTAAAAAGGACAAAAAGAAAGGAGGAGATGGCCTGTACAGGATCAAGAGCAGGAATCGACTTTGTCCCTCATTTTGGCCAAAAGTAACAGTTATGGTGTCATGGTGTTTATAGAGCCTCTCTTGCTGTCACATAACTTCATGTAACTTCACACCTGTTGAAGATATTTGTCGCAATTAATGAACTCCCTCTCGTGGGGGTCTTGGAGTTTGTGGGTCTTGACGTACTGCCACAGGGCCTGAATGATGACAGGCCTGGTCTGGGTGTGGATACCTAACATCCGGGCCAGTCGGGGGTCCAGCTTGAATTGAGGGGGCTGGGGGATTAAAAAGGACAGTAAATCAGAGCAGGGTTCATGTCTTTTAAGAACACTATTGAAAAAAACTTTACCACTAATAAATACCAACTGAAATTCCTGAGCGTTTACCTGGTAGTCAAGCATGAGCAGGACGGTGCAGCGGACACTCACGTCGCCGGGTCTCTTCACCTGGAAGCCATCGGTCTCCTGAGTGGTGGCAGTCCTATGCCACTAAGAAGACACAGAGAGAGGTGGAACACTCGTTGCAGTAAGAAGTCAAAATACATCAATGAAACCAGCAGAGAAATAATAAAAATCCAATAATTTTAAAGAAAAAATAAATTAAAGACATTCTCTTACTTCCACAAGATGATTATCCGGGCCATACAGGTCTTTGTCCAACTCAATCACCAGGGACTTGAAGAATGAGGAGAACTTCCTCTTCTGTTTGGTGGCTTCATACTTAGACACGGCAGTCTACAAGTAAATAAAAAAAACAAAAACTATACATTTAGATCGTGTGCGTGAAATCCAAACTTGTGTGAAAAAAGCGTTAAAACAGCTTGTAAACAGCATCAGGTTCTATGGAACTTTGAGCAGATGATTCTGCAGTTTTCATGGAAAAAAGCTGTTACAGTGTGCAAACATGACAGGTGTAATGAATTTAACAAATCACATTGACTTGTGACACTAAAAATAAACTGCAGTCACGATGCTTACGTCTTCCAGCAGGCGTCCTTCAACACGTAGCTCCCATGATGCCACTGTTCCCTCTCCGTCCTCAGCGTCAGGCTTTGCAGGGTTGAAGGTGTTGGATATAAAGATCCGAAGTTTTCTCTTTTGCTATTTAAAAACAAACAAAACAGTCATTAAATACAGGCTCTATGTCTGCAGCAGAGGGCATTAGAGAGACACAAACGAGGAGTAAAGGAGCATACCTTGATAGGCCTCTTCAGGGCCTCCTGAATGTCCAGCCTCTTGCGCATGATGGTCTGGTCCAACTTCCGCTCAAAAGCAAGTAGATCCATGTAAGCCTGAGACTCTGGGACCAGTTCCCTGATCTGGGACAAAACCACCCAGTGAGCCCAGGAATGTCATTTAACAACAACCACAGAATAATTAAAGAAATGCATCATTTGTTTAAAAAAGGGACCAGACTGACCACTGATGGCAGCAGGAAATCACTATATGTTTAAGATTTATCTGAACAACATGAATTATAAGTTTAGAATTTGCTTCTCAATTTAAAAGGTGTTTTTTTTGTTTTGCCATCTGTCTATTTCCAGCATGTGTCATCTGGGTTCATGAGTGACCAAATCTCTGCTGGGTTTAGTTCTGTCGCCCAGACAAACGACTGACAGAGATGAGAATAATTCTCTGCTTGTGCCAGTTAAGTTGTGATGGCAACTGGATGGACCCGACTGTTAGCTCACAGAAATATGTAAAAATTGGACATCTTGATAAAAAACCTGGCAGCAATTTTGTCCAAGAACACAAAGAAATGCATCCTCCGTTCCAGATGTTACCTCTCAAACAGAAAGAAAGCCAGAATACTCACCCTCTGAGGTAGAATTTTATCAGCCATCTTCTTTTTCTTTGTGCTGTAAATATAAATGATTAAAGGAAGATGAGTTGTAAAAAGTTGCATCAAAAACTATACTAATTAAGTTGCTCATTCAGGTCTGGAGGGAGCTTAAGAATAGTGTTAAACATTGAGAGGTGGGAATGGAAAATGTCCATCACATTGTGCAACAAATATGTAATTTCTCGGCTAAACAAATCCCGACACATTCACTATGGTTCAGGTCACACCCAAGCTCTACTGATGGGAAGCTCTGCGGCTGAGCTGCGAAAAGTAAGAACTTACTGCTGGTTTCGGTTCTGCTGCTGAACCTGCTGAATCTGCTGGGGAGCCGGCCTCTTTCGGGACGGGTCCATCACGCCAGGCATCCCAGGGCGAGACACAGGGCTGTTGCCATATCCTGGGGGGCCCATGGCTGGTCCTTGTGGGGTCATTCGGCTGGATGGAGGCATGCCTGGCCTCTGAAAAAAATGACAAGACACTTCATGATGACTCAAACGCAATGTTACAGCATAAACTTAAACGGTTTTTCTCGTTTAATACACCCATTTGTTTTTGGTCCTTTATGGAGAGGGCAACGTTCTTGTTGTTTCTTCAAACACTTCTCACAGCTCAAATGCATTAAATGCGCGGTCAGTTTTTCTAATAAAATTATTTCTACATGACATGTAGATGGCTGGCAATAGCCTGAAGAGTCCAGGCTGATAACGGTCTAGATTTCACTAAACAAATAATCAGTGAAATTGAACAAAGACCTTTAGCCTCCAATGTTAAATGGATCATTTCAGATTCAAGAAAATACATGTGCAATTGTTGTACAGCACAAAAGAAATGTACACTTTAGGAGAAGTCATTCAGAAAAGCATTTTATCAAAAAACAGATGCTTCTAGATTCAAAAGGACTCAGGAGGATGTATGGTAATGCACATCACGTTTTGTAAATGTGAAAATTGGCTGCCTATCACCCAAAGACATGTTATATGAGCACTCAGAAAGTAATCTACTGTTTAATGAAAAGGGTTTGATTCTGTCCTTTGATGATCATGCAACACTGTTATTTCAAACCAATACATTGGATGCAACAATTTTCATGTGTATTATTTTAAAATATGCTGACAAAGATTAAGCCCCAGGCCTCAGAAGATAAAAAGCTGGCACAAACACCGCCCTGCCTGCCTAAATTGCAGAGGTACTGTGACCTGCAGCTCAAGTGATGTGGCTTCAGCCGAGAACACCACCGTATCAATTCATCAGTCACATTTCAATAGAAGAATATAATTCAGACATAACAATATTTAATATGTATAATCTTAGCAGCTCAAGCCAAATCTGATTTAAAATGTTTAATAAAATGCCAAAAATTATATAAACCACAAAAACTGTACTTTCAAGGGGAACTCGGCTTTGAAAAGGCTTTTGAAAAGCCATATCAAAATGGGAGACCAAACAGATACCGTGCGCTGCATTACAGACAACCCCACCTAAACAGCAGATCTGAAGCAACACGTCTTTAGCGGATGAAAAACAAATACTGTAATGTATAACATCAAGCTTATACAGTATCATTAAATGTGAATACCATGATATTAACAGCTCGCTATAAGAACTATCAATAAATGTTTGCATCCCAAGCAAATGAATACAGAGTAACAGCCTCAACCAACTCACCAAACCATGTGCTAAGAACTCAAACAGGCGACTTCTTGTATCGGACTGCATGACTGCCGACAAGAACTGTGGATAAATCAAAAATCTATGGTTGCAGTGCTTCCTCCTGCAGTCAGTCCAACAAATGAGACGGATTAAATCAAAACACCCTCTCCTAAGTATGATAGAAGGGAGGAAGAATGGCTGACTTCAACAATGTGGGCTCTGCCTTTTCCATGAGGCTCGGTGTAGGCAGAAAGGGACTATGTGTCGACCATTTAGTGCTTTTTACACTGTACATCGGTGTGACCTTGGTTTCCAGAGAACAACTGGAGAATCGCAGTATTCAGAGTATGAAGCCTCTTTTCTGAAAAGCTGCTTCTGAGTGAAAACCCCCTCCAAGGACACCAAAGGAAAAAAAGATACATCCTTTCACAGAACCGTGTTTCAGGTTGGCAGGTTATTCTTAAACATTTTCAGCAGCAGCAGATTGGAGATGCATTAGTCATTAGTTCTATTATAATAGAGAATACAAATATTGTATTCAAAGAAGCGACATTTAACTTGGATTATGTGATCGAAAAAATATCTGCCATAGTTAAAACAGCCCACACTCGAGATAGCTAGAGGCAGAATGTACAAACGTTATGAAGGTGTGATCTGATGTTGTCGGCATATAACACTTAATAAACCCCCTCAATCCTGTCAGATAACCAATACTTGACTAGTAAATCATAGATTTAGAACCATTCTAGTTTAGAGCCTGAAATTGGTTAAAAAAGAAGATGTTTAAAACTTGAATCAGCTAAAGAAGGAACATCTGTTTGAGCTGGTCTCAAAACTTGCTTTCAGTTTAAGAAAATGTCTTCACAGAAGATGTAGAATATTTCTTGTCTTCAGCTGTAAAAATGTATGAGATTAAAGTTTTTGCAGTCTCCATTTATGCAATATTCAGAGAATATAGATTTTTAATGAATACCACAGCAGTAAATCAAAAAATGTTTTCATCCATTTGCATCCATTTAGAACAACTTTATTATCAAATCACATTGTTTCAGATCATGGCCATAATCAGGATGACCCTGAAAGCAAGAACAAGAAACGTGTGGGCTTAAATTATGTACACCAAATCAAACTGTTATTATTGCCATCCTTTTTTACAAAAGACATCTTAACACAATTTCCTTTTTTCATGATTTGATTGAAATGAAGATATTTACAGTAACTTTTACATGATCCAAAATAGATTGGATATGCTCCAACAACTCTTGAATTTGGTTAAGCTATAAATACCATTTCAACATGCCTACATTGTTACCCATGTTGGTTTCCGGAAGTGTAATTCCATTTCCAACCAGTTAACTGTGGCTTTCCTAAATGCACGTACTGAGGATGCCTTTGCAACGTGGAAACAACAGCTTGCATGCAGCAAACTGCATCTGATATTCATTCCAAAAAACACTACTTCGATTATCTGGCGTTACCATTTTATTTGTACTCACGTATTATCTTCATTAATGAAAAGCCATGTTAGTGTGGGCTTTTCATTCAAAATCTAACTCGACTTTGCAACTTCTAACGCAAACAAAACATAAACCGTTTCGGAAATAAAGTTTAAAACATTACACCCTTGTTTGACTGATTTATGTGTAAACCAGTGAAGCTCTAAATATTATTGTAGAAAACTCTGATCGTAAAGCTTAAAGGCATTAGCAGGCTAAGCTAACAGGCTGGAATGCCTTGTAGGCAAAGCTTAATGTTAACAGGCGGGAGGGTTAGCAGATTCAAACAAGAAACCAACTCTGTCAGACGTTCAACGTGAGCAGCAACAATGTTTCAGAGTGGTCAAAGATTTTCCACGTACATTCTAGAAAGTGTAAACCAATGCCCACAAGGGGATGGTTGTTAGCGTTAGCCACTGGTGACAAAGCAGCGGTGAACGCTTTGTTCTAGCGGACGGGCTAACGAAGGGAAGATGGAACGATAACTCACCGGGTACCCAGGCCCGGGCATTGGAGAGCGGTACATGTGGTTCTGCGCTGCCGAAGACGGTCCCATCCTTCCAGAGGGAGTACCAGGGCCCATTCCTGGTCCTGCGCCCGGTACTGGCGGCCCAGGTCCCATTGCTCCTCCACCACCTCCCGTTGGAGCCGACTGAAACCCCCCTCTGGCCGCCATCTCCTCTCTGTGTAGCCGGCGATGGAGCAGGCACGGAATTACCGCGAGAACGAGTTTTAGGGGGCGTTCATGTTATTACAGCGCACTCTGGTGTTTGTTTGTAGTATTTCAGCAAAAGATGACTACGTCTAAAACTAGGTGTTCAGAAATATCTGCCCATCATGGGTAACTTTGACACTGGCATATGACAAAGTAAAACTGTATTAAACTACCTTATCAAACTGAGAAAGGTTAAATCGTTAAAAAGAAAAAGACTAGCCAATAACTATTTATAAGCATCTCCATAATCAGCTGTGGAAAAGTTAATATATTTGATACTATGTTTGCATTTATGGGTGTTACAATCAAGACTAAAACGATTCACACCTGTTATGATCTATTTAGTTGTAAAATAGATGGCCTGAATTGCACTGTACATTTGAAACATGGCGTTTGCTCTGATTTGGCACCAAATAAATATACACATAAAATCAAATATAAATGAGTGTGTTATGAATTGAATACTTGAATGTTTGTTTTGTATTAATAATTATTATCAAGCCTAATTGACATACAGTAATTCATATATGCAAGTGAAAATGAGTGTGCAAGTCATTACTGGTATTTTCCAATACTTTATTACTAAGAAAAAGGTATTGTCAAAATTCTATTTGGCATCTAACTGTAAGCTGAGAAGCTGATGCGTAGGTTTGTAGTAAACCATTACAATCCATTATGGGTTCTACAGGAGTGAACACAAGGTTAACTGTCTTTTATTTGTAATGTCAGCTAAATGTCAAGAACTATACACTAAACTTGAGCTAAACAAAACAACCCCATGCGACTTTACAGACAGTTATAAAGAGTGAATGTGTAACTTATCTAAGATACAAAGTCTTAGTATTATGAATATATTCTGAATGCTTCTAAAAGCATATTTGCACGCATCAATTTACCTAATGCAAAGAGTAGCAAACAGTTTTATAACAAGTTCTTGTCCATGATCTTTCGGAACATTACAATTCCTCAATTTTGGATGGTGTAGGGGTTTCTTATAATTTGTCTAAGCATACTTCATGACGTTAAGAACAAACTCTGTGTAGGAAATGAATCCCTACCGGTATTCTACAGTGTTCTTGTTTCTGAGGGCAGTTCTTTACAACTACTGTGTGTTTACGCTTGTGGTCTCATTTATGGCTCTAAATGATGGATAATGATGTAAATAATTTATTCTAAGTTAACTCATGTTCATTTTCCTCCACATCTATATCCATCAGCAAATTTTCAAATGAGTTCACGTTTAGAAGGAATTCATTTGACATAGAAACTTTGGATAATAAATGTACAAACACCAAAAATGTAGCTTTCCTGTAAAATTACATATGTTATCATCAAAAAGCATATTTGAAATTCCTGGGTTTATACAATCTTATAAAGCTCTCATAAAGCCAAGATCTGCTGCACTCAAAGTCCTTCAGTGTGGAAATCATCGGCTGAGGTAACAAAAGGATACATATAATATAATGGTTAGAAACATTATGACATTGTGAAAAGATTTCCTGAAGTCATCCTCCTTGGAGTTTGTACTCTCTCTCTTACTCGATGGCAGCTGGAGTAGGCTCCACTCCCTCATAACAAGAGGAAGACAGGTATAGACAGTTTTAAAAAGCTACATCTGGGAGCATCTGGGAGACTCGTCAGACATTAAGACAATTCCGAACTTCTGGCTATTAAGTCATGACCAAACAGAACTGAGAGAGCAGAGAAACCCTTCAAATTCAAGTGAGATTTAGTTAATTGATAGACAAAAATTATGGTGGACAGATGTAGGCACAGGTTATGAGGACATCAAAACATATGTACAAGATACGTATGTATACAAGATGGCTCTCTGTGGAGGAATTATTAGTGCACAATCATTTAGTCCTTTTGTAACTTGCTCATGTTTTTTTATGAATTGAATTACATTTTGTACTTTCAAAGAACACGACAAGTCATGTTGTGTTTATCGAATTATTAGAACCCTCCAAAGTTACATTCTGCATTTCATTATTAATAACTTTGATCGTTTGAGTGTCTTACAGAGCGCGCTAAACCTTTGAAGAAACCTCTGTATTAAGTAAACAAGTAAGAGCAGAGCGGCCTGGGTCCTGGAGCAGAATTGAAACACTTTCTTGTTTCCAAACCTTGATGTTATTACACTGCACCCCAATTAGTAAGGAGCTACGACAGTGGAAAAATATGGCATCCCATCTGCTCAAATAGACTGTTTGTGTTTGATCAGAGAGGGCCTGTGTGAGTACACATGAGAGATGAGGAGGGCATTGCATTGTGATTATGGAAAAGGAAGCAACAAAACCCTCTGTCATAGGACTCAAAGGTATCTAGCACATTGTGGTGCAACTTCCTGTGTCAGTTTTACTTCCCGTGGGGGTGAAAAGGTTTATCTTTTGCAGGATTCCCAACAGTGTTGATAATTAACACATGAATAAGGGTTCATACTAAAGACAGAATGAAGGCCAAATGAGGCCGGCATAGGTCTGAAGTCTAATACAGTATCTTTCAGTCATGTGAAACTTGACTTGGACTTGGTGGTAATTAATCCTCTTAACGAGCTGAATGTAAAGTGGAGCCTAGAGGAGCCGGCTGCAGCCTTATCTATGTAAAACGGCTGAGCATCCTAATTGCGCTGGGATATCTGACAGGGTAAATTTATACCAGAAACGTGACTCATTTGACATGCAAGTCGGACTATGAGGATGGTCAGAAGGAGATGGAATTCATACATTTATTTTCTCTGCAGCTTACCCCCAGAAGTACAAAGTATGAGCACTGAGAACCTCAAAGTAAGAAATAGTTTTGTGAGTGCTTGGCAAACTTATCCAGGGGCTTTGATTAAAAAACATACTCACAAATGTTGCCATTGACCCAGAATCCTTCTCCTTTAAAACAAAAATCCCCAAATTTAAAAGATAAATGTAAATAGAATAAAAAGAATGATGAGATTTGCAGATGTTTTCTATCACCACAGAACATGAAAAAATAAAGAAAGGTTAGCCATTGTATCCAGTCACAAACAATATGGAAACAGACACGAAAAACAAAAGAATGGAAAACTAGGGATTACTTAAAAGACGGATAAACATGTCAGCAACATCTGCTTGTGTAGATTTTCAGTTAAGAAGAAAATCCAGTTGCCTTTACACAAACTCTTGGGATGACTTACTAAGGTAAAGGTGGGCAGTGGTTCAACAATCTGCATAGAGCTACATTATGCTACTTTGGATTAATTTCAGAGTAATGTTTAATACCAATAAGCTGCCAACACTTTGAATATTCGATAATTTACAGCCTTGGTGACATCTCTGTATGCAAGATACACAGCCAAAAATGTGTAGAAATACTGTTTATTTCCTGTAATCAGGGACTAAAGAGCAGAATGACAATATGGAGTTGTAAAAATACACATTTTTAAAGCAGTTTGGACTTTTCACCAATGCAACATGTTTGGATTATCATGTTAATACACAAAAGAAGACCCAGGGCTGTTTAGCAGGTGAGATTCTGTCAGAAAAAGATGGGACACATCACACTCTCCAAATTCCAGCAGCTTTTCTTCTCAGTTTTAAGATGTTCAAGACAGTTGTTATTTATGACTAATGTGGGATGATAAACGGTGTTAAACATTATCCTGTCTCAACTTTTGGAGATTTGGGTTTCTGCCATCAAACTCAAGATGAGCCATTGTTTTTTCCTGAAATAGTAAATTTGGTGTTTTTCAACATTTTATGTAATTCCTGTTTATAGTAAAATGGAAGTATAAAATACCAAAACCAAAGCATACTACCATGGCCAATCCAGCTAATTATTTAATCCAGTGTCTTTATTGTTATAACTTATTAATAGCTATGATCAGATTTTGTTGTAAAAATATATATTTTTTAAATCAGCATATATCCACTCACACACGGATCAATCCTGAGCCTTTGATTTACAGTGAAAGATTATATTGAAAATGACAAACAAAGCTCCCAGAACCGAGGGATTATTCAACAGGTGTAATATCTGTGTCAAAGTTGATTACAAGAAGTGATAGGAGGATTAAGAGGAAATTAGCCCTCAGTCAAAAGAGTGTCTGCACGTTCCATGACAGGATACAGAAAGATTAAACTGTCAGATGTGGGAGAAAACATGTCCACAACAGGACTTGTTGAAGTATAATGACAAATATCAGATATTCCCTGGGTATAAACAGCCCCCGGTAAATGAAAGCCAGCTGTGTGTGGTGATTAGCTGGGGAAGCTCTTGCCTTTTAAGAAGGGCAGACAGTTTGGAACAGATTCCATTACAAGAGCATCTGCTACTTTCAATGTCCACAGATTGGCTGTGTGTCAACCCACAAGGTGAGAGGAGGGATCATTCATCTCTGATCTACAAAACAAGAATAGAATGAGGGCAAATAATAATTTAACCTGGGACAGAGACAAATTGCTGTCAAGATTTACGTATCTGCAGCCATCATGCAAAACACAGCAATTAAGACCTTAAACTCTGGTGAAGTCAATTTAATACAGAATTTCCGGGAAAGATTTTTCAGTTTTCTGAAATTCCTGCTGGCATTCCCTCCTCCCACGCAGAGCCTCCGCCCGACTTACCCCTGGAGACTTATCAGGATGCAGCAAGCATCTCCTGCAGGATATCTGTTGCTGGCAGGCAGCTCTGCTGTATCCTGACCCACCTTACACTCTTCTGAGTTGCTCAGAACAAGAAATAAATGCCAGCCGGAAATGAACAGATTCATCTTTTATTTCTTGATTAATTTGTCTTCTTGGCAGGTAAAACAGAAAATAATAAAACCATCAGTCATGAGTAAAGTCATGAGCCAGACATTCAAAACAGAAAGAATGTCATCAGACTAAACCCGTTCTTTGTCTGGAGATTTAAGCTTGTAGATCAACGTGTGTCTACCAGCTGAGGTTTTTGAAAAATAAATGCACGCTCAGATTCGCTGAACAACGCTGATGTGTGCTTTCCTAAAAAAAAAAAAAAATCATGAAATAAATATGAGGTGAAAGTAAACTTCTCAGCCTTAGATAACCCTTGATTTCTGGTTCTGGTGGACTGACGTGCAGCTGACCAAGCAACAAACAAGATTTTTGTGTAAGACCTCTAATATTCACAGGATCAAGCATCTAGAGATGCTTTTCCATAGTAGAAAATGAGAGAAGTCACCCAGAATGTGCAGCTGCTGGCTGATTGACAAGCTTGATTAAACTTATACTGGCTGCACAGGATATTTCTCATCCATCCTTTTGTCATTTGCCAGCTGAAAGTGTAATTGCATTTCAACAGTGTGAGGCAGAAAAAGCTCAATGTTGTGGCTTGGAGCTGTTTAACTGTTGCACAAATGAATGGTTCTCATAGATAAGCAATATCTAACTTAATACCACCCTCTTGCCCCCAAACACTTTTCTTAATACTGATTTAATTCCAAGAAAATGTTGCATGGGCAAAACACAAGATAACATGTTGATTAAAGGAAAACAAAGATAGCTAAATGCCTTGGATGAGGTTTAATCAGATTTTCTTAAGGCTATCCATGATTAAAAAAGGGCATTTGAATGCTTTTTGGAGATTAAAAATACATTGTGTGGACCACAGACATGCTCCAGGATGCAAATTCACAGATAAAGAAATCCTCAAAAGACAACAATTTTTCCAAAATGATATTTAAATTTTATTTATATTTTGATAACTAAATAGACCAGCCTATAACCTGGAGGATGGAGACAGGCAATACTGAGCATGTTTCATATGAAAGGAAACAACTCAACAGAAAAAAAGCAAACAGTCTGATCAACACGATATTAATAATATAACAATATATCAAGAAGAATAGTACGTTTTCTTTTACATCACCTCTACATACTGGCGGTATTGTGCTTTGATAAGACTTTTGCAACTAGAACACAGATACAGAACATTTTTAACAGCCCACAAAACTCCAAAGAATTCTTCGCCCGACTCCCTGGAAAAAAAAAAAAGTCTTCGTAAAACCATCTCACCCCGTGGCTGAGATAAGAGTAAATGAAGTTGAGTGATAGTTCTTTCACTCATTGGGCACGCGTGAAAATGAAACACACCAACATTGAGAAACATAACTCAGGCACTCCTCGCCACTCTGCACAATCAACATCAAACACCTGGGTGGGTACAAACGCTAGCACCCAAAAACCCACTTTCCCTCGCTGCTCACACACACACATTTTTAACACACACACACAAATATGTGAGATGTATCATTTTCCTTTTTCTGTATATCACTGAGGCAAACTTGGTAATTCTAATGTGTATATATATATTTATAATTCATATAAAGATATATAAATGAATAAAAATAAGAAATGAAATGAAAGACATGCACTGGACAAACACAAGCATGCACTTACATGATGATGAAACCTGAAGTTTTTCACCGCCACAATTTCGGTGGCAGATGACACACCTCTACCACTTCGACCAAAGACACCCCCGAAAGTTTTGCCTGTCAAGCCCAACTCACCATAAACCAATATACATTCTTAAACAAACTACACAGCTGCTGTTTTATGAAGTCCTGCAAAGCATACACATGTTGCTACATGTACAGTGGATTAAGCAGAATTAATATCGTCATGTTAGCAGATGCGGTTAAGTGAAACCATCTGTGTTATTAAAGGCATGGGGCGCCCTCTTCTGATCTGCTCTCCGAGGTGGGATAACTGTACATTTTCCATTTATCATCTATACATTTTTTTTTTTGTCTTCTGAAACAGTTCCGTGTCGGTAAGTTTTGTCTCCATAAGTGTCCTTTGCAGCGGTAATCCAGAGGAAAACACAGAGAGTTTTGAGTGCTGCATGAAATGTTCTTTTAAAAATCAACATATATTTTTCTTAATATTCAGGATTTCGTCTTTACTTGGCCTGGGGAGGAAATTCTTTGTCGTGTTTGATTTGTCTGTCTTCCTCGGTTCTTTTGTAAAAAAAAAAAAGCTTCTCTTTTCAGATTTAGTTCCTCACTGTCTGTGCCTCGGATAGTTCTTGCTGTATGGTTGGCTTTGGTTGCATAACACGCACTCTGATGCTTCACCAGGGTCTCTTCAGCAAGTGAAGTCTTCAAAATTGCCCTGGCCTGGATGATGAGGTAGCATGTTCCCAGGATATGTCGATGGTGTACGCAGGTTCTCGCAAGGAGCCTGAGAGTGATACGAGAAGTGAAATGACAGGTATTAAAAAACAGGAAGGAGGATAAAGGCCGGTGGGGAGGGGATCAGCGTTGCAACAGAGGGAACATCAACATGCTGGCAGGGAGAAAATCTTTGCAAATTCGCTACCAGAGAGACAACATGACCAACAAGCTGGACTGGGAGGGGAGAGGATATAGTGCTGCCTTGCAATTAAAATGAACTGATTTAATTTACTCTTGGAAATAAGTAAGCTGTCACACCTTTCAAAGCTTTAAATCCAGCCTTTCCCTGCAGGGGCTGCCCTGCAGCTTTGATTAAATTCAAGCCACTTTCCACCCTCCTGCATCTCTCGCTCAATTTTCCCTGCAACTCATCCCTATTGGGTTTATGCGCCCTTATGTGTATCTCAGACTTCCCTTCCTCCCAGACTTTCTCAATCTCAATCTGTCTCACTTTTGCCTCTCCTCCTTTCACCAAAACTGTTTCAGGCCAGCACAGACAAAGAAGAGAAAAGAGAGTTTTTGACAAAATACTAAGCGGCAGCCCACTGACATGGCGTTTCACATCATCCAGGCTCAGCACAGCGCCCCGGTCATTGTTGTTGCGGCCTTTATGTTTCTTCTTCATGCATCTGCACAGCTTATACTTGATCACCTGAAAACAGATAAGGGCAAGCTTACTCATATTATCTCACTCTTAAAGATCACCTACATAGCCTTTTATGTTTTTTTTTTGGTTGTCATAACCTAGATTACCAGAAATGGATCAGAAATGCTAGAATATGCAATATGTGTCCCCAGATTAATTTCTCAATCGACCCTACATCTGGGAAGGAGCCTTTATTGGCTCGGTCCCACTCACACTGTAAAGGATCATACAAAAAAACAATGAGCATTGCGTAAAGAAGAAGACACAGCACAGACGAAGCAGAGGATTAATTTCGATGAGAATGGACGGAGACATCCTCATTAATGTAAAATTAAACACATCTGAAATGTTAATTTATTCCGTGTTGCTGCTGCCAAGATCTGTACAATGTGTGGAGAGTGACTGCTAAGAGGTGCAGTACCAAGAGCTCATCATGTTTGGCATTACATTGCCTCGTGTAGTAGCAATGCACACGAAATGAACATTAAAAAATGAGAAATTTAGAACAGTGCAAATGTTAGAGCTTTGTTTGTGACTGGGGTTACTGTATACCTCATAAAGATAGTCAAAAAGCTCAAGAACAGTGAGGATGCTGGCCCCAATGAAGAGCCCCATCTGACCTCCGATATCGCCTGAGAAGACAAACAAAAAAGAGCACAACAGAGGTGACGATCATGTCACCGCGTTCAGAACAGAACACCTATAACGAAAAGGCAAGCGCTTGTTCTTCTGTCACTTGAGATGAAAAGCATCTGTCATGTTGAATTTGGTGTATTACGTATTCCCAAGAAAACACTTGACAGCCATTTCCTTACCCAGAAGACCTGCCAATTCGTAGGCTTTCTTTTGTTCAATGGTTTCGTAGTTCAGCGCTTCAAAGAAGATGTCCAAAACCAGAATGTTATCACTGCAAACAGAAAGAGAGTAAAAACATTCAGAGGCCTCAGTTTGCATGCTACACATGTTTCTGTACGGTTATCCCCGGGACCTGGAAGATGACAGGTGAAGCTGTCACTTTTTGCAATAGTTCAAATGCATCAAGATGAGCAAATAACCTGCCACTGCTAACTGATTCCTCGCGCTGTGGGTCTTTTCATTGACGGAGGGATACGAGAGGAATAATAACAGTCCTTTGATTTCGTACAGTGCTGGTGACTTCATCAGAAAAGGAAGAAAACGCCCAGAGTATCTCAGATAAATATTCTTATTCTTGAATATCCTCCCTGTGGCTGAAGAATGACCCGACAGATGTGAGATCAAGGGTTTTTTTCATTTTCTCTTTTCTGACTCTGTGATGATCTGTGGGTGATAAACATATTCTCTTTAGGCCTGAAAACTCACTTTAAATGACTAAGAAAACTAAACTATGGCATACAAAATGAACATCCTTAGAATTAACCAAATCCCCGACTGCTTTTATTTACTTAAAAGCACAGAATCTTGTATTCTTGGAAACTCTATAAAAATAATTTGTTTGCGCTAAATTCCTTATCGGCCCTGTGGTTGGGTTTAATAAAATAAATATAGAGCCTTTATTAAGTGAAGTATTATGGCTGGCAGTTATTAAAAGCAGTTCAATGCACTTTCTTTGTATTTGCCATACATGGATTCAGTGTCTGGCAGCATTATGGAAACTATTTCCATAGTCTGGCTCTGGTGGTATTCGGATTTAAACTATGTCATTTCAACTGTGAGATACGCGGTTGAATCTATGTGCTGAAATATAACTAGATCACTTCTGAGGGGAAAAGAAAAACTTAATTTTAAAATTTTCAATTTCCCACATCTACTACCAGCTCTTGTAGCTTCTTTCATAGCTTCTTTCACTACTACTCCCTAGTAGTGAAACACTGAGCTGTGCCAGTTGTGTTTTCCCTTGACATTTCTGGGTTGTTTCCTGGCTCGTAGGCTCCTCTGTGTGTGAGGTGTTACCCAGGTGTTTGACAGACATTCCTAACCTAAAACACATCTGATCAGAGTTGCTGTCAAACAGCAAAAAAGAAAAACAGGTGTCTTGAGCTGAGCAGCCCTCTCTGTGCGGTGCTCCAAATACAAAAGCAGACAGTCCAGAGTCACACATGTCAGTTTCACACCATCAAACACCAGGCAGCCATGACACCACAACAATTCAACAAACCTTCATTAGACTGACATCACTTGGAATTGGAGCCACTGGAAAAATGAACTGCTTGGATTCACACCTCTCCACAGAGAATTAAAAAACATTGTGAGAGTAGAAGTAAGAGCGTTTTATGGTGCTATGACAACATTTGGTTTATTTAGCTTGCCCTCAACAGCTCAGCAGGGAGAGATGAACAAAATATTTTTCTATGATCTATCCTACCGTCTTCTTTAAAAAAAACATTTACTGGTAGGTATATGTAGCGAAAAATCACACACACACACACACGCACACATCACTTGACTAATTAATTAAGCTATTATTTTTCATGCCCATTCATACTCTACTTTGTGATTTCCTTGGTTACTTGTGAGGTTACTTGTGTGTATTATTATATACACAAAAAGGAGACTGTTATCTTACTATTCAACATTTTTCCTCCTTACAATTGCTGATATAGATGACATGAATTGCTTAGTATATCAATGTTTTTTCTGATCAGTTTGACACAAAGGTAAAAGTCATGCTTCTTTCCTTCTACCAAAGACAGCTATTTTTCAAATTTCAAAGTCTGAGAACAAACCTGGGGGTGTTTGAAAGAACCTGGTTTAGCACATACAATGTGCTCTGAATGCTCATAGAGGCAGGATGGAAGATAAAGATTTAAACTTTTGTCATCTTCTTTAACAGGGTGTCAGTTGAACAATTTGTACTAAAAGCTGTTTCCTTGCTCTCTGTTGGGATTCAGTTCACAGGCATGCACATTTTATTTAGCTGGAATACCTTGTTTTTTCTTTCATGAAAAATAATACTCTTTCTGTGCCGGTTTTTATTTATCTCCAAAAAGCATTGCCAACAGCTGTTTGGCTATGTTTATGTGATCAAACTGCAGAAGTTCAGAGCTCTTCATCTAGGCTGCTTTGAGTATAGTTACAGCAAAGGCTGAACTGTGTTAGAGGTTGACTGGGCCATTTAATTGGACAGTAGTCCGTGTCCCAGTGGACTTTACATCAAAATGAAGGGAACTATGTGAGATTCTGCAGCTTCTAACTCTCTCTGCGGGAGATCATTTAGCAAGTACATTTAAAAAAATCCCTGCAAAGATGTCTGAAAGTTACATTAATGGGGATTTTATCAAATGAACCAGGATTTTGTAAGAGCAAAGCAAAAGTCCTGAAGTTCTTTAATTTGACATGTCTCACCAGGCTGCTGTTAAGTTCCAATTTCTGATGTGTTTAGTAATCAGGTTCTAATTTGGTAAATAGCTTTTCCTAGACCCAACTACACACCCTTACTGATCCTAACTTTGAACTGTGCTCACCGTTGTGTTCATGTTCTGCTTACAGAGGACTCATGAATTTTGACACCGTTTGATTTAAGAGAATCCCTAAGCTTAAGAAGTTACCTTTCATTCATTTTTGATCTAGCACACTATCAAAAATGGTCCTGGTGATCATTTGAACATAGTCCATCACTCTGTCAATCAATGGAATCAAAGCTAGGAAATATTTTTCAAAGATTTTTTTCAGCCAAAGGACCACATTTCTTTTCTTTTCATGGCTCATACTTTGTCAAAAATATGATTGAAAGACCTTCAGACTGAATGCTAAACATAGGCATCTGTAAACCTGGGGAGATGTAGGAATAAACTAACCAGATTCTCTAAGTGTTATCTTTTTATAAGCAGTAGTAGCCTTTATTGATTTTAGGAACCAAAAAAACTGATGGAGAGACCGAAGAAGGACATGAAGGACATGGCCTCAGGCCATGTTTGAACACATTCTGCCTGCTCAATGACTGTACACAGGGCACACGCCCAACCAGTGAGCTATACGACACCCTATTTTTATTTTTCATTTGCTTCCTTTATCTCAGCAGAATATGAGAAGTTAGGTGCGTTGGTTACAAATATAGATATTTGAAATTTACACTTGCAGAATAGACACCAAACTTACATTTATCATTTAAAAATCAGACAGACAAGCAAAGCTGATGGGTTGTGGATATAAAATTCTTAAAGCAGGACAAGACGAAAAAAAGAAACAAACTGCATAACAATAAGAAATAAGCCCATCATATTATAACTTATCCAAAACTCAATGAGGGAGGACAATGAATGCCCCACAAAAGTCATATATATCACTCCATCTTTTAGTAATGATGTTTACCCAAATTAAGACATGGATATGAAACAGATGAGCTGGTTGTACAGAAGAATACCAAGTTATAGTGTAGAAAACAGGTGGAATGTGCAAAATATATGAACATACATATGCATGTTATTTTGGGAGTAAATGAGGGACAACAAAAAGACTTACGCTATGTACTGCTCTGTCTTGTTGAATTTCTTAGCAAGGTACTTGGCAGATGCTTTGCTGGGTATCTTGACAAAGGACAGCTCTTTGCCGTATCGTGTCATGTTGCATGGGGTCTCGCACACACAGTAGTCGTTGTCTCTTTCAACAAGAAAGTCTGAAAAATGAAGACAGAAGATGGACGTAATGTGACAGATTAAGATTTAAGGAGAGAAGACATTGGCCCAGATGCATTTATGGTCACTCTGGGATGAAAGACTAAATGCCATCTGACTGATGGCTGTCAAAGAACAGATGCCACGTGATGGGACTTGAGAGACCTTCACAAAAACGATTGCAAAGATTTAAGAGGCATACTGACAGGGTCATAAGCCCGCAGCAGCCAGGGGCTGACATGAGAGACTTCACCATGACAGACAGAAAGAGAGAGTTTGTAAGTTGGTAAGAAAATAAGCGACAGACATGAAAGGCCTTAAAGGCTTCAGCTGATGAGAAGACAGGTGTGCAAAAAGGAAAGCTAGAGTGCTACCATCACGGTGTAGGAACATTTTTATCTGTTATCAGCTTGGATCAGGAGCTTTGAACAGTGGAACAAATACACCAAACAGTGTACACACAAGCATCACACTGGTTTATCTCCTTACCCAAGGCAGGATCTGCACACTCCTTGTATTGCTCCGGGGTGCAGTATTGGGCATCTCCTTAGGACAGGAAGAAAAAAACAAAATGTTCTCAATATGTGCAAAAAGATGGAGCATGGGAAAAACAGGGGGTTTGAGGGGTATTGGAGACAGGGAGATCATGTCTTATATTTTATTTAGTCTCAGACAGGCATTACTGTTCTTATCACAACTGGATATTCATCAGAAAAATATGATCTCATCTCATAACTGATTTAATTCATCATTACATTCAGTCTCTGTCAAACTTGTTTCCATGTGTCTCATTCAGGCAGTTGAACCATCCCTCACAGTCTAACAGGACAACATGAAATGCAGGCCTGCTGTAGATGTTGAGGAAATTGCTACAATAACTCACTTCGTTTTGCTTAAAAATTTCAACCCAGTGACAGGGAGATTTAGAGATAAAAGGAAACAGAGCCCAATCCAGTGGGGAGGGGATTTTAATAGGGAAGTTCTCCGTGGACTCAATAATCTACTGCAAAGTCACAAGAAAATGGCAGATAATCCAGATTATCACGCAGGCAGATTATCAGGCTGCCCTGTGACTGAGAACACGCTTCACAGGACAGGTGTGAAATAGTTAACAGAGGCCAAATCCAAATGTTTCCTGTCTGCCAAACTCCTTTTCAATTTGCTATCTGAGATCCTGCACAGTGATTAAACACCAGAGTCAGATAGCAAACAGCAGCTTTAATCACTGCACAAACACAAAGTGAAAATGGTTGAGTTTTCCGATCCACTGGAGTGTGAAAGTATCCGATTTTCTGCCTTCGCTGCCAAAACTGCTGTTTGTTCCTCGAGTAGTTCTTGTCACTGAAACCTCCCATGAATACATCTCCAACAGCAGCCATTACAGCCCTTCTCTGTTCTAGAAAAGCAGATGTGTTGTGTGTGCGTGGAGCGCTGAGATACCAGGCATGTGGACCATCCTGCAGTTACAGTTCTCCACCAGGTATCGCGTTTCGCAGTCGATCCTGCAGGCTGTAATGCTGTAAGAGTTGAAGAAGTCGGAGTCCATTGGCGTGGCCTTGCAGTCCCCCCAAGGTGGAGGCAGGTATGTTAGCTGAAAGACAGGCACAACCTCTTTAGTCATAAAGTGCTAAACATCCTGTCCTGGGAGCTTATAGTGCAGCCAACTGACCTTGTTCTTTTGTCAGGAAGATGACAAATGTGTTACTCTATCTGTATGTGATGCCATTACACATTTAGTGTATTTGGCACAGAGGCTGAATTTAGCCCTTCTTTCATGGTTAATACATCTGTACAGTGGTGGTTATTGTGGGAGCTTCTCTCCTACGCTCTCCTATTTCTAGTCTCCCACTGCGCTTTCATTGTACTGCCCACTCCGCATGCTGGAGCTGAATAGTATCAGCTGTGGAGCAGAGCTGTGATGTTGTAAGAGTTTTACTTTTACAGCTTTGCCTCAGCCGATAATGCCATGGGCTCAGTGTTCCGAGCAGCACATGAACATTTGACATAAATCCTGCGCATCCTCTGCAACTCGGAAATTCAAAGTGATCAGACGTACAGAGATTCTGTCCATGACTGGTATCTATCCTCATCATAATCTTGCCATCTGCTATCTGTTCAAACTCAGTGCATCTAAAGTTAGACAGTGTGTATATCTTGAACAAGTTCTTGTTGGATTTAGGATGATGTTATTTTTTATTCCACTCAAATAATAAACATATTCTGATTTCCATACAAATGTAAATATTTCATTATATGAAATGTACGATTAAAAAAAAAAACAATCCAATGAGATACCTCTCCAAAAATCTGGTTTCCTTTTGCCTTTTTTTAGAGTATATTTGGTGTTGTGGTGTTTTCTGTCCCATCTTCTCCATTATCTCCAACCCCAGCTGGTGATGAACAATGGATACCCTCCCTGTGTCTGGTTCTGCTGGAGCTCTATTTCTGTTATATGGGAGATTTTCTTCTTTACACAGTTAACTCATGCATGATTGTGATGAGGATTGGATCAAAGTGAAGATTTGGGGGAATCTGTTGCTTTCCTTAGCTAGGAAACTTTTTTGTTGATTGTCTGTATGAAATGGACCAATATGGAACTTGAATTGATTGGAATATGATTGTGGTACAATTAATATTTTCATTTTTATTGGCTTGAATTGGGTTGTGTCTTTGATATGCCAGGAAATTACATTTACTTTGATTTGGCCCTATATAAAGAAAACAGGAAATTGAGCTGAATCCTTTATAACATAAAACTAATGACAACTACCATGGCAACATAATCAAAATGTGAAATGTACTGTATCCATTAAAATAAAGATAACAGATGTACTGCAACCATATGAGCAGTTCACAAAAGGGATAAACAACTGGTAAATCATCAGAAGCAAACCAGCACATTTCTAATAAATAAGGAGTTGTGAATTAATATGATAATGACGGGCAAACTTATTGACCACCGGAGAGATTATAGTCTAAATTCTATGCTCAGGTGACGTGAGGGAAGGAGTGATTTTCGGAAAAAAAATTAAGCACAAGAGAATCAAAATTAATTGGGGGTATTGATAAAAATGGTGAAAAAATAGACATCCTCCTATTCCAAATTTGAATGAATAATGTGAGTCACATCCTAAAGTACGACATCAGCGGTGAAAATCTACATATAATCTACCTTGAATAAAACACGGACAAAAGCAGATACATTAAATGAAGCAAGGGGCTGTAAGAAAAAAAAAGTATTTCCATCTCATTGCTTCCAACTGTGCATCGGTGAGTGTTCACATAGCAAGAAATTAAAGACCTGCATTGTGATTTAGGAACCTGCATTTTACATTTGGTACCAGATAACAAGAGGCAGCCATGGATGCTGTGAAGCAGATTTGGTTACTAATAACCCATGGTAATTTTCAGCATGAACATAAGTCTTCAAACATACACACACACGCACTGTTTATACAGGACACTAAAGAAAACCAGATGGCCTCGACTAAAGCCTTATCAGGAGACACTAATGAGTCCTCTGACTAATTTCATATGAAGAGCATTTCCCAAAGTCAAAAAGAACATAAAAGTCTTCGAGCAGTGATCAATAAAAGGTGCATAGACATATTGTTGGCACAGATTTAACTTAATAGTGGCTCTTTTATACTCAGAGGTCTTAAACTTCTTTATATTTCCAAGAGCTCGATACTGACTCTAAAAAAAAAAGCATTAGTTCCACGTGGCTAGATGCCTGCCAGTGTGGACAAAAGGGAGTCTGGCATCCAAGATTTGAGGACATTTTAGTGAGAGATTAGCAGTTTATTGGCCATGAGGAAGGATAGAAATTATGTTAAGATGGTGACCTCAATCTTCACTTCGTTAACTGAACGAAAGGGAAAATAAATAAAAAGGAAGAAGCAAGCTAGACTCAGTGGACAACAAAAGGTTGCCAAGAGATATACAGAGGGTAAAATAACTTTTTTATGTTAAGGTGAGGAATATTGCTGATTTTTCTGTATGGGATCCCAGTGAGTGACAACTTGGCCAAATAAAAAATCTCTGAAAGCTTTACACCAACGAGGGTTGAATGAGTGTGAGCAAACTGCATTAGATTAATGAAGAGTGAGCCCTCCAGACAAAAGGAATAAATAAACACAGACAGAGGGAACGGAAGTAGAAAGTTAAAAATGACATCAAAAAGAGGAAAAATGTTAGGGAGGGAAATAAGTAATGGAGTCACTGAGAGACAGAGAAAAACAAAGAGGCTTACTCTCCTGCAGACACGACATCGGCAGCATGCAAAATCCTGCAGCAGTCTGCCGACACAGGAACACACTCACTGGTAGTGTGGACGTGGAAAGCCTGAGATCTCTTCCAAATCCTCCTCTGTCTCTCCTCCATTTATTATGCATGCTTCTGTAGCATATTGAGTGTGAGAGCTAACAGTTCGTCTGACTACAAACCCGTCATTGCACCCTCGGAATTACTCCTTAGTGAGGGGAATAATCTATATACTCCTCATTTCACCAAACAAGACCAAATGTGACAAGCTGACTAGGCTACATTTCTGTTTCTTACTCCTGTTGAGGCCCCGTTTGTTCAATGGGGCTAGGATCCAAGGAGCAAACAAACATGTGCAATCTCTGTAAGTCAAACAAAAGACGGTCCAGAACATTTAGTAGATATGCAAAGCTGCATGCATAGTGCAGAGAATCATGTCACTGACGATGTCTGAGGGGGTTTAACTGCAAATATGACAAATATGACATATGACACAAATCGTTACATGCGGAGGTTTCAAGAAAAAAGCATACTGGAAGTTAACATCTTTGAGATAAAGCATATGTACCGAATGGATTTGGTCGCCAATGATGCAACTATCAATAAATCCCTTCATTTTTTTTTTAATCATGGGCCAAAATACTGAATGTAAAAGACAGACAAGTTGGCAAAAGTTAAGTTCTTATGGAGTTGCTGTACAGTGCAATGCAACAAATGGTTTTATATTTCCAATAAGATTGCCTGGTTCAGATTGACTGTGCTTCACAGTTGATAAACTTCTCAATCACATTTTCTAACAAGTCTTATTATGGTCTCATGAGTTTGATTCCAACTTAGCGCTCTGTTGTCCGTCTTAGAATAATGAAATGAACATATGTTTTATAAATAAACCTACATATTTTTGTACAATCAGGTTTTAACTACCATCTTCAAGCTCTTCCTCCTGGCAAACCAAGAAAAGAGCTGCAAAGTAAAGGTACAAACACACGACTCTTCATGAGTTTGCACCTTTACTTTGCAGCTCTTTTCTTGGAGTTTTCCTACCATACGCCTACCATAATGATTTTTTTGGGAAATCTGTATGTTTGCACTGTCTGAGTGGGTGTCACCAAAATCAGTACGCTTTAAAGGCACAACGTGCACCGTTATTTACGCTGTTAAAATGTCAGGTATCAACGCTGATGCTGCCCTTAGACATCTGCAAATAAACAAACAACTAAACTAAACAGCTCCACTGAAGAACAAGAGTGTCAAAATGTTCCACGGGGGTCTCTGTTACTCAGTCTGACAAACAGAGAGCTGCTGGCTTTTTTGGATAAGATCCACATCTGCATGAGCAATTTTGAGAATAAAAGTGGTTTCTCCTACAGAATAAACAAGTGCATTTCCACTTTTGTCCTGAAATAAGCTGCTTCATCTGCACATTGAGCGAATGACAACTATAATGAAATCACCTGTCGGTACTGTCAGAAAGCTTGTGTGTGCTCTGACCTGTTTGGCAGCTGAGGGTGAGAGGGGGTATATGACAGCACTTCTAATGTTTTTGGATTGTCGTACTCGTGCTTTGGAAAATAAGATCTATGTAACACTTTGCTCCGTGAAGTATAAAATGAAAGTATGACATTAGATCGAACACAGGAGTGTCGTAAACAAACAGGACCACGGAGTTTGTCGGATGAATCTGGAAGCAGCTGAGTGAAAAGTGAGAGATGAATGGGGCTGTGCGTGTGGACATATGAGTTTGACAGTCACTGCATGTGGAATAAAGGTGTCTGAATGCTGCATGAAAAGCTAATTTGACTACATACTGTGTCGTTTAGTTCTCCAAAATATTTGCATTAGTGATCCAGATTAGCATAGGTGATAAGTGAATACAAATTCTCAGAGAACACATCATAAAAAGACGGTAACAGGAGATGGGTGCTAGTTAGCAAAGGCAAGAATTATTTTCGGTATGTACAAAGGCAAGTTGAAATTCAGAATGTGATTTTAATGATAGCATCATTGCCAAATACATTCATGATACAAATTCAGTTCTTCCAACCATTTAAAGACTGCTAGTGTATATAGTGTCTAAATTGGAAAAACACTGTAAAGGGTTTTGGAGAAAAAAACAAAAGAGATCCAATCTAAGAGTGGGACATTTGCTTGAGTCTGCTCAGAGTTTTTAAGATTAAATCTCAAGTGAATGGGATGCTGACTGCTTAAAAAGAAAGTTTCAGTAAAGCTCTTGGTCTGCTGGGAGTGATGAAGCAGAGAACAGTAGCAGCATGAGGAATGTCTGAGAAGCATGCAAACATCGGTTTTGGCTCAGAGGGAGTGGGCTCTACAGTGTCAGCACTGCTGCTACACAGGCCAGAGCTTAATCCATCCCAGCAGCATCACCTGGGCCAAGCATGGATGTCTGATGTGAAGATCAAGTCTTTTGAAACAGTTACAGATATAAAAATATACGTCAATGCAATATGCCTCACAGATGACCCTAATAAACACAAAATGCAGCTTATCGTTTTAAGGAAAACTGTTTTAATTTCATACATATCACCAAGGGAATTGTGGTAATTTCATAAATTTACAGTTTATCACGCACGCCTGTCAGCATGTGTTATAAAGCTGCATTGAGCCTTCTTTGTTGCACAGAGTGATGAATAGCCTCAAGTGATGCAACTTAAATTACTGTCAGCTGGGAACAAAAATTACAAGTCTGAGAGTTGTTGAGTTACAAAAGAACTGAGGTTGCAAAGTCTTAGCATCTCTCTGCCCGTCTCTGCTCGAGGCTTACAGCACAGTTACTGCCCAGGAGTTTGTGAATAATTAATCCCTTTCTGTGTTTCTTTAAAGATGACCAAACACACCAGACTTTCCAAAGAGTAAAAAAAAGTCAATTTAGTTTGAAAACTTTAGTAAAGATATCTTAACTGGTTATTTACTCAAGGAATATCATTGTTGTTGATATGATGATGTTGATATGGCATCTGGTATTGGGCATGAATTGAAAACTTCAAGAAGTGCAACTAAGTCTAAATCCTACGTAATGAAAAATCACATTAGATAGGTTGCAATGGTATGATATCATAGTGCATTGTCCATTATGGAAAGCTGTCATAGCACTGATACAAAAATGATAGTTCAAGCAGCTTCAAGCAAGCTTCTTGTTAAGGTCCTGGACCGGCCTTGCTTTTTTATGGGTTGATCTCCATTAGTAAGGGCTACAATGTTCTTCAATTTCTTTTAATACTGTTTTTTTTTTTTGCACATGATATTTCAGTGTTAATAGGGGGAGGGGGGAGATTCAAACCTTTTCCATTCTGATGAGCAGCAAAACCAATCAGAAATCTCATTTGTTCATACTGTGATATATAATTTCGATTTTTATAGCTCACAGTTATTTTAATCATCTGAGTTAGTTCAAGATATGGTGGTTGTAATACCAGAAAAACTTTCAGTTCAATCTTAGAAGTTCTCTTTTTTTCTTATCTTCAGTTATATAATCGTTCTGTTCCTTTTCAGATGAGTGCATTTGACATGATTAAATCCCATCTATGGAGATTAACACTGTAAATGAGCTAATACTATAATGAACTTGAATCATCAGAGATCATGATGTACTGTGAGTAATAATGGCGCCATACTCTAAAAATGTATACGATAAAAAAGAAAGGCTGTTTCTTACTGCTGTGAGATTTAAATGCTGAACCACTGTTGTCCTGTAAAAGTGAACCACTGAAATCCAAACAATATCAAATTGATGGATTATGTTACTGATTGACCAATTGATGTTGATTGCATTTCAGCCATTTCATTGAATCTTTCAAAGTATCACTAACTTCCACTAACTTGGAAATGACAAAATATCCACAGACATCCAGTTGTGGGACCTACCCGTTGTTCCTGACAGGAGACAAAGGTCTGAAACCCGGGTGCCACTCCGAACCCCAGCTGGTCAATGAACGGCGGCTCATCCTGGGTGTGGATCTGAACTTTGATCCCTGCTTCAAACGATGTCTCGTCTGTTGACAGGAAACGGTTTGGAGGGTTACAGCAATAATGATGATTTGTGTGCACACATTGGCCTACATGATCCCAACAGAAGCAGTTGTCACTAATCAGACGGAGCTAAAGCTTGAAATACATTTCAGACAGTGAGCGAAAAACAAACTGGAAACCAAAGAGGACAGAGAATCTAATTCAAGATGGAGGAAGTCATTCCTTGGGTAGGAATGCTTATTCATCAAAATCCAAATCGCATTTCTCACCGTTAATTGTCATGAATGACAAACACACTGTGGTCTCTTGAGCTTAATAATCGCAGGGCTGAGAAGTGGAAAGATAAAAGAGATGAAGTTCCCAAACAGATGATGATAGTACTTGCCCCACAGGAGCCTATTTATTTCAAGGGAAATGACAGCGGATTTACAGACCAACAGATAAATGGTGATGAGGATAAAAGGAAAATCAATACATCTGACATCTCCCTACCACATAGCACAATGTGGTACATATTATAAATGAAAAAAGGGCTTATTTAATTCCGAGGTGCAGAGGACATTACAATGATACTTTCACTCAAACCCATGTTACTCTTGAAAACATATTTCAATCGTAATTACAATGACCCGCAATGTGATGATGGGAGGTTAGACTTAAGGGATGCTGCTCCACTGAGCTATGACCGGGGGATAAATAAAGGACGTCTTTCTCTCTCTGGTTGTCACTTGGTATCATCTTCTAAGTGCAAGGCGTACTCACTAGTTTCAATTACGGAGCTCAGAAAAATGGCTAGAATCCAGAATGAAGCCCTCTGTTGACATGCAAAATATTCTATTTGATGCATTTTGCTCTTGTTAGGCTGGATACAAAGGAGTTTCTGCTGTTGCACATGGGTTAGGCTGCACAAATACAAACAATACGAAGTGTTACAAGCTCTTACTTACAAAAGCCCGTGATGTTTTTTTTAGTCATAACCATTGGTTGGTCTAACAAAATGGAAATAAGTTATTCAACTTTTTCATGAAAGAATTCCAGGTATTTAACAATTACACAGAAAAATTCTCATCAGGGAATTTGATAGAACCAGCAATGGTTGACAATAGAATAACAACCTTGTGAGTTTTCAGTTGGAAGTATGAAGAAGCCACCAAATAAATGTTCCCTAGTGAATTTTACCCTAACATGTTTGTTCAAGACGCCATCCATCCATCCATCCATCCATCCATCCATCCATCCATCCATCCA